TGTGTCATTTAATACATTCCGCTATTAAGTTGCCAAAAAAGGGAATTGTCAATTTCTCCTCTTAAATTCCCCACTTTTAGCTAAATTCTGAGTTATTTTCCTTTATCCAAACGGAAGGTAAAAGTTTGCTATAAATTCTGGTAAGATTGGAGAAATGAATACTCAAATTTAACATATTTAAGCACGTGAAGTTTCCAACAAAAAAAACAAGACTGTAAGGATTAAATCATCATTTCCTAGTGTCACCCAATTTCAACCAAACAAAAGGCAAGGATGCATGAAATATTCTTCATACCTCGTCCATATATTGTTGGTTTCCCTACAATGTAATCAATTGAATACAAATTGTAAAAATACAAATTGAAGAAAAAAAAAAACTTATGTTATAGCATATCAAAATAAAAGAAATAATATCTTGAAGTCAAACAAAAATCCATTAATTGAAGTGTAAAAAAGAACAAAAACATTCAATTGAAAGCAAAAAAAGATCTCACAAGCTAAATCTCAACCTTCTTCTTCGTCTGAATATTTGTCTATAAAATCTTAGCAAAAAATCAAAAAAGAAACCAAAATTTTGAAAAAGAATGGACGAAAGAATAAATATAGGTAGATCAATCTCCTACGTATATTGTTGTGGAGTTCAAACACCAATAACTCGAAAATCCATTTAACAAATCCCTAATTCTAAAAGAAAAACAAAAAGTGAAATTTATGAGTTTCAATGAATACCGAAAACTTTAAGCGAATAATTGAGATTTGAGAGTGGTCATGCTTATAGTTTTGGCCAAAGAGAATTGTATAGGTTTTGGAAGCTCAAAAATATGGAATGGATAGGGAGGTCTCTGAATCTACCTGTGGAGTAAATGGAAGAAGGAAGTTCTGATGTTGGAAATAGCTATAAAGCGCCCAAAACTAGGTAAAAACAATTTGTTGTTTAATGCAAATGACAAGTAGCACCAAACCTAACAGATTAGATTGAGTCAATTCAATTAGATTGACGGTTCATAATAAGAGGCCATTGTGCGACATTTCAGAGTTAGGCTTGAAGAACTTAAAGCAAGTGGGTTCGGTGAGAGACTACATGAAGGCTTTATTGTCACGCCTCGGACCCGGGGGTCGGTAGAAACCCCGTGCCCGGTGCGTGAGAAAATAAAATAAAAAGAAAGCCGAAACATGGGTTAAAAATAAACTTCTCTTATAAAAATATATCCAAAATCTTAAGACTTTACAATAAATAAAGCTCTATCACTCTCATCTAATCCAACCTCAATTGGTTTAGTCCTTGTCTTGCCCACTAATCATCTAAAAAATTAAACAGGGTGAAGGATGAGCAACCACCGCTAAATCTTACAACTTTACAATAAATAAAGCTCTATCACTCTCATCTAATCCAACCTCAACTGGTTTAGTCATTGTCTTACCCACTAATCATCTAAAAAATTAAACAGGGTGAAGGATGAGCAACCACCGCTCAGTGAGTAGATTATGTAATATGTCAATCAAGCAATGTTGTTTTACACACTCTAGAAAATATTATGAAAATATCAATCCAGATCATATCACATCATCCCTTCATATACCAGTTATCCTTCATAGCATGTAACCAACCACGTGACCCCTCTTGACCTTACTTCCCTATGTCCCCGTGTGGTACATCTATCCCTCGAATACCCCAACATTGAAGTTCTCATGTTCCATGAATAATACATACTTCACAAATATTCCAATCAATATATATAATATGAAAATTTGCATCAAATTAGAAATGCTTGACTTTGAAATAGAGAGATATTTGTAAATAGAACAAATCCATGATAATTCATGGTTTTCATAGTTTATCACAAAATAAGAACTTTTAGAACACATTACATAAACCACTCACCTCGATAATGAGAGCCCTTAAAATAAATTGGCAAGACAACCTATCTATCTATCTTCATGTACTACTACACATGCCATGAAAACAATAATAGGAAATGGTTCCTATTTATAATACTACATAGGCGGCAACTACTTTCCTTCAATTGGTCCAATGTATGACAGTTGATAAGGTTTGGCTCCAAGTTTAGATAGCTGTTATCGGAGTGCCAACACCTCATGCTCAAATAGAGCTTACTCATCTAAGTACAATGACACTTGGAGTCTAAAGTATGTTTTGGATAACAACTAGGCTATTGAACTTGGTTATCAAGAAACAAAGAGATAAAGCTGTCAAAAACAATAAATATAAATATTACTATTTTAATAACTAATAAGATAAATTTCGGAAAATATAACATGTACCAAGATAATTATATATACAAGTTATAATCCAAATATGTAACAAAATATTTAATTTTCTGAAACATAATACATACACACACATATATATATATATATATTAAAATACAGGGTTTCACATTTATGTTCTTTGATGTTTTATGTGTCCAACATGTCTAAGGAAGACAAGCTTTTCAACTTCCTTAAGAACTTGCAACCTTGAGCACACTCGGAGTTGAAGAGACAAGATGTGAAATACCTTAACTTCGCCATTGCTACAGCAAAAAGGTTGATGGACTATCGAGCAGCAGTGATATCGAGTGGGAAGAAAACCCAAGGGCGAGGAGCAGAAGGACTATCAAAGTCAAGATGTTGTAGCTTAATCAAGTACTTTAGGCATGAAGGCAACCGAAAAAATTGATGGAAATTTGTGAGCTTTAGTGGTTCTAATTAATAAAAGTTTGCTGCAAATTCTAATAAGATTAGGGAAATGAATTCCTCAATGGGCATTTAACCTCTAAAACTAGTTTCATGCCCAACATAAGTCCCGAGCATTGATTATTTAATTAATCTCTATTAACTAAATAATCCTTTCTCCGAATCTCTTTATTAATTTTCCATCTTTCACCTTTATGGATGTGTGATCCATTAGGTTCTAATCGACGAGGTAGTAGGCAATTCGGACTCTTCCTTAATTGATTGTCAATTAAAACCCCTTTTTAATTCTTCCTATTATGAAAACATAGTTATGACATATCCTTAGGGCTTCTACAAACCGTGAGTGATGTCTAGCAACATGTCACAGTTACCCAAGCCAATGTCAAATAAGGTGGAGAACCTATTCAGTTGGAATTACAATGAAATATAGTCCTTCTCTAACTCAATACCCTCTCACACATCATTAGGGCATGGAAAATATGTCAAGCCCCTAATGCAAACTTCAAGATTATATGACTTATACAAATATGATTGGAATCACCATTCTCGATCATACCTAGTGCTTCGTTCAAAAATGAAGGAAGCCTTAGAATATTCTCGATTCATTAAGCCACAAAGATGAGATTACACTTAATCTCTAGGCAATGAAAACAAAGATTAAAACTTTGAGCTTAAAAGAAAATCAAACCCAAGTATCTTTAGGCCTAAAAGAATTGAAGCACCTAGACACTTCTACAATCTACTAGACAGAGAAAAAAAAATATTTCTACCTTTGAAGCACTACCTTGAGCAAGGCTAAATGTTGATCACCCATGGAGGGTCTTCACTAAATGATTCTCCAAGAAAGAGCCACATAAGTGTATGGCCTCTAACTTCATACACACCAAAGGAAGAGCATGGAGGAAGAGATGAAGAACCTAGGAGGTTGAAGATGCTAGTGTTCTTCCCCTAGGTGGCTGGCCATGGTGAAGGGGAGGGCATTTTACATTGGGTCACCCATGACTTATATTCAACTTAAAATGACCTATGTGAGTCATTTGCCTCATTTTCTTGCAAAGAGTAGTTAATATGAAAAAAGCTTTTCTCTTTTGCCTTTAACAAACACATATCCACCAACTCATGGATTCGACAACTTTTAATTGTTCCAGTTGAACCACTTGTTCCCACTTGAACCAGACACATTTTCCACCAACTCATTTCAGAAATCACGTGCTATAACCTCCATTGTTTCCCCCAAGCCATGTATTTGTTGAAGCACCCATAACTTAGTCAATTCGCTCACCTAAAACTCAAGGGAGCTTTAGTTTTAAACCATAATATAGTTTACTAATTTAGTAGAAAGAAATACAATTTAGTCTAATTAGCAAAAGGCCAAAAACCAAAATGTAACAAAAATACCATTACAAAATATGAAAATTACAACATATGCCATTTTCAGTATTTAGTTTTAAACCAAAGCTGAAAAACGACATCAAACCAAAACTGAACCAAAACGACATCAACCGAAACCAAAATTGAATCACAACCCATTCACGCGACCTTTCAACTTCACCTCCAGAAACCTCCAGACCACCTCCAGAAACCTCCAGACCACCAACGATCATCGAAGACCACCAACCCATTCGCGCGACCATCATCGAAGACCACTAACGATCGAAGCCGATTCTTCATCTCAGTTTCTGGTTTTGGTTTTCTGCATCTCAGTTTCTGGTTTTGGTTTTCTGCATCTCAGTTTCTGGTTTTGGTTTTCTGCAGTTTTCTGCATCGCAGTTTCTGGTTTTGGTTTTCTGCATCTCAGTTTCTGGTAGTTCTACTTTTCTCTTGCCCACCCAATTCCTCATATGGGTAGCCTTTACTCTTCAAATTTGTGAGGTTGAAGGTGAAGGAAAGAACAAAAATCAAATTGTAATTAAATAAAAACTGCAATGCAGTTTCCAATACTGCAATGCAGTTTCTAGTTTCTAAAAGTCCAATTTTGAGTTCCCTTTCTCTTGGGTAGTTCTACTCTTCTCTTGCCCGCCCAATTCCTCATTTGGGTAGCCTTTACTCTTCAAATTGGTGAGGTTGAAGGCGAAGGAAAGAACAAAAATCAAATTGTAATTAAATAAAAACTGCAATGCAATTTCCAGTTTCTAAAAGTCCAATTTTGAGTTCCCTTTCTCTTGGGTAGTTCTACTCTTCTCTTGCCCACCCAATTCCTCATCTGGGTAGTCTTTACTCTTCAAATTGGTAAGGTTGAAGGCGAAGGAAAGAACAAAAATCAAATTGTAATTAAATAAAAACTGCAATGCAGTTTCCAGTTTCTAAAAGTCCAAATTTGAGTTCCCTTTCTCTTGGGTAGTTCTACTCTTCTCTTGCCCACCTAATTCCTCATTTGGGTAGCCTTTACTCTTCAAATTGGTGAGGTTGAAGGCCAAGGAAAGAGCAAAAATCCAATTCTAATTACCAAAACTGCAATGTAGTTTCCAAAACTGCAATGTATAACCTGTATAAAATTTCACCTACTGAAAAATAAAGAAATATAATGCTGCAAGCATAAATTGAGATACGTTGCCCTCCATGAATTCAAAGACAAGGGAAGCCGTGCCATCAACTTCCATGAAAGCTTGTTTCAAATTGACAATATTTGGGTGGTTCTTCAACTGAGACAGATACTCAACTTCCACCATTTGGAGAAACTCCTCCCATGAAGTCAACCTCGATACCTCATTCTTCAGTTGCTTAATTGCAACAATCTCACCAGTCACCTTGTGCAAAGCCTTCCATACAACCCCAAAACTTCCTTCACCAAGCGGCTTAAAGAACCAATAATTATCTATTCAAACTATCTCAAGAAAACAACACAGACCTAACAAAACTCTCTCTTTGTTACTGGAAACTCAAGAGCTTTCGTCAAATATGGAAATTGATGTTTGCCCAGAAGCAAAACCTAGTTGATTTCCTACTGGCTTGCTCACTTACTCAAGGTAGAAAATAAAAGGTGCCCGACTATTATTTATAGCCTAAATCTTTCTCAATCCTATAAGGAAAAGGGGTAAATCTTTCTCAATCCTATAAGGAAAAGGAGTTTTCGTAATTGAAGCTGTTCTATTTTACTTGGGCCCAAAGTTTTTCTACGGTCAACATTTTTATTTAGAAGACCTTGGAGTTACCGGTGAAGGCCGAAGGGATGAGCAGCTTGAGAATTCCATCCTAGCTGCAAGTGAAGGTTGTGGTCGTCGTTGCTGCGGAGAGAGAGAGAGAGAGAGAGAGAGAGAGAGAGATCTAATCTGATAAAAAAGGGAGACCAATAAATATTTTAATAAAAAGGGTATAATTGTCTTTTCAGTGATTAATATAAGGTGGGCCAACGAATCTGAGCCTCCTCTTTGGCCTAATCTAAAATACATATTCTTTTATGGGTATTAAAACCCAAACCAAAATACCTAATGTCTCAAATCCAAATTACTAAAGTTAATTATGTCTAATTCCTAATTTTTCTAAAACTCCAAAGTCTTTAGGATAATGACCTAAATTAAAACAAATATAGTTTTAAGTAATACGGTATGTTATCATAACTCAATGCCAACACTTGTGATACACCTTCATATTCTTCTTCATGCCTATGCCTCATAAACTTATGTATTCATGAACATTCTCATACACGCTCTCCCATTCTCTAATGGTGTTTTTTCTGGCTAAAACTCTAGAAAGCACAATAATGACTAATAGCAAACCTTCACAATGTCGAAGCATCTTCGTTCCTAAGTCTCTCTTCTTTGTGAACATTCATATGTCTAAAAAACATGAAAGAAAAAAAAACGTACTTGTGGTAATGATTTAAAATTATTGATAAAGACACATTTCCCCAAAGCAATTTCCCATCAAAGGAAACGAAAAGTTTTGGAATTTATGGGATGTGTTGGTAACTCGTGATGAGATAGTTTTGCAAGTGATTTGCTAGTTTTATTTTTTATTTTGAAACGTGAAGATATTAAAGGCCTACAAGTATAAAGTGGTACAAGCCACAACCATCTATACCCATCTATCTATTAACATAAAGGCTTACTTGTAGGTGTGTTGGTCTACATCAAGAATCAAGACTATTATTAAGAACTCCTTAGCGCATATTTCAAATTTCACTTTACTCGTATATACATTTAGTCATTTTTGGTGCCTGAATTCTTATGCTCCCTAATGTCCTCAATCACCAAGAATAGCAATGTCATAATAAAGAGAGAGCACATGTAAGAGCAACTCTCTTCCTCTTTCACTAACCTCCTAACCCCAGAATTAAACTCACCCATGTATCTCTACCTCCCACACTTTCTTCTTCTATATATTTACATCATCTATCTTCACCTTTTACTCCCACATTAGGTTAACTTCATATTTCATTTATATCATCCCCTATAAACCTCTTACATGGCTATTCCTCGTTCATTGAAATTGATCTACCTCTTGCATAAAGCTTAGAAAACCATTTATCTACCCAACTCAAGGAGAAACAAGAATAATAATAATAAAAAAGTAGAAGTGAATAGAAAAAATACACTTTTCCGAATTCACCATCTTTATGCACTCTATGTTAAAATGAATGAAGACATAAAAGTGATGGTAGAATTGTTAAGGGCGATGAAAATTGGAAAGGCACCCACATTGCTGTTGATATCTCAAACAAAACCACATTGTCAAGTATTCGGACATAATACTTTATAAAGACAACAACAAAGCGGGTAGCAGTAGCTGCAATGAGGAGTAATTTAATTATTAGCTTGTTATATAATTTAAATTCTTCGAACATAATACTATATATAAATTTAACATCATTAAGCACATGAAGTTTCCAATTAAAAAAAAAAAAACAAGAGTGTACGGATTTGTATAAGGTGGGACGCATTAAATTATCATTTCCTAGTAATAGCATCACCCAATTTGAACAAAATAAAAGGCAAGGAGGGATGAAAAATTCTTCAAACCTCGTGCATATATTGTTTGTTTCCCTATAGCGTGATCAATGAATAATAAAATACCTCATCAAGTGAAAGAATGTCCAAGGGGGCAAAATCTGAATGCCATCATGACGGAAAATGAAAGGAGGTGCTGAAGAAGGCAGCAATCTCTAGGTAAGTCCCAAATTTTTATTCAATACGCTAATGTTGGTGCCTTTAGAAGATACAATGTGGTAATATGAAATTATGCAATCATCATTGGAGGTGATTGAGGTGTTTGTGGATATATTTGCAATGCAAACTTGAAAGGTTTCATTGATGCTACCTTGCTACATGGAGGAATGTTGTGGAAGTAATTAAAAACATGATTTCAGAATGGGATCTCGATTGCAAGTTGGAGGAAATACAATATGTTGATTTGGTGCATTGCCTTGATGTTTGGAGAATCTACTTATTCAATCGAAAGTTCACTATAAGGACATATGTGTGCACAATCATATATACAACACCAATAGAAGAGTCTTTGGAGGATTCCTACACAAAGGTGATCTTGATATAGTCAAGTGAAGAGAAGAAACTTGTGGAAGAGTTCGAGGTGGAAGTAATCCTAATCGAACCAAGTGATTTGTGGTTGTCTAACTAAGTGAGAAATTTATATCCTTGCTATTCTGAGTAAAATAGAAGGTCGGGCTAGTTTCCGTGTAAATGTGTGTGGGTTTACTTGATTGTACAAGCTCGTTAGAGTGTGTTGGAGTGATCACTTGTTCGATGCGTTGAACTAAAAAAGCCTCAAGTGTTTGAGGCATGTGAGGGCTGAGCTTAGGAGGTGTCTAAATGTAAATTATAGTGCGTGTCGCGAATACCTACCAATGATTCAATAGTCTGGATGAAGCCATGTATTCTATCGTTCATTACCTCCATACTGCATCAACATCCATCAACCAATTACCTTAGTGTTTCACTCATGATTACATGCCAGTCATGCATGTTAAATGACATCAGAATAGAGCTCTAACTATTTTTTTGGGTTGATAGGTATTTTTATCCATTAATGCCATGAGAATGCTCATTTGACAAACTCTCGAGAATGTCCGTTTAATAAACTCAAAAGGTATTCTCACCCAAATCCGCCACACCAACACCAAAACAACATAAAACTTGAAGCTTTTAATATGACAAAGGACTCAACAAAATTACGTTTCTAATACTGCAAAGCATTTTACTTTTTCCCCATGCAATGGGATCAGATTAGCTCGCAAAGAAATGCTTGTAAGATGTATTATATAGCATTGGGAACCTAGAAATGGGTCTTATATAGACCACATCAAACAGGAATGTATAAACATGCATCCAAATACCGAAAGCCTATTTTCCAAATGAAACAAAAAGGCGCTCCTTAAGACCAAAACACTCGTGAAAACAGCGTAACAAAGACAGTGCTGCTCTGAACATATCCCCAAGAAATCCACTTCATAAAATAGAAAATCAAGTCGTCGCCTAAGAATTTCACTATGGAATTCAATCAACATATCCAAAATACAAGCACCCAGGATTGTAATGGACTTCAATAACCATACAAAGCTCAATGCAGAAAACCCAAATTAAGACAAGGCATTCATTTACAACTCTCAACTTTAAAATATAAAACTATAGCACATAAAACACCTTTTTTTTAGCACACAATTAGAACTCAAATCAAAGTATCAACCTTGCATACTAGGACATGAACTCTTTATCCAAAACTATATTCTAACCAAGGGAACGATATTAACAAAACAATAGTGGGATCTGCCCAGGTAAAATGTGAACAAAAAAGCCAGAAAATGTACTTTTCATCACCACCCCAACCAGGATCCCACAGCCTTGCCAACCTGGCTCCACCAGGATTTTCCTTCAATGTCGTTTCCATTTCCATTGGCGGGTGGCTTGGGTGTAATTAAATATTAAGAAATAATTTTAATTTATAATTTTTTTTTACAGACCCACCCCCTTCTTCCTCATCCCGACCAAAAGCCAACCCCTTTCTCCCTTATCCCGACCAAAACCCCCAAACCCCTTCTATCTCATCCAACCCTCTTTCTCCCTCAACCCGACCAAACCCCCCAACCTCTTCCCCTTCATCACGACCCCTTCCCCCTCATGCAGGTTATGAAATTACTAGAAGAAATCTCAAAATTACTCACAACGACACCATGATTAACAACTGCCTTCAAGGGTGCCAATTCGCCATTATCTTTAGTCTTAGGCATCTAACTCTGCCTCTTTACACTCATTTACGTTTGCTAACCCAAAGCCCTAATTGGATGAGAATTAGAATCGAAATCAGAGGAACGCGTATGCTTTAAAGAATGGGCGGGATTGGGTGTTGCAGAGACCTTGTAGTTGCGATTCTTCAAAGAATTCTAATTACGTTTTAAATCTTCAAGCCTCATTATCACCAAACCAATTAAATCAACAATTAACAATAGACAAAGAAAAAAAGATTGATTTCAACAAAAAAAGTTGCGTGATTTTGTTTCTGCCAAAGTGGGTTTTGGCCAAGCGTGTGATTGATTTTGAAGGGTTTGTTGTATGATATGAGAATCAGAATGGAGAGAGAGAGAGTGAGAGAGAGAGAGAGAGAGAGAGAGGAGGAAGGGTTACTAGATTACGACGAAGTGAGGCACGAGAGAGAAAGGAAATATAACCTATATTTTAATTTTAATATGTAAAAATAATAATAAAATTAATATGATTTCTTAATATTTAATTACACCTAAGTCAAAAAAGTGGACCTTGCGTTTGCCACATCATCATTTAACAAAAGACCAAACTGTTAAACTGACGAAACCTGTAAATTGGTTGAATTTTAAAATGTTAGGGCATAAATTGACAAAATTGAAACTCTGTGGCCTATTTGAAGAATGACCCCAAACCTGGAGGGGGTAAAATGATGTTACCTCTTATATGGCTATTCCTCGTTTTTTGAAATTGATCTGCCTCTTACATAAAGCTTGAAAAATCATTGATCTACCAAACTCTAGAAGAAACAAGAATAAAAAATAAAAATAAAAAAGTGAGTAGAAAAAGTATACTTTTCCGAATTCACCATCTTGATACATTATATATCAAAACGAATGAAGACATAGATGCGGAGATAAAACTTGTCAAGGGTGATGAAAATTGGAAAAGCACCCACATTGTTATTGATACCTCAAACAAAATCATATCATCAAGTATTAAATGAAAGGCCTATAAGTTAAAGCTAGAAATCATTGAAGCTGGCAATTTGGAGGAGACAAAGTAATATTTATTTTTTTCTTTCATTTTTGAGTATTTATAATTTCCATTTACTTTAGTTAGGAGTATCATTATGAATAATTTTGTATTTAATATTTATTGAGTAGCACTGAAAGCTCTTTGGATTCTAAGGAATGAGACACCGATGGAGAGGACTCCAATAAAGACAACGACAACGCAAGTAGCAATAGCCGCAATGAGGAGTAATTTAATTATTAGTTTGTTATGTAATTTAAAGTCTTCGGACATAATACTCTATGTAAATTTAACATCATTAAGCACCTGAAGTTTCCCAAAAAAAAAACCAAGAGTTTAGGGATTTGTATAAGCTGGGACACATTAAATTATCATTTCCTAGTAATAGTATCACCAAATTTGAACAAAATAAAAGGCAAGGATAGATGAAAAATTCTTCAAACCTCATGCATATATTGTTTGTTTCCCTACAGCATGATCAATGGAATAACAAATGACCTTATCAAGTGAAAGACTATCTAAGGAGGCAAAATTTGAATACCATCGTAACAGAAAATGAAGAGAGGCGTTGAAGAAAGTAGTAATCTCTAGGTAAGTCTCAAGGTTTTATTAAATGTGCTAATGTTGGTGCCTTTATAAGATATAATGAGAGAATATGAAATTATGCAATCATCATTAGAGGCAATTGAGGTGTTTGTGGATATATTTGCAATGCAACACTCGAATTACCTTGCTTCATTGATGCTACCTTGCTTATTACTTGCACAAGCATTCTTCCATGCAGCAAGGTAGCATCAATGAAACCCTCCGATTGTAGGTTGGAGGAAATGCAATATGTTGATTTCGTGCAAGTAATAAAAAACATGATTCCAGATTTGGATCTTGATTGCAGGTTGGAGGAAATGCAATATGTTGATTTGGTGCATTGCCTTGATGTTTGGAGAATATACTTGTTAGATTGAAAGTTCATTGTAAGGACATGCGTGTTGCACAATCATATATACAACACAGGTAGAAGAGTCTTTGGAGGATTCCAACAGAAAGGTGATCTCGATAGAGTCAAGTGAAGAGAAGAAACCTGCGGAAGAGTTCGAGGTGGAAGTAATTTTAATCAAACCAAGTGATTTGTGGTTGTTCAAACTAAGTAAGAGACTTGTTTCCTTGCTATTGTGAGTAAAAATAGAAGGTCGGGAAAGTTTGCCCGTAAATGTGGGTGGGTTTACTTGATTATACAAGCTTGTTAGAGTGTGTTGATGTGATCACTTGTTTCGTTGCATTGAACTAAAGAAGCCTTAAATGTTGGAGGCGTGCGAGGGTTGAGTTTAGGAGGTGTCTAAATGTAAATTATAGTGTGTGTTGCAAATATCTGCCTACGGTTCAATAGTCTAAATGAAGTCATGTATTCCACCATTCATTACCTTTATATTGCATCAGCATCCATTGACCAATCACCTTAGTGTTTCACTCATGATTACATGTCAATCATAAGTATTAAATGGCAATAAAATAGAGCTCTAATTGTTTTTGGGTCCGTTTGGCCTAAGGGTATTTTTATTCCTTCATGCCATGAGAATGCTCGTTTAAGAAACTCTTGAGAATGCCCATCTAACAAACTCATAAGGGATTCAAGGTATTCACACCTACAACAAAACAATATAAAATGTAGGTTCACATTAAAAAATATTTTTATTCCCAAATACACCAATCACACCAATCACATCAATATATATATATAATATTATATATATCTATGTGGTCATTCACACAAAAATACCACCAATACAATCATAACATAAGTTCAATGGTTTAGAACCACAAATCTCAGTTAAGAAAATTTATTTAAAACAAAACATGTTTCACTTACCCATTAACTGTTGACGAACAAGTTCATATGCTTTAAATCAATTTAAGCAGTTTATGAAAACACCAACATCATGTTAATTATATTCATTAACATTCACCTTAATCACATTATAATAATATAATAATATGTGATTTTATTCACAATCCAAAAAGTTTTACTCACATCTTGTCCAAGCTACACAACACTGCTAAGCTCAACGAATCTAACAACATTGAACTTTATACTCCAGAATCCTCATTGAGCACTCAAGCTTCAACTGTTCCTCAAAATCACAGTGAAAACCACTGAAAAAGCCCAAGATCTATGCAATACATAATTATCTAACCAAGTCTTTGAGAGATATTTCATATGAAGAACATGTTGTAATGTTTTTTGGGATCAAAAGCATGACTTAGATACATATTTACCTAATCCATGCATATTTCTTAATTAATTGAACAAAATCCCTTCGAAAAAAAAAAACCAATTATTGAAATATATTGTAAAGGAATAATTGGTTGAAGGCATATTACCTATAAAGTTATGTACATATCAATCTCTTAATTAAAAAGGCCATGGGTCCATTACACACACACACAGGGGCGGAGGTGTGCTTAGGCCTGCAAGGGCCTTGGCCCTCCCAAAATTCTGAAATAGTATATATATTGCCTTTGCATTGTACAACTTAGGATAATATATATATACTAAATTAATGCTTGTGGCACCCCATAATAAAGAGAGAGGGATTGACATTTCCTCCTCCAACTAAAAGACTCTTTCCTTAGCAATATGGCAAAGTTACTCTTAGGTTCTACTAACATAATTAATAAAAATTAAAAGAAACAGCCAATCAAATCTTTCTTTCACAAGTATATTTAAGAAAATAGGAAATTAAAGCTAATCGGTTATTTATTTATTTACAAGCTTAACACTGGGAAAGAAATCAACCTTAAAATCTTGGCTCCGCCACTGCACACACACACTTTCTCTCTCTCTCTCTCTCTCTCTCTCTCTCTCTCTCTCTCTCTCTATATATATATATATATATAATTTGCTCAGTAATGTAGGTATAGCCTTAAATTAGTGTGAATATAATTCTAAATAACCTCTTTTCTTTCATATAATAGGTTATACTTTTATAGAACATAACTACCCATGTTATCTTTTTTTAATTATAAAAAATAAAATAAAAAAAGAAAACCAATTGGCACATGCATGAGCACGTACCAAGAGGCTAGTATAGATAAACATGATAGATTGCATGAAGAGGACTAGTCATACACATACAAGATAACTAGTCATAACCTAATGCTTTCTATAATTAGAGACTAATAACTTGAGTCATAGACTCACATAACTCACAAGCTTACCCCCGTAAGGGTTTTTTTTTATAAATATTTTAGCTTCTCTGATAACTTTTTCTTTTAATATTTATTTTCCAAACATCCTTCTTGATTGTCGTATGATTTTTACGATAAATCTTGTTGTGCGATTGCCCAATTGCGGGGTTTTTATGAAACAGTTTCTTTTGACAAAAACCAAACATCTTTTTTTATTTTCCAAAAAAACAACTAATTTATTTTTCTATTACGAATCTAAATACAGCGTTGCTTAACATCGACATTCAAGTTATTATTCCTCAGTGACATCTTAAGAACAACATAAAAAAGGTACTTACACAAGAATCTTTTCTCTTTTTATTAAACATGCATGCATAAAATAAATAAACCCACAAAAGAAAGTAATTCCAAGAAGAAAAAAAAAGTTGCATTTACTTTAATTTTTATGATGTTCCTTGTCTTGGAATAAAAAAAGGCGTCAAGGAGCATAGTAAAAAAAAAAATTTGAAAAAAAAATTAGATAAATATAATAAAACAAGGTGTTACTTATATGTTGAGCATTTTAATTTATTTACGCAAAATCCCGATGTTTATTAATGTTTTCAAGTTACTATAGTGGTGTGTGTGTGACAATGGCGGTACCTTGTCAAATGTTCCAGCAAATGAGCCAACTCCGATGATCAACGACCAAAGAAAAGGCCTTTTTGGATGACAAATTATGCAAGTAGGGATGAATTATCTAATGAGGATACTACTGCTCACCTTGATTTAATTGATTATTGATTCTTCCTCTCTCTCTCGATATCAGAAGTAGCGGATCTCAAGCCTAAGCTCGAGGCTTTTCTTCTTGATCCACTCTTCATCTTCATCAAGTTTCCATTTCATTACCATTCGTTCAATCATTCTTTAATCTGCATTTGCAATCCATTTCAAATTGTTCTTCTGGTTACTAACAGCACCTTTCACCACCACCTTTTTGATCTCCGGGTAATCAATTTTTTTATTTTTCGTTTCTGCATTTGGGTATGGTTGAATTCGTTCTAATGCTACTGTCGAGCATTTTAATTTCTTTAAGCAAAATCTGGATATTTTTTAATGTTTTCAAGTTACTATAGTGGTGTATGTTTGATTTTGTTGGCCAGCATTTCATTTTTGTTGATTCCACCAGCCTTCTGCTATTAGAGTAGTACTGTCAACGGGAACATGACTGGTTTTACAAGTTCACCTTGATTTTTGAAGAGCATGACAATTTGCTTCTTGGGAGATTAAGTATTTCGATAATGAGTTGATACTTTGTGGAAACCCAAGTGGTGTTTTTGAGAAAATTGATTAGAAGGTCTATCAATCTTAATGGATGATGTTGAAGAGTTCTTGGGTTCCACTGTTATTGCATGGCTCAAGTACACCAGAGAAACGCTTCGGCAATTGTTTTATAATGTTCGGACTGCTCCAAATGTAAACATTCTAGAAATTTGTGGGAGGCAAAAGTTGGAAATGTTGGTCTTGGGCCATAATTCTGTCACAGGAGTCGAGCCCAAATTTCAGAGATTTCCTTGTGTGAAATCTCTTTCTTTGAGGTACGTTAGTATTTCAGCATTGGATCTGAGCCTTTTGCTGAGTGCATGCCCAAAGATTGAAACCTTAGAACTTGTCAACCCAGAGATAGCAATGTCAGATGCACAAGTGACTGTTGAGCTGGGCAGTCCAACATTAAAGAGCATTTAGGCAGAAAGAATCAATTTGGAAAAGTTTATATTGGAGGCTGATAGCATTCAGCGTTTGCACATGAAAGCTTGTGCTCTTGAGGTCTTTGAACTCATTGGAAAGGGGACCTAGAAGCATTTCAAGATTGATGATGTTAGTGTCTTTCATCTTGATATCGGTGATAATGTTGAAAACCTTGAGATTGTAGATATTAGCAATTTTACAATCATATGGCCAAAATTTTACCAGATGATCTCGAGATCGTCAAAATTGAGGAGGCTTCGGCTATGGGATGTGATTTTTTATGATGAGGATGAGATTGTGGATTTAGAAACGATTGCTGTCTGTTTACCACAGCTGAGTCATTTGTCATTGAGTTATGATTTAAGAGATGGAGTGCTTCATTATGGTTTGCAAGGATCTTCTCATCTGGAGAATGTTACTTTCTTGGAGCTTGGGTGGACTCTAATCAATGATCTCTTCATACATTTTGTTGAAGGGCTGTTGAAACGATGCCCAAGTCTTAAGAAATTGGTTATTCATGGGGTTGTTTCAGAAGCCAAAACCCAAGAAGAATGCCAAACGTTTGCAAATTTCACCTCATCCATCGTCCAGCTCATGAGACAATACATGTATGTAGAGGTGCAGTTTGAGTATGAGTAGAAACATTGCAACAAATATGTGAAATTCCAGTTTTGTTCAATTGTAAAAGCGCATATGCAGGTAAATTTTACAGCTTGTTGAGCATGAGCAGCTTTTTGCATTCTATATGATAGTTGATCTGTCTTCCCCTGATTGATTTAGTAGTTTCTTAAACAAAAAATGGCTCAAGATCTCTCTCTCTCTCTCTCTCCTCTCTCTCTCTCTCTCACACACACACACACAGAGTTACATGCTCATGTGCAAAAAAAGGTGTGCACACACATCCACACATGCTAGTGCACACTGTTTTCTTTTGTTTTTCCTTGCTGATTTGCCTCCTTTTTCTTATGTCGCTTTTGTAATCTTTCTTCAAGTGCCCTCAAGTGCCATTGATCGGAGTTACACAATTTACCCCTGGTATTTGTCTCGGTTGCCTTTTTTCCTTATTTTGTTGTAACTTATAGTTGTGGTAGCAATGCAGTTACAAATTTATTGTGATATTGCTGTCACTTCTCCCAAATTTGAATGTTATTACGCTTCCACTTCAAAAGGCATCTGTCTTTTATATGGTTGAGACTGTAGGTTTAAATACAGTTATTCACTGGAGCTACTCTGATACAGAAAGCATACATCTTATTGCTATTTTAAATCTATTTTAAAATGACTGATTTTAGGAGAAGAAAGACTAAAATAAAGTGTGGGTGTAATTTTTCTGTCCGTTCACTTAAAGCGTTGAGTATTATTAATGGCTGGCAATTGGGGCCTTGATTACCTCATTCAATGAAAGGATCCTCACTCGTCAGCTATATGTTGGCAGATGGGTAGGAATTGCCGAGTTCTGAATTAGGGTAACATGTGAAAAAGGAATTATTTTTTTTCTCCACCGGCTTCTTATGATTTCTGTAACAGATGACCATTTCTTCTTCTTTTGGTTTTAAAGGATTCTCGAAATGCTAGTCCTTATAAAGAGGAGTGTGCGACTAGGAGTTAGAGCCAGGAGGAGTCATTATGTTTGAGAGACCTTGAAATTCTTATAATTGGTTGGGGGCTGTTGAACAGGGAAAGATGTCAGCTTACCTGACTATCTTCACACCTATTTCATTTTATAATGACAACTTATTATAATTTATGCTACTGTTTACTTAATTGATCTCTGTGACCAGTTAGCTAGTATTTCCAATATTCTTCAAATGTACATTAAAATATCTTCGTTGCATGTTGAATGTCACATCTCCGCCATCATTGATAGTTTTGTTCCTCTACTACATTCTTTTTGGTGATTTGAAAAGTTTCTTGCCCTTGTTGTGATCAGTCCATCTTGGAGTTTATGTCTCTTGTTTCTGCACCAGGAGCTTTATCTAATTGAATTGATGATAGATAAACTGCATTCTCATAAATAGTCATATGTTGATGCATATGCCTGATTCATCAACTAAGTCCACTTCAGTGATCAATATGATCATTCCTTGCTTAGGCTAATTTATGATAGCTGGAGCCTGGATTTCTGGTTAGATAGGCAGCTGCAAAAGACAGATGCAATGGAAAGATATAGGAAAAAGAATGAAGAACTTAATTTAAAGACTGTCAGTTGATTATAGAAACAAGTGTAACATTTAGTTGTGTGATAGATAATAGAGAATGTTGTCTGAATATAATGAAAAATTAGGCATCTTGCTTTTCAGGTTTCTTTTAGTTTTGGATTTTTAGCATGTTGTCCATTGGGATATCAGACACCAGATTGTGTCTTCTGGCCTTTTCACCTTGTATTCTAGATGAGGATTTTTAATTATCATTTTTGTTTTTCTGTGTTACGGAAATGAACCTAGTATTTGAGGCTATGTAGCATTCAAGTTATATACTACATTTAAGGCATTTTTTCTGAGTTTTGAACAGCCAGAAAACTGTTATGTGAAATGGTTATAGTTCTAAGACCATAGCGTGAAAGATTCCTACTCAAAATTATGGTGGTACCTTTAAGATATGCAACATATAAACACGAGACCCTCTTATAAGCCGGTCGTAAAGGATGAGTTCTACTTACAGGTTTTCTAGTCATTGTGGATCAGTCACATTTATCTAGATATGTTTTGTTTGCAAAAATCTCTGAACTTCCAACATACAATAGAAAGAGCCTGATGGTCAAGTGGTTATTCTCATGTGTCTTTCTGATCAAAAGACATTTGGAGGCCCTGGGAAGACGCTCTCTTAAATCTGATCATGGCCAAAGCCTGCCCTTGTCTTTGAAGTATGTTGATGATTACGGATTTTTGTTGCACAGAAGTTTCACAGGTACTTGAGTATACAAGCATTGCATTGATTGCAGAGTAATTTGTTGTTCCAAGTTCCAACGAATACATTTTCAAACCGGCGCTAAATTGCTCGTGAGCATCCTAGTGGTGGTTCCTTGAATCATAACTTATTATGGTGTTACTCTGCAAACTTGTGTAAAGTTTTTGATATTTTTATTCAATATAATTATGAGATCATAAAATTGGATTAGAAGTGAGAAAGTTTTAATTCAGTTAGCTTATATGCTGAATCTGTGTTGTTAGATTGAATCGTCATGTAATGCTTCTGCTTTGAGACTTTGTATTTAAAACTTGTAAACAAATTTGGTGTCGTTTGCCATCTTGCAAAAGATCATACAATGTTCCAAACTGTCCAAGGCAAAATGGTCAAACTCAAATGCATGAAACAAACAAATGCATGAAGGGATCGTACGAATAGTTCAGTGGTCAAACTCAAAACCTACTTTCTTTATTGCTGGCTTTGGAAAATATGAACAAATTTGTAACAGCCCAGGTTGGTCAGAAGACAAGGTTTTTAGTTCCGAACCCTAAAATAAAAATCCCAATGATGGTTTCTAGATTTGAAAATTTCATTTCCTTAGCCGGTCAATGATTTGTGCACAGATTACGTGATCTACATAAGTAATTAGATCTTGGAAATAATCCACTCAAATAGATATTCATCATATGCAAGTCAATATCATTTTTCATTAGGCTAGATCTCGTTGGCTGGCTCTAAAGTCCTTAGATGTGTTAAAAATTACGAGTCAGATGAGTGTTTTGTGGGGGAAGGTTGTGAGCAAGCTACCGCTCAGTGATATAGGCTACTGGTCGGCCCACGGAACTCACTACCCTGGCCCACTGTCCTAACCCTCATATAAATTTCCCTTTTTATAATCCAAGGCTATTCCCCTCTGCAATAAATACAAAACTGTATGCGCATTTTCTCTCTCTTTTCTGGTGTGCAAATTTGTATTATGCATATGCCACCGCTGCACTTGATGACCACTTTAACAACATCTGGACTTCCAAGTCCTTCCAATCCCAATGGCAGCATGCATCACACACCGTGGGATGGGATAAGAAAGTAACAATTAATTACAATTTGGAAACTTAATCTGTCACATGTTGCAATTAAGAAACATAATTACAGTTAGTTTCTTAGATTTGCTCATGAGTTTTGCTAATCATGATTGAGTTCATAATTACTATCTTAATTGGGTTCACTGCTAATCATTGCCCAACATAATAATCTTATTGTTTTTGGTAAAAGGTCAACGCTAGGATCTATCTCAAACACAGCTACCTTTCATGGCATCCCCTACTAAATCTGTGCATTTTACCTATAAAGATGCAGAAGATACATGTAACCTTACAAATGTGGACACGCATGCAATAAAATGATGTCTTAATAATAAAATGCAAGTTGGGTCTGGTTCAATTCAAGCCAATAATACTATAGAAACAACTACATTAACATATTTTAATCTAAGTCCTCTTATTGCTTAGGTGACAAGCAATTATGACTAAATCCAGTTTAACATAATCTACAAGGCCATAATTAAAGTTAGAATTTAAGCCCACCCAATCAGCTATTTCCACACAAGCAAAAGAACATATAAAGAACTAAATTAGGGGGAATATAAGATCTATGCAATACATAATTATTTGACAAAGTCTGCTTGAGCGATCTCTCATATGAAGAACATGTTGTAAGGTTTATTGGGAGCAAAAGCATGATTTAAATACATATTTACCTAATCCATGTATATTCTTAATTTGAACAAAACCCTTTTTTAAAAATAAAAAAAAACCAATCATTGGTATATATCATAAGGGAATAATTGGTAGAAGGCATATTACCAACAAAGATAGTAGATGAGCATAACATAAAATATTAATGTTATATACATATCAATCTCTTAATTAAAAAGGCCATGGGTCCATTACAAACCCTCTCTCTCTCTTTCTCTCTCTCTCTTTATATATTTTCCACAATAATGTGGGTTTAACCTTAAATTAGTGTGAATATAATTCTTAATCAACTCTTTTCCTCTATTCTTTTTTGCGCTAAACTTCCTATTAATATTGGAATTAGGAGTAGTTTATGAAAGCAAACTCAATCAATCTGCCATGACATTAGACCCCCTGGCTAGAACTCAGATAAACATATTTCTATTAGTAGTAAGGAATCTTAATTTGCCATGGTTTTAGGTAATGACAGGGAATGGATGTTGACCCATCAACAAAGGTGATAATACCAAACAAATCCATCTCAGAAGCAGGGATTAAATATACATAAGTGGGCTTTGCTTGTGGATTATTATATTCTAATGTTTTAGTTGAAAATGGTATAAGCAAAAAACTTTACAAATATTTTTTTGTAAAACCTCTCTTTCTCAAAGGGCCCCTCCCTACCCCTTAGTTGTCAGAAATAAACTCCATCCCCTCTTTTGGGCCAGAAAAAAGATCACAGAAAACCCATTTGCAGCTTTTCCTTTCCTCCTCAGTCCTCACCTTTTAACATCTTTTGTGAAAGAAAACCTTGTCTCATCTCATATAAAAATGATGAATTCATTGTTATTTATTTTTATTTATCCTGTAAGTACTTGCATCTCTGAAGAGCACAATAAAAAAGAACCAATGGCATAGCACAGGCGGTTAGAAGAGAGAGAGAGTGGAGTAGGAGTCAGTGATTCCAGTGGGTTTCCTGCCAAAGACCCCACACTTGATTTTTCAATTTTTTTTAAAATTTTTTCCTCATTTAATATTATAATATATGTTTTTTATTTATTTAAATTTTTTCAAACCCCACACACCCAAGAGGCCTGAGCTGAGAGACAGGTCTTGCAAGGACAAGATTTTCTGTACCATGGGATGAGTTTCAAAATCTGATAATATTTACTAGAGAGAGAGAAGGGTGATAAAGCAACCCCAAACACAGACAGAGTAATCAATTAGCTTTCTTCATAGAGAAGTAGAGAAAGAAGGAGACAGAGACACCCTCCTCACAAAGAGAGAGAGAGAGAGAGAGAGAGAGAGAGAGAGAGAGAGAGAGAGAGAAGATCAAAAGTTGCAAACAGAGACATAAATGAGAGAGAGACTTACTAGACCCTCTCTCTCCAGTTGCTTCTTTTAGATTATATCCTTTGATCTTTGCTGCTTTGCTTTGCTTTTTGTATATGTCTCTTTCAAGTTCTTTGCTCCATATACACTTGGTCTAGGCATCTTAAAGCAAAACAATTGAGGTAAAGAGAGAAGTGAAATTCCTGGGAAATTGTTTTCCCATTCCCAAGTCCTCTGTTTCTTCTAGCTAACTGAAAAAAAGGAACAAAAACAAAAAACAAAAGTTTTCTTAACTATGGCTTTCATTTCTGCTACATGTCCCGATTCCAGCTTCTTCTTGGAGTACAAAGATGAAAATGGTCTGAGAAAATCTTGCATGGCGAGTCATAGAGTTGGAGAGACTGCTACTGGTTTATCAGAATCAGGGCCTTCAAATCACCATGTTCCTTATGCTGTTCTTCATGGGATGAATGCTCCGTCAACCAGTTTTCTGTATGATATCACATCAATTTCCAAACTTTCATTCAAATATTGCAATTTCAAGACTAATTTCCACTTGGGTTTCTTTTACTTTTCCAATTTGATTAGTTTTTTTGCTGTTTGTTTTTCTCTGATCTGTTCATGTTTTTCTTTTGACACGGGCTATTAATTCTTTTTTTGCTTCTTTTGTTGGTTGCTAGCAATCAAGAAGGATCTGCCTTTGATTTTGGAGAGCTGGAAGAAGCAATTGCGCGGCAAGTTAGAAATGATGAAGCTCAAGCACGTATGCTTCTACACCTATCATCATTTCTGCTTTTGGTGACGTTTGATAAAGCATAACCAACCTCTTTAGAAAAGCAGAGAGAGAGAGAGAGAGAGAGAGAGAGAGGGGTTTGAATATGTCTACTGGAAGCATAGAGAGGGTGGGGGGTGTGGGGGGTGGAGGTTACCATTTCCAATACAGTAATGATTCTGGGACAAGAGAGTTGAATGGCGTGAGGCTACAAACTTAGAAACCTTTAGCATGATTTTTTACTGACTCCATAACTGCAGAAAAGGAGGATTAGGTCCTCCCTCCCCCAACACCTTTTGATGCTTTGAAAAAATCTTGCAAGTCCTTATTTTGGCGATCCTCTGAGATTTGGCTTTTGTGATTCTTTGCAGCTTTATTCACAGGCAGGCCTGCTGCTACTCTGGAAATGTTCCCTTCTTGGCCAATGAGATTCCACCAAACCCCAAGGGTACAGCTTTGACCATCTCCATCCATAATTTATTCTCTCACAATTTTAATTTTGTTTTAGTGATTTTCATAATTACCCAGATGGAAATTTGATTCATTTTTGCTTTGGAAATGGCAGGGAAGTTCAAAGTCAGGAGGGGAAAGCACAGACTCAGGATCACAAGTGAACACTCTCACAAGCAAGGGAGAGGGTGGCCAGTTGGAGCCAGAATCTCCAATCAGTAAAAAGGCATCTTCCTCAGATCACCAACAGGCTTTTGATCAGAAGCATCTACAGTTTCAACAGCAGCAACAATTGCAGGCTCAAGACATGGCAATAAGTGACAGCTCAAGAGGAGGAGCAGTAGGAGTAGGAGCTTCGCAAAGTCAATCAGCTGCCAAACCATCCCAGGAAAAGGTTCTTTAAATTAAACTCCTCCTGTTTTGCAACTGTAATCTCTCATTTCTTTCTCATATCATATCATCCCATACCCCCACAACTGAGGAAAAAGTTGGCATCTTTATTGTTATTATTACTGTTTTCATCTCTCTCTCTCTCTCTCTCTCTCTCTCTCTCTCCAAATATTATAGCACAGATCCCAAAACTCAGAAAATCAAAGAAAGACAGAGTTTACCTGATTTCTGAACGATTTTCTGATAAGATGTCTGACACAAGAAAGAGAGAGAGTTTGTACACACGAAGATATAAAAATAATAATAAAAGAAAAGGAAAAGTGAGAATCTTCACAGTAGTTACCACTGTTTTTGCCTATAATAAATATGCCCCACTTTACTCACTGTTTTTTGCCTATAACACAACCAAAACTTCTTGTTTCTTTCGCCTTCAAAAATCCATTTTGAAATTAGAAACCCAAATTTACTTGCCTCGAGAGCAGCACTCAAGTCATTAGCATCACAAATAAGAAATGCTTCCTGGAAATTCTGTGAGCTTTTCTAATCATTGTTGTGGTTTTGTTTCAATCAAATCATGGAATCTCCACCTATGATTCTGCATATATGTCTAATCCAACTATCAAAGCATATATAAAAACACAACTTTTTTTTTCTTCTCCTTAAAACAATTTCTTCTTCTTTTTTCCTTCCATTTCCATCTTTTTTTATAAAAAAAACCAAAGAGAGATGCCATGCCACCTTCCTCATGTCTCCTTGTTCCCAACCTTAAAACAATTTCTTAATTTATTTTGGTAATTTATTCCATGTGGGTATTTCCATACTCAATCAAAAGTCTCTCTCTCTCTCTCTCTCTCTCTCCCCCCTTTTTCTTATTCATGTTTTCAATGTTCCAGAGGAAGGGAGTTGGTTCTACATCAGAGAATAAACAACTTGATGCTAAGGTTTTCAACATGACAATATTCTTGCATTTCTTCTTTCACAATTTTTGACTTCAACTTTGAACTGAAGTACTTTTCATTGGTTCAGACATTGAGACGTCTAGCTCAAAACAGAGAGGCTGCAAGAAAAAGCCGTCTCAGAAAAAAGGTAAATGTCAGTTATCAAATTATCACACACACACACATTTTTTTTATAAAAAAAATCTAATTTCCCAGCTACTTTATTTAGCTTAATTATTATTTTAATGGTCCATTCTCTCCTTGTCATTAGGCTTATGTGCAACAGCTAGAGACAAGCAGGATAAAGCTTACCCAGCTAGAACAAGACCTTCAAAGAGCGCGCGCTCAGGTTTATTTAAAAACTATGAAAATTTATTTATGACTTAAAAAAATTACAACAGTTAAGATTTATTATTTATTTTGTTAATCGTATTGAATTTTCTTTTTATTTTATTTTTTAAAAAATATTTTCTTAGGGGTTGTTCTTGGGTGGTTGTGGTGGTGGTCTTGGCAATATCAGCTCAGGTGAGTTTCTTGACAAAAACCTTTTTATGTAAAGTTGATAAATGTAAAAATTTAAATTTCTTTGAACATGGAAGCTTCCAGTCAAATATGGAGTTTGACCAAATTATGGAGAAAAATTGTAGCATGTATTTTAAATGGAGCAGATCTTTCAGATGTATTAAAATGATTTTTTTTTAATGGTTTAACTTTTATCTGTGCATGCATTATTCAAATCCACCCGTGCTATAACTTTTCAACTTTTAGCACAATAATGTACTCTTTTCACCAAACAATTATTAATAAATATAAATAATTAAAATAAAACATGTGCTTTATTTTCTACGCAGTAAATTGGTCATGATCATGTATAAATTATTTATTTATTTTGTTATTGTTTTTTTAGGTGCTGCAATATTTGACATGGAATATGCAAGATGGCTAGAAGACGACCACCGGCACATGTCGGAGCTCCGAACAGGGTTGCAGGCACATTTATCCGACAGCGATCTTCGCGTAATTGTGGATGGATACATTTCACACTATGATGAAATTTTCCAGCTGAAGGGAGTGGCTGCTAAATCTGATGTGTTCCACCTCATTACTGGAATGTGGACTACCCCAGCTGAGCGTTGCTTCCTCTGGATGGGTGGTTTTAGACCCTCTGAGCTCATCAAGGTTTGGGTTTATTTCCATGTATACGCAACTATTTATTCTAAATTATTATCATATATATCAGAACTTAGCTAGCCAAGGTTGACATAAAAACATTCAATTTGATCATGCAAAAGTTAATTATTTGCCCCATTTTGACAGTTTTAGGATAATTTATTGTATGTGCCGGTTATACGATTTCTCTTACAATATGTAAGCGGGTCTTACTTTTGTTATTGTGAGAGAAAAGTTGTGTACAACCGATGTTCCTTGTGTATTATTAATTATGGTTAAATAATCTTATTGCCCTTCCCTTTTCACTTGTTTTACTTAATGGGTGTTTCTTTTTGTTATTAATCAGATGTTAACAGCACAGTTAGACCCACTAACAGAACAGCAATTCATGGGGATATATAGCCTCCAGCAGTCCTCGCAACAAGCAGAAGAGGCACTTACTCAAGGTCTAGAGCAGCTTCATCAGTCTCTGGTTGACACCATTGCCGGTGGGCCAGTCATCGACGGCATGCAACAGATGGCCGTGGCTTTGGGCAAGCTCACTAATCTTGAAGGCTTCGTTCGCCAGGTAAATAAAAGTAGTAACAAACATGATCATGATAAATAAATAATATAGCATTATTTTATTCATTTGACCATGGAAAACCAAAGCTCATTTTGCATCCATCACGCAAAGTCAAGCATGTACTTCATATATATAATTAATCTCTTTGTTAAGAATTGTTTTATAACATGCAGTAGCCATTTTGTTCTTCTTTCTATTGAACCCTAGGAGGTTATTTATATACATAGCTATTATTTTATAGAGTATTATTATATATATATATATATATTTATTTATTTATTTATTAGCAAGCTTGCCTGGTGCTTTCTGAAAATGAATTTGTGTCGGAGAGTAAAACGTGGTGTCTCGTTCAGTCGATTTCTGAAAATCATTAAAAAGTTGTCCTAGCTTCATATTGCATTTTACAGATTTGACCGATGCATATCGATATCTAGGTAAAATCCGTTCTATAAGTCCTAGACTAACCCACTTTTCAAAATATCCGAGGACTGATTAGATCTTGCGTGACAAATCTACAAATAGTTGATGGAAATGGAACCCACTTGAACAAGATTAAGATTATCTTTACGAAAAGGGCGGCGATTTTTTTATAGTTGTGGAGCATTATTATAGGTTTCAACGACTACCAGTCAGCCACGCTAATTACTGTTTTAACATTAAGAAGGTGTATGATGTTTCATCACACCACAAAGAGTTGAAGATAGAACTTGGGTAGGTGACATCAACATGGTAGTTGATCTGAATTCTTCTAACTAGGTCCATTTTTTTCATTATATTCCTTCTTTCTGTCCTCTTGTTTTGCGCCGCCATTCTCTAACCTACACCTGAAGGGTAAGAATCCAAGGTCTTTCATTTTCACACACATCACCTTGATTTAACATTTTAATTGACTTTTAGTTCAAGCTCCTACTAATTAAAGAAATCAAAATGGAAACATCCATACTATAGTCAACTAAACATTGTATCTACATTTTTATCATTTCCATGTTCATCCAACCGTTCAATAAATATCTACTGTGATGGTCTTGATGATCATGAATATCCCAATTGACCATGAAGTTTTCCATCCATCAGGGCTGTCATTATCATGCTCTTGGTCAAATTTTCAGACAGATGATATATGATATTATACATATAGATTGATCACATCCTCTACATGCTTGCCACGTATATAGTTGGCTTTATTGGGTCATCATAATTTCATTAACCCCATAATTTTGGGGTGCACCAGTATTTCTTTTTAGCTAGGGTGTCAATCAAGATGCTGAATGCTAGGGTTTTGGTGTAGTTTTTCCATCCCAAATGTTTCTTTCGGAGGTAGGTTTGAGTGTGATGTTTGTTGAAATGAAAACCGTAGCTGGACCTATCGACTGAATATAAAATTCAGATGGCAAATATAGGTAATAAATTAATTGAATATGTTGTATTATTTTTCTAAACCATGATTGGAACAGTCCAAATTCATAGATGGAACAAGTTTTTCCAATTTCAACTTGTTTGAAATGTTGTTTAAAGGCTGTGCCCATGTGACCTTGCACTAGGGACCCATTCCATGGTCTACATAAGCATGATGGTTCTTGTTTAATCTTATATTATATACTAATCAAACATGCTTTTTCTTCTTTTTCTTCTGTCTTTTGTGTCTCTTGTGCTCATTTGGTCGTTCTGAGAATCAAGTAACTCATTATTTGCGTGTCCCAATTGTACTTAGGCTGATAATTTGAGACAACAAACCCTTCATCAATTGCGCCGGATTTTGACAGTTCGCCAGGCAGCTCGATGTTTTCTTGTAATCGGAGAGTACTATGGACGATTACGAGCACTTAGTTCTCTTTGGGCATCTCGACCGCGAGAGTAAGATCTTCATAACGCTTTCATTACTTACTAGTTTGTTACATAAGATACTGTACAACTGCTCTTTTCCCATAATTTGTCCCTCTTCTCTTACATAGGGTAAAAGCGTTACAGTAGGTCCTACACCTACTGTGACTAGTGACAATGAATTTTTGTTCTTGCACATGTTTTTAATGATTAACTTTTGAATTATGATGTATGGATATTCTGCTAACAATGATTACTAATTATAACCACTGAGTTAATAATTATGTCCTCAACTCTGCAGGAGCATGATCAGCGATGACAACTCGTGCCAAACAACAACAGACTTGCAAATGGTTCAACCTTCGCAGAATCACTTCGCATCCTTCTGATCAAATCCCAATAGAGCCAGAGATAGCTGCCTCGTAATTAATGGATCAAGTTCTTAGATTTCTAGCTTTACTGGCTGCGCTGCTGGGTGTTCCTTGATCGAGCTACTACTTTAGAAGAGATAGGACATTCTATATATTTTTCTTCTTCTTTCTATTTTCTGCTTTTTTTATTTTATTTTTTTCTAATGTCCTTGTGTCACCACTACGTTATCTTGTAAATGTAATTCAATATTTTCTGTGCATGAGAAGCTTCTTCCACTTGCTTAAAGAAAAAGAAAAGAATATTAAACAATGAAACACAATTCTATAATTTATCGAGCATATTTATGAATGTTATCTTCATCTAACGGCTTTTGCATGATATACACAGAAAGGTGGCGAGAGAGAGAGAGAGAGAGAGACGGAACTCGGTATGTTGTCATCGTCTAATGTCTTTATTGAAACAATGGATGGTTGTGTTTGTATGAGAGAGAGAGAGAGAGAGAGAGAGAGAGAGAGAGGTGGGTTGTCGCATGCACTTCATTTATAAGAAGTGGTTGCGATGAAGAAGATGAATATATTATAGTGCAGAAGGGACAAGGGTAGAGATAAAGGATATAAACTGAGTAGATTGTCTTCTTCCTAATTGTTTGTGGAGAAAAGTTGTATGCATAGAGGGAAAGGTTGGTTGTTGCCTTCATTTATATCAAGTGGTTGCAACTTAATTACAAAGGAGAGATTGTTTAATCCACAAACGGACGAAGATGATGTGTGCGCATGCATGCCTGTCTACGGAGAGAGGGAGAGAGAGATTGTTTGTTTGTTTGTTTGACCTACAAGTATATATATCAAGGAGCAATTTGCATAAAAGCTGGACATATGCACAGTTGTACCTTACAGAAATAAATGTTCCTTAATTTGATGAACTTGTATGTGAGATATCAGGAATAAAAAAATATAAAAGAATTCTTTTTTTCTGTATGAAAAGATATTATAATTACAAGAGGTTCTTAGATGTAGATCCAAAACGATTAGCTATCATTGAGTTTAGTCCACGCGTTTTTGGTTTTAGATGTAGGTCCTTTGACTTTTATTACTCTTTTTATTGTGTCGATTTTACCCTTTGAGGTATATAAGGAAAACATTGAAAATCTAAATTTAATGAATTATTTACTCTTTTTAATTAAATTTCAGAATTTAAATTTGGAATTCTTTCATTGATAATATTTACCTAATATATGGGTAAAATACAAATTAATCAATTGAAGTAAAGGCCCACATATTATACTAATCAATTAGGCAAGCACCCACATTAAATTATGTACCTAACATACAGGTAAATAGTGTTCTTATTAGCAACGAAAAAAACTTAGTGATAAATCGTGTTACCTATAAGTCATGAATATAAATTAGAATACTGCCTATAAGTTATGAACATAAATTAGAAGACTACCTATAAGTCAGATACAAAAATAGACAAATAAACGTGTATGTTACCTACAAAAAAATGTACATAAAATACTATTCTTCATTGTCTAAAATATGAAAAAATAAATATGACAATATGACAATATACCTATACCATAGGATAATTTATCTACAAGAGTATATACTATACCTCTACCATAGGGTGAAAAAAAATAAAAATAATGGCATGAAATTCTCATCTGACTCATTTTAGACAATACGGATATAATAGGAACAAAAAATTTAAATACAAATCAGTTTAATACAAAAATTTGAATCAACATGTCAAAGATGGAATGTAATATACGTGGCAAACTAGTCAAGGGACTTGTATCAATAAACAATAATTCGAGGACTAGACCTAATTATTGGTTGGATTTTTGGACCTCTATCAACTTTTCTATAATTACAATCATGAAACAGTACAGAGTGAGAACCGACATGTTAATGTGCGAGTTTTCAATAACAAGCGTGACTCCAAATAATAATACAAAATCGAGGTGTAAAAATATTCAAATTGAACAAGTTCTTAGCCTTTATCCAATTTTTCAAAATGGTAAAAAATCAAGGTTAAATTTATTATCAAAGAGATGTTTGATATTTTTCTTCATTTAAAGACTGAAGATGTGAAATTGACATTGTTATTCAAAAACAGTGAAGATGAAATATGAACATTGTGGGTTAATAGTGAACCATGACATAGGTAGTATGGCTTAGGGTTACACATACATGATGAGGCTTCGAGTTTGAATTCTAGATTTTCAGTAGACGATGCTTGAGACATAGGGCTCAAGAGCCTAACTAGGTCTAGTTATTAGGGCTAGGAACTCGAGGTCAATCGCTAGAATTTCATGGTTGGGAGTCGGTTGTTCAAGGTCGTAATTGATACTTGGGTGAAGGGGATAAATTAAAACCCTAATGGACAGATGTATGACAACAGTGATAAAATAAATCTGGAGACAATATGACTAGTCAACAACTAGTCATACACCTATGAACATATAAGCATAACACAGATGCACAACATATCAAATATTCAAATCTCTACAAGCCTAGAAGATAACTATGTGACAACCTAGGCACTCAGAATGACCTGTCGATCTAGGCATCCCTTATGCTAGTAACAACTAGAGTGATAGGTGTGTGTGAACATTCATCAACATTTCAGATATAACACATACAGTATGACTAGGCATATAAATAAGAGAATCACACTAGAAATGTTTACCCAAAAACCTACCATTGGGAAAAACTGGGGGTCATCACTCCGACCAGGCATCCACTAAGTCAAGAAGGTTCTTACATAAAAAGTAATCACAAGCTCAAACAATCCTAGGTCTATTTAGGAAATGAGCACTACCTCCATATGCAACCTTCTTCCCTAAAACCCTAAACCCTACCTCCATATGCAACCTTCTTCTCTAAACTTAGTTGAGCTAGCAACTTATCCTTCATGGAAATGGCAACTAGTCCATCAGTTTTTTCACCCCATGGCACCGCAACTCAGCTCCAGATTGATAGATCGATGAATAAGCTACAAGACTCAAATAGTTTGGTCTTTAAAACAGAAAGCAGAAGCCCAAAGTCCAGAAAGGCCTAGCCCAAGACTTATCAAACAAGACAAACAGACTTGGGCCTCAAAAAGAAAAAGTCACCTTTTGGGGTCCAGACAAAATAGGCCAAGCACGATTTGGATAAAGAAAGGGACCCATTTTTAGAACCCACGTGACATTTTTTTCTTATCAGATTTGGAAAAGTCAACAAAACCAGCCATTATAGAGATGATTAGAGAAGGTCAATAGCCGGCAAAAACTAGAAAAAGACAACTCTGAAAAATCTAAAGATCAAATCCCCTCTTATGTATATTCTGGGATATTGTCTCCACTCCAAAGAGGAACCATCTTGTCAGAGAACTACGCAGGCTATATTTTTCAAAAGATAAAGCAGGAAATAGAGAGTTGTTCAAACTGGGAATCAGACTAACCATCACGATTTTTTGAGCTCTCACAAAAGGGGAAGTTGAAATTTTAGGTTCTCTTTCAAGAAAAATAGGGAAGTGATTGCCTATTAAGAACCTATCTACCAAAAACTGATGAAATCCCCTTTTCTTTTCCATTTTAAAAGGAAGATCTTTTTGAAAGGATTTGCCGCCCATTATTAAAAGAATTACCCTACTCCAGAAGACATTTCTTATAAATACAAGAAGGAGTGAACAGGGCAAAGGACAATCAATCTTACACTCAAATAATCAATCAAACAAACAACTCAAAACCAACCAAAAGCTCACTTGAATTCCAAGAAAAGCCAACTTTAGATCAGAATTCCCAAGGTCAAGACTTAGAAAATAAGTCATTCAAAATGAGATTTCTCTCATTACAAATTTGGTTCAGCAAAAAATCAAGACAGGTAGAGTTTGAGTTTTTCTCAAACATGAAAACCTCAACAAATTTCACAGTGCAATCTTTAGCCCACTGAAGTCCCCAAGAACAGCCACTTCTGCCCTTTCAGACTGAAGAAACCGCAGTTCTGCCCATTCAAAAGCCTCACAAAGGCTTGAAGTAGATTAAAGCTCTGCTAGAATTAACCTTTGGTATCGATTTACAGCTGAAACTTAGCAGTTGAAGTTGTTGACAGTTCAGTCCAGCCCAGATATTTCCAGTCTAGCTCGAGTCAGATCCTCCTGTCCAGGCAGAAATGGAGTTCCAACTGTCTTTTTATCTTTCTAGTGTGGGTATTTATTTTTATAGTTTTATAAAAGGCAGTTCTACCTAAGACAACTTAAATTTCATCAACCATTCTGGCCAGAACAACCTCTTTATACTGAGATAAATTGTTAAAGTCCTCACCAGTCTGAGGCAAGAAAAGAACTTACTTGGGAGATATTCCTCACCCAAATTCACAATCATTTGTTTACATAAATCGGTAACTTGGGGCGCAAGTTATCTATTCTAGAATGAATCTACTAAAATCTTCATTGCTAGCAGTGGCACGCTCATACACCAAAAAAAGCTGACTTGTTGACCAGTCAATGGTTTTCAAGGCAGTGGGGAACTTTTCCCTTCCATCTCAAGAGTAATCACGAAACGGGGTGAACAGAATCTGATCTAGATATGAATAAGAATGTGTTTAACTATCCTAGATGCACATTTTGAAGAACAAAGCAAATTTCAAAATCAATTTGAAAATCTCATTTTGGAAACCTCATACCTCACTCAACTCACCATTTGCAAAGGAGAAGAAGAAGATGACTCTCTTTCTCTTTCTCTCTCAAAAATGATGAATGAATGAGTGAAGAGGATTTTAAATGTCAAAGCAGATTTTCAAAACCATTTTTCAAAATCTCATAATGAAAACCCAGACTTCACAGAGAAGGAAGAAACACAAAGAAGAAAGGCTCTCAAAATTCTCTCTATCTGTCAAAGTGACGGCTACAGTGTTGTAGCCTCCCTTTTGACCCAAAAAGAAGTCTGCCCTAAATTCCCCCTGCTAGCAGCCACTCATTTGCTTCAAAATAAGACAAAAAAAATAATCATGATAGAAAACCTATAGCTGGTAACACGTGAGAAATTAAATGAGCTGGCAATGAGCTAGCAGTGACGAATGACTAGTCATCACGTTGACTCGATATGTCCTAATATATATGCAATGCATGATTTATCTTTGAAGATCTTGATTGCATCTTGCCACTGTTGATCTCAGCCACAGTAGTCATCTTCAACTAGACTATCCTAATCTAATTAACTTAGAGCTTAATGAATTACATGTGCAATTACAAAGTTGTCAAGGGAAGCTAAAAGACCTTAGCTAAACATAACCTAACATCGAGCCTCGAGACCTCGGGCGTATTGCTCATTGCCATGGGCGGAACCAGTGCAAGGGCTACCCTTGGCTGTAGGGAAAAAAAAAGTGGGACCATTTTGTTACTAATTTTGGTGACTTTTGGTTGTTGTTGTGGGTTACTAAAGGTTTTAATCTTTTTCCATTAATTTGTCTATAAAAAATAAAAAAAAGAAGCATTTTTCTAAATAAAATTCACCCTTTCTTGAATAATATGCTCTAATTTCTTTTGTTCTTGTGTTTACAATTAGCGTGATTTATATGATTTAATATATGCTATTTCAAGAAAAACTACAGAAAATGTAAGTACCAAAAAAAATTATCATTAAATTTTAAGCTAACAACTTTAGCTAACTCACTCATTAAAAATTTTCTGGTTCCGCCCTTGTTCATTGCTTAGAACCTAAGTCCAAAGCATAGAGATAATTAGGGACTTCAGGTCATCAAGTGTGAAGGGCCTGGATCCCAAACTATTATCACCCCTGATAAGTGTTTTCAGTTGACTCGTTTGACTGGGGGTCAACGTATACCTTGACCGTTTACTAAAGGGTAGGAAGTTGCTATGCCCTTCACTTTCAGCTCATGAATCTAATAGTAATACCTCAATATTTGTGAACCAAATCCAAATGCAAGATTTCATTATAATACACAACCACCGCAAGCCATGCAATTTACCAAGCATGGGCCGGCTCTATACAAGAAGTATTTCTCCTTAATTAACAAGAGATTAGTTAATAAAAAGCTAGCGCCTAATACAACCAATATGTGCCATGGGAAATACCAACTCTTGGCCTCTAGCTGAACTGTAATGAATTAGTGCCATTACCAACTTATCAAAATAGAAGTTTTTTTTTTGGGGGCCAAAGTTAGAAAGGGGTAGGGGAAAATATCACAAACACAGATACCATGGGGCCTTGAATTCCCGACCATTCGGGAGCGCACCAAAGACCTGGACCAATCCAACTTACATCCATTTGGTCAAAATAGAAGTACATACCTTACCAAAATAAAGTAATAAACTTAAAGTTCTGCTAGTGCCCTAAGGCACAAAAGGCTAGCTTGCTTTCTAACTGGAAAACCTAGAAGAAAGCACACACTAGAAATGTCTTATATGACTTCTCGAGTGATGGATCAGCTGAGCATATTAACTTTTGTAGAATGATCAACAATTACAATTGGTCAATAAAATAGTTAATTAATATAGCCTACAGAGCTTGGTAGCCCAAGAGAAAATTTATTTTACAAATCTTTCTGTGGAGATTCCTTGTAGAAGAATATGGACGTCGAGTATGACATGCTCCTGTAGTTGATTGAACACTCCATCCCCTTCTTTTTTTTCTTTTTCTTTTTCTTTTTGCATTCTAAATTATACCGCTTTTCTTTTTTCTTCTCGATTGGCCTCAACTTTTCTGTCCATTAGGATCGACATTGAATAAATTAATTATGTATAAACAAAGGTTGGCATATCCATCATTATCAGCATGCCTTTACTATCCTCATTAGATATCATAGGCTACAAATAATCCTATCTTCCCTTTACTTTAAAGCATACGTCTTTTTTTATTTGGTTTGATTTATCAGACACTAATGCTGCCTTCGTCATTACTTTTTCCAATTAAAAAAAGATATAAAGAGTGGGAGGCAAAATATTCTTACGAGCTTTACCCAATCAAAGTGCTTCATGCCAGAAAAAAAGAAAAAAAAAAAAAAAAAAAAAAAAAAAAAAACCAAAGTGTCATGTTGTTGCGAAACACATCGAACGTGTAATATAGAAAATTAGATATAAATCCAAAAGGTGAAGCATTCATTAGGAAAAACTCATGTGTTTTGTCGGGTTAGAGCCCTTAACTGAGTATATTATGTTAAACTATCTGCTAGGGGGTCGACACATGCCATTCATGCCCTCAACCACCCTATAGGTCTAGTTTTAAGAGTGCACATGTTTGTTTTAATATGTCACGTACGTCGTATGAAATTATCTGTCATATCCTTAATATGTTCATAAGAAATACTACGATAAATTGATATATCATCTCCTTCGTATTTCAAAAGAAAAACACCTTACCGATATCCAACCCGATTGGGAAGTGTGAACACTAATCTTTGTTATGACTCAAATACTTCATTTTAATGAGTAAACAAATTTGCATTCAAAATTGGGACTTGAATTATGCAGCAATGAATATTGGTTTTTAAATCATATCGTATATATTTATATATAAGAGTTTTTTTGTCATTTGATTGCTAAAGCTGACCTGATCTAGCATAAAACATGCATAAATATCAAGGGGGGCAAATGGTGGTAGACCAAATCCAATACTTCTTGCAATTGATTAACATTATCGTCTAACATTAATACTATTGACTTGTAGTTGGTGGATGGCGGTTTGTATTGTGCATATATTATGTATATAATATGGTTTTGTGGTCAACTGTTTTAGCTATATATTAACAAAAGTAATAATAACCATACAGGGCATATTTGTTTATCCTAATGAGTTTTCAGTAAGAAACATACACAACACTACAAATTTCCAACAACCCCTTCATCCATGACAGCTGATTTGATTAAGTAGGAAATTACAAAAAAATTATGAATCGGGTAACTTAAGAATGAGGGAATAAAGAATCGGATTAACTACTCCTTTTAGTTATCTAATTCCTAGTTTTGAAGGTATTTAATTACGGATTTTAACATGGAAATAAAAATATTTTATTCTATTTCTTCGATTATAGTTTGATGAATAAACCATTTTCGATTTAGTTTATCTCTTGACTGATTTTTGTCAAAAGAATAGGTTCATGCTCCAGCTAGAAACTTGATTTGGATTTTGGGACCATTTCATGTCAAGTGTCAATTATGTATCTAAACATAAAAATTAAAAATACTCGTATATGTATGTTCTCCACATTTTTGCCATGAGTCATGACACAACGGTGTGGCAGGCTGCCCTAGGCCTACGTCTAGTGTTGAAGGTGAATGACCAAGATGAATGAACAGAAACAAAGGCAATTTCAGTTGGTTTGGGCCATTAAGACCACCTTAGCCCAACCATGCTCTTCTCAGAGAATTTAAAAGGAAGAGCTTCATCACAGCATGGTCCATTGTAAATGTTTTCTTCAAAACAGCTCAACCACATACTTGCCAAAATGCTCTTATTCTATGTAAGTTATAACCATCCTACAAGCTGTGTCTGTCGAGACTTTGTAAGAAGAATTTCAGGAAATTTACAATTCATTTTATAAATCAGTGTAGCACGCACAATTAACTATCAAATGTCTACAATAATTGGATTCACTAGCTTAAAGTTTAACAAAGTATGAACTACCTATGCACATACATGCTGCGGGTTACGTCAATTGATCAAGGCAATATGTCCGCCGCTTTACATTTAAGTTTGATACCCCTCTCTCTACATTAGACTAATTTAGAGTATCGCTTTGTCAAAAAAGTATAAACTACCTATCAATTAGTTTTAGTTTTAGTGTGCCTCCACATATATGATCACACATCACACTTTAGGAGGGATATAAAGTACTTGAACAATAAAAGAAATACACATCTAGGTATTACATTTAAAATCTTCAATTACCTCGAAATTCATTGCGTAGAAAAAATTACAATGTGTAGTTAGGTGTGGTGTGGTGCATGCTCTGGCTATACTAACTTGGCTTCAATCTTAGAATTGGTTTTGGATTTTTGATATAACCACCAAAAGGGGATCGGGGTGAAATAAAAGTAAAAGCTGCCTTACATAAGCATCAACTCTGAGAGATCATCCATTGGTATTTCGAGACCAATGGAATCATGATCTTGCAGGCCGTCTTCATCAAAGTTCAACCATGAACTAAGATCTTGGTTCTCTTCCAGTGAATCTAATTCATGTAGTTGCAAATTTGCAATATCAGTGGGTTCATCTGCCTCTTTAGACGATGGCGGTGTAGGAGCATCACTCCGCAATGGTGGGCCCGTCCTACTTTTCTTATTGCTGGCATTAGGAACTGATTGACTTGATGAGTGAGTATTCTTTTGCTTGGATCTTCCTTTTGTTTTGCGTTCACTTCGGGAGCTGTCCAATGATGTGTTACCAACTCCACTAGGTGAAGTGTTTCTTAAGTTATCCAAGGTTTGGTCCTTATTTCTCTCACCTCTGTTTCCCTTCGCGTCGTGAACAGTGCTGTCAAGAGCTGAAGTTAGCCTTGAGGAAGCACTTCCAAGTCCAACAACATCAGTAATCAGCACTTCCCTCTTTCTCCCCTTGTTCAAGTTCGACATCGATCCATGCTTGGAAGAAGCTTGACCAGACGAGTCAATGACAGCATGAAGAACCCCTGATGAACCCCTGTCATGGTTATCACTAGGGGAATCATATCTCCCAAACGCACTGGATACGGCACCTGCAGAATCATGGAACAAATCTTGTATGGTTATTAACTTGGTACCCCACAACAATCATTGAATGACATTTTTATACGATATAGTTAAAAGATCTTTACCCTTACAACTTGAATCAGCTAAGAACACATAAGGTTAGGTAAAGAATGATAAAAGAAAAAAGATATGCTCCTAAATTAAATTCTCAACTTTCATGGATGCATATTGGTATCAGTAAACGAGCATTTACAGGTCTAAGTTGACATACCAGATCCTCTGACTTCCGCTTGATGGGAACCTTCATTGCATGTATTACTAGCAGTTCCAGAGCCAACACAGTCGATAGATTTTGCAGCATTGTTGCATGAAAGTTCAGAGAAGATAACATTCTGCAGTGCAGGATCAGTAAAGCAACTAATGCCCTTTTCTTCAAATTTTCGACATCTGGCAAGTGTGCGTTTGAGAAAACCCAATGCCACTTGTTTTGAAACCTTACGGACTGCACTTTTTGAACCACTGCTCCCACGGCAAGCCTGTAAACGTTAAGTTGATGGAAAATGTTCAGTAATCTATCATATTCTTTGGTTCATCATTAATCTGATTACAAATTCACCTTACATATTACCATTATAGCAGACATAAGTATTCCTCATAAACATTCACATATAGTGGTACTACTCCACCCACTTCTATCTTCCAACTCCATCAATCAAAACACATCCACATCATAGACAATAATATTCGATCAAAGAGAACACCATGCCCATCTCTAATTATGCCTACTGAGAAAGATGGTATTGGCCAGCACACACCTTGCCAGTGAGATAAATTGTATGATGAAAGGGGAAAAAAGAAGGATTGCTCACTGTAAAGAGGACATAAGTTGCTTTGGGGGGCTGTTTGTCAGTACTTGAAGTTATTTCCGAACGGAAAGGATGGTTATCTTCATTGTAGGGATGGGGACAAATTTGAAACAAAATGGGATGGGAGTAGCATCACTTATCCAGGATTGCAGAACCTCTAAAATTAACTGATACAAAATGTTTGCACATGAAAGATAGTGCAAAGAATCATTGATAGCACAGTTAAGGACACGAGATATTCTTTTTTTTCTTTTTGGTCTATCAGAGCAATTCGCTCATGTTCAGGTTTTCTAACTAATATGATCAGCAAGATATCAGAAAATTATCCACTGCTCCCACATTAATTAATTAATTTGTTTGTTAAACAGAAGCAGGTGTTGACTAATTTGATGTGTGCCTAACTTTATCAAAGTCCATGTTTTACTTTGCTCACATCTGTGGATGAAGGCAGATTAAGCTCCAAAATACTATATTAGTGAATTTCTGAGAAACAACCTAGGTTTAGTCGGTGATGGGAACACTACACATAACACTCAACACAGTGCATTCCATTCCTTAAATTAAAAATAATCCCGCATTAACCTCTATATGGATTCTGGAATAGACATAGATACACACACTAATAACATAAAGATTGCTGTCCCTTCTTTTTTATCAATACATGCCTAGTTGTGGAAAGTGAAGTAATGGCAGGAAGAAGTGAATTCTAAAGAAACTTGCGCAAGTTCATGAATTTTTATCTAAGGACAAAGGCACCCTAAGATAAGGGGAAGTTAATAAGGATATGTTTTTGAGAGGATAAAAGCATGGCCATGAAAGGGTATCTTGTTCTATAATAGTATACAACAACCCCATAGGTACTAGTTTAATATCTTGATCAAGAAGCATATCAAAGGCCAAAATATTAAAGACAGATGAACAACTTAAAAATGAATAAATATAAAACCAAAAATGAAAATAACCAATTACCAGTTGTTTCCTGTAAGCAATCTCAATAAGTTGATCCATTGCAACTAGTTCAATTCTCCTGTGATATGAAACGACATTAATCTAAAACATCATGACTGAACAAAGAAAATAACTTAAGTAGTACAATCAGTAAAATATCCACAGCCTTGTGAACCCTACCGTCTTTCTGCAGCTCTTTCTTTCTGAACAATTTTATCAATTTTTGCTAAGTGTTTCTTCTTCGTCGCAATCTATTAGTTACGTAAAAGAGATGTAAGAAATGGGAAACAGGAAGGTCAATGGAAAATAAGAGGATAGTCGTTATGAAAATTCACTATGCATACTGTGATGCATATAGCCTGTACAAACAGAATATTTAAGAAAATGCAACCTGTTGATGCAGCCCTTGCTTGAGTCCCATTATATCTTGATTAATCACTTCTTCTCCTTCTGTAAGATCCGGCTGGAGCAAGGCACCCACCAAAAGAAAAAAAAATGGGGAGAAAGGTAAGAAGTATAGACAAAACCACCAAAAAATAAATGGAATAAATTTTTTCCACGAAGGTAATATTAAGGACCAATGTCTGAGATGAGTGCTTACCAATGTCTCCGGACATAAACCAATACTCTGCAGCTCCAGGAGAAGCCTGTCATCCAGGCACATCAACTGATATTGGCACTCTGAGGAAGGCAAGTTAGTAGTCTTGAGTTCCCTAGGTTGCAGATGACCAAGATCAGTTGGACATATTTCACAGGCATGCCCCACATCAGAATGTGAAACGTCCTCATCTGCCTGCCACTGTTCATGGTTGTGTACAGAACTGGGCATGCTTCTATTTCTAAATGTATTAGTTGCAGCACTTCTATCACAAGAAAGTCTGTCCAGCAAGCTATTTTTCTGAGTCTGAAAATCTCCTTGTGACTCAACTTCAGATTCTATCCTGTCCCAATCTTTGGGTTCAACATCAATCTGATTACATGAACCACAATGAGAATCATCACTCGCACACCGTAGGTGCAAATTTTTCCCTTCACTACGATGGTACAGTTCTTCACTTTCATCTTCTTCAATTAAAGCAGAAAGAACTCTTTGGTATAATGGAGTAGCCTTTTCCAACCTTCTCATGTCAAAATTTTCACATAAAGCATCAGTCTTTGATGAATCTTGATTAAAATGGTTCCCTTGTCTTTCCCCAGAACAATTAGGGAATTCTCTATGCATAAAAACACCCTGCAAGAATTAGTTCACAACTAATCAATATCCACACAAAAAAAGTTAAACTTATTTACTATCCTTTTCTCCCTTGAGTTTAGTTTTGTGAAGATATGAAAATAAAATGAAATGCATAAAAACAAATGAAAGTTCACAAGAACTAATGGCCAACTGTATTACCGAAACATTATATTCATCACCAAACATCTGAGACAAACTCTCACCAAGCTCCTCCGCAAAACTTAGCTGATCCATCCAATATCAAAAAACGGGAAGAGGAAAAATTTGTAAGTGTCTGACCCAAGGATACTCATTAAATTTAGATGCATCAGGGGACCCATTTAATACCTGCCGCTGTAAGTAGGATATGTCCTCTGAGCTGAGGGAACCAAAAACTGATTCCATTTTCTTCCAAAATGGGCCAGAACTTGCAACTTCTGCAGAAACCAGGCAGAACTTTAGTGACAAATGCATGGATGTGTAACAGAAATATGCTGCTTTTGTAGAGAACTGTTAAACTTTGTGTGTGCGTGTGTTTGTGCACTAAAAGGTCAAGAAGCATACTACTAGCATTCCGAGCAGAATTGGCAGCCATATATAGTTCTTCATGATCGTCATCAGATTCACCTAATAAGGATATGACAATGCATATTAAAAAGTAATATTGCCAAATTCTACATCTAAGGCCTTCTAATACAAGTATTTCCACAATATTTCATAATAGACTTGGTTATATAAAACATGCATGCTAACAAACCAAACACATATAAAACAGAAAATGAAAATAACGAAAAAGATATTTTTTTTAAATAGACACAGTATAATTAACATTGAAAAGTAAAATAACAAAAACTTCTCCCTAAAGACATGGAACCTCTACAGGACAACAAGCAAGTGTTTTAGTCTCCAACATTTCACATCCTTTAAAAAAAAAGTTGAGGAGGAGGCGGAGGAGGAGGGGGGGGGAGGGGGTTGGATTTCTATCAAGGAGAGAAGGGGAAATCTAGTGTATTCCATGCAAAACTGAAATATCAATTCCAGATCCACAATGTTTATTAAAAGCCCATCAATATAAGTTAACTTTGAAGAACTTTAGATGCCAAAAGGAATCTGAAATTAACCTAGCTGAAGTTGCATTATTTTAACACTACCTGTGAAATCGGGTGAGTCATTATATGTTATTGGCCCAACACGAGTTGACCCCTTTCGATCTTTCAGCTTTTTCGAGGGTGGACGACCTGTTTTACTAAAAGACCATGAAGTATGATTAGATTTCAGTCAATACACTCAATTCATTGACGCAAAAGTCAACAATACCAATGGGGCAGATAAAAAACAGTTTAGATACCTTCTATTCTTATCGGACATAGGTTTCATCCCTTGAAGAGGCTTTGTGGTTGGTAAATTCTCTGGTTTCTCCATAACTGGAGGAATCCCAGGCCTTGTCAAAGATGGACCTCTTCCACTTCTTCCTTGCCTTCGCACACCATCTCCAATGTCATTAGTTGGTGATTTATTCTTCTTGATGGACAGTAAGTGATCCCCAACTTTTTCATCTGCAGCTAAGGCAATGTCACCACGGTCCATTCCCTTCTCTTTCAACTTTTTTTCCCCAGCTCCCGATTCTTCACTTCCAGATAACCCGTATGGAGATGACACATTCTGAAGTTCTCTTTTAGATTTCGTGGTATGATTATCTAAACTGCTCGTAACTTGTGAACCATTGGTCCCAACATTAGAAGTTCTAGCACTAAAATCAGAAGTTGCAGCGCCTTGATAGGAAATCTGAGCCTCAGCATTGTTTGTTACAGGAGAAACTAAATTTGTTCTCCTCGTGCGAGAGCTTTTATGTGGTCTCTGACCAACCCACTGGGCCATAGGATGTACAGAAGAACCATTCGATGTTGCACACTTTTGATTATTTGTCACACTTGCTGCTTGGACTTTGTTTTGACCAGTAGGCTGTTCCAAACCTTGAAAAGCTCCGGACGAAGGGTGAACATTAGGGGATGAGTCTATATTCGTGACGGAACCAGTTCGTGGTGCCCTAGAAACCTTTCCTTTTATCACAGGATTAGGACTTCCTGCACGGTTATCCTCCTGAGGATTTAGCCTGAGGCACAGATTCACGAACAAATTAACAGTCTCATTTTAACCACAAAAGTGAATTTTGAAATCCCAGTGTCAAGGTTATCAGGCGCAAACTGTGGTTGTCTTTAATCCAACAACTTCAAATGACTTTGAAACTCTACTAGATATTGTAAAAATCATAGTATGAATAAGATAACTCAGAATGAAATACATACTTAATGTTTCCTTTCAACACAACCCTCTGCTCTAATACAGCTGAACGGTCTTTTGGAACAGGAGCACTTTCCAGCTCATTCTTGAGTACTGTACAGGTACTGAGATTAGAAGGTTCAAAAGATGGTTCCGCCAACTTATTGATTCCACCAACTCCAAGTGAAGCTTTTAGTCTGCAACATATCAAAACCTAAGTAATCACACTTACCGAAAGTATCTCTATGCTCATTAAGTAATCATACTCAAGATATCATGAATGAACAGTAAGGAAGTGTGAACCTTGCAGAATTACACAAATTAGAAAATTCATTTTGATAGACAAATATATGTATATAATATATATAGTATATGAATACCTGAAACCTTGAGCATCACATATGCGTAGCTTAGAATCACCACTCAGCTTTGGATGCGTAGCTCGTTTTATATCCCGTTCACCACCTATAATTCTATTACTCACTGCTCCCACCGAACGTTTCTTTTTTATTTTGTGATCCAACCCTTCACCTCCAGCAAGCAATCTGCGGGTCTTTTCTTCAATCCTAGCAGAAGCCCCACTAACAGCCTGAAGCTTATTTTCGTCCTTGTCTGTGGTCACCTGCTGCCTTGAGGTGGCAGCTGACCTAACATCTGCCTGGTAGCATTTAGAAAATGTGTACATCTTAGAAAGAAGCTTGCATTGATCACTTCAAGAAGCATGAAAGTAAATATTGAACTAAACGAAAAGCTGGAAACAATCTAAATGCCTGAAAACTCGCCAACCAATTTAGTATAAAATTCTGATCCAAAAGTAGACTTGATCAAAACTTCTCTTTTATTGTACTTGTCTGTGTTTTTTTCCTTGAAGTATAAAGACTAAAGTAGGTTTATTTTTATTGCATAATGAAGCTACAGAAGAGTAACATTAAGAAAATCCAAATTAAGGAATAGATTTTTCTTCATTGGATGCCATTTCAAAATAAATCTATTTTTGTTAAGCCACAGGTAACAAGATTAAATTGAAAGAATTACAATTACTTCAGAATACGAACCCGCACATCAGCCACTGACGTCCGAACGCGTTTATTGAACCCAACGCTCTTGGCCCTGTCTTCCAATCTTTGAGTCATATTCTCTTGAGGGTTTTTATGAATTTGACTTCCCAATTTCACTAAGTTTGCTCCATTGGACCTGTCACTCGATGAAAGATCGCTTCTCTGTCTCTTCTTTGAACTCAAAGCTTCTCTGTACTTATCCAATTTGAAAATGGATTCACGCAACATTTTTGCTCTGTCCCTGGTAGAAAAAAGCATGTTGTTAATATATGTCACGCAAATTCTAGTGAGTGCTCCATTAAGAGAAGATTACATCGACTACAATCTTACCATTGCAACAAGGCGCATTTGTTTAGAAGTTTACACAAAAAAGCGTAAGGCGGACGCTTTGCCACAAAATGTACTCTATTTGAACGAGGCTTAAACCTCTTTTGTGCTGCAGGTTTATTTTTTTATATTATGATAGACTTTGAGAGTTGTTAGGAGACTTTGTATTATTTAGGTGTTTTACTTATGCTCTAACTTCTTTAGATAGGAGACTTTGTATTGTCTAGGTGTTTTACTTATGCTCTAACTTCTTTAGATAGAATTGAGAGTTGTTAGGAGACTTCGTATTCTCTGCTGTAATTATCTACATAATCAACTGCACCCCAAACTCCTCACGTCTGGAACAAAACCACCGACACCAGCAGCCATATTCCAACCCTAAATCCCTAGAAGTTCATCAATCTAGCAAAAACCCATGAGATTAGCTTCAATATAATTAAGTTGTGATTTTTTTTTTTTTTTTTTTTTTTTTTTTTTTTATAAGCAAGATTGGGGAGGGGGGATTCGAACATCTCTCTCTCTCTCTCTCTTCTCTCTCTCTCTCTCTCTCTCTCTCTCTCGTGTGTTGTTATCTCTAACTTAACTTTAAAGTCAGGTGTTCAAAGTATCAATGGAGATGATTTACTAAAATTGTACCGTTAAAAACTGGCACCGCAATTTGCATGATCAAATGCTCCTTTTGATTCAAATTTAATGAACCACCAAGATCCTTAATTACTTTTGACACATGAACAACAGCTTCAAAGATGAAGAATTTTGTTGAGAAAACTGTCATAGTGAGAAGTAGTTGCTGTAGGGTGAATGGACTTTACCTGGCCTTTCTAGACGCATCTTGCACGCTTTCCTTGAAGTGCTTTAGCTCCTCTGTTGCCACCGGTGGTGGAGGTTTCGGATGGGCAACTCCAAAAGAATGGTCATCCGATATACTACCATGAGGAAAGCCCAAAACCCTTCTAAGTTCTCCCGAGCGTGTATATTTTTGACTGCCTAAGATAATGGGCTCCAAAGGCAAACACTGGGGCAAAGGAGGCATAACTGATGATAGTGTTGCACTACCCCGGTTTACATTATTCCCAGAATTTAGCATTAGTCTCTCAGTTGCCTAATTGGGCAGCTTCTGGAACTGTCCAAAATCAACTTGAATTTTTTGTACCTGTCATCACATAATGACCAACAAAAAGAGTAAGTTTCCTTTCAAGTACTTGCCTGCGTCAACAATCAACTATTCTGCAGTGAACTAAAATATGTGCTAAACAAAAGTACAAAATACTAAAGAAAACTTCTATTGGACAAGCATATAATGCCCTGCCGCTAGACCCAAAATTCCCACCTGAGAGAACCAAGAATACAAGCTCAATTGAGCCTCAAACAGTTATTTGAACCAGTAGACAGTTATTTGAATACTTACATTTATCAGCTAATGCAAAAATATGTTTTTTTTTCTTTCTTTCCCATGCTTTCTGACCAACCAAACAGGACGATTGCCTTATTGGACATCAACCCTCATTGCCCTTGATTACATCTTTGAATTAAATTTTAAAGTTTGCACAAACCATCTATGACCAACCCATAAATAACTCTAAAATTAAGACTACCAAATTTTGAAGTTATGAAGTTTTCATGATTTCCCAAAAAAAAGAAATTTAAACATTATAAAATAAAAGTCCGTAGAACTACGCCCAAACCCTTTTTGGCTCGGAATTTAAAATTTCTTACAGCTAAAACAGCATAAGAATAAATAAATAAATAACTATAGAATTTCCTTTCAAATTTTCGCTTTATTTTTGCCCTGCATTACCCAGGTTTTCCAGCAACCAAACATACTTGAAACTTCAAATAATAACTAAGAAAGAAAAAAAAAATTGGCATGCCCCAAAAACCTGCGGAGCCCTAAAGTTGAGCCAACTTTGTTTTAGAAGAAAGAGAGGAAATTCTAGGGTTTGGGCTAAAATTCATGCGAAATTTGAATGAAAGAACATAAAATGAGGGAAATTTGAAAAGCAAGGGTTCGAACAGTACCTGAGATTCAAGCAAGTCAAGCTCAGATCAAACCCGCAAACGGAGACCCAAGGACGACGTAATAAAAGCGGGAGAGATTAAGTCCAGCTGTATATATACATTCTACACAGATTCAATATACGCACACGTAATAAAAGCGTATCTTTCTTTTTTGTTTTGGACCAACTTACGTAAAACCCCAATCTCGTTAATAACTTGAGAAAATACGAAGGAAGTACATGGAAAATGTTTAGTGAAACTTTAGGAGATTTTCACTTTAATTAATTATCTACTGTTTTGAGAACCAAAAAGAAATTGATGCAACTAATTGCATAGGTGGTTTGATTGGTTTAGGGTGATATAATGCGCACTAAAGCATATGTGGGTTGGGCCAATTGGGCGATGTAGTGTGCTCGCTCTCTTACATTCAAGTTCGATCCTCATCTCGTACACTAGAGTAGTTTGAAATATCATCTTGTCAAAAAATACACACTAATAAATATTGTTACTTAAAAAATGTTTGATGGAAAAAAGAACATTGTTACTTAAAAAATGTTATTAATTATTGAAATATAACTTAATACATCATAGTTTTTAGTTATAATGATTTACATCTATTTTTTTTAGAGTTTTCATACTGACACTCCCTGAGATTTTTTGCTTTTTCAAAAAATTTCAATGTCATTTTAATTATTTTCACAAAATCCTTTGCATTAATTTTTCGTCCACAAATTGTTGATGCCTTGGTGCCATCAAAATTTTTCAAATAACAAAATTAACCTCAAAGATTAGACCTTAAGGGATGTGTGTGCAATCTAATCTTTGAGGCTAAATTCGTCCTTTTTTGAAATTATATTGATGATATCAATTTTTGGACTGAAATTTGAAGGGTTTTTATGAAATAATTTTGAAATCTCAAGAGGTGTTAGTGTAATTTTAGAAATTATACACCAGTCCATAATATGTATCTCTTAGTTTATTGCATTCAATCGAAATTATATATGAGGGTTCATATTCCCATGAATTCTTTTCAACAAACTTATATTCATTTGGTTCGAGGTTTAGGAGAATTTATGGATGTGGACTTCCCATCCCATGTAAGGGGAATTTCATACCTTGGCTCACCTTGGGAAACTTTTCCCCCTCACTTGGGAAAGCATTTAAAGCAGTTTTTTTTGGACTAACTTACCCATGTTATTATTTTAAAATACCACTTTTGGCCCTTACAAAACTATTCATATTAATAACTTTTAATAATAAACACATGGGAATAGAGAAAATGACATTTTCAGTCCTCATTCTCACTCATGGGATTAAACATGGAAAGTCTAATCCGCAAACCAAATGTCATAACGCCATAGGAGAAAAACACCATACTATAAGTATTAAGCCTTAAATATTAACCTTAAATTTATCCACACAAAAAATTATATTAACCCTAAAATTATGCCACCAAAAATATTAGTAGAAGATCTATTGAAAAGAGAAACCACACATACAATAAACAATGTAAATTATTAAACCTTTTCTTTCCTTATATTGATCAAGATAGAGTAAGAGAAAGATGATAGTGATGATAACTCCAGCGAATAAGAGCATTTACCCTTGATTTTTGAAAAGTGATTTTGAGCTTGTCCAGCCATTATCGCCATTGATTTTGGGTTAAAAAAATGCTTTGATTCTAACAAATACAAACTTGAACTCATTTTTTATTTATTGTTTTTTATTTGTATTTTTATAAATAAGTGATTGATTGTATTTATAAATTAGGCACAAAGGCCATTAACCGTAAAAACCAGTACAAGAACAAATACAAATGCGGAAACGCAGCAACCACAATAGGTTATCCGCTTCATTTTATTGTTACATCATCATCCGCTTATTTCTAGGACCATATCCATTTACTTATTGCTACACAATACAAATACAATTTGCATTTCTGATGTCAAGACATGGGATATTTACACACACATAAGTATGCCCCTCACATTGCATGCATTGTTTGTCCTTTCTGTCACGTTGAATTTCGTTCACCATGCCAAGCTTACTGCCCTTCTCATTGTCCTCAACTTTCCTGCCAATTTTTGTGCTCTTGTAGATTGTTTCTTTCCCAATAGCTGCCATGCCATATGTAAATGACACAAGGTAATGACATGTTGATTAAATCATAAGGAGGCAGAACATTTTATATTTTTATTAGGGATAAACTCTGATTTTGGTCCCGGTATTTTGGTCGATAGACAAAGTTCCACTTTGGTACTTGTTGTTTCAATTTTTGCGATTTTAAACTTGTAGTATACTACTTGTTGCAATTCAAGAAGAGTAGCATAATAACTTCGTTCATATTTTTGACGGACTTGGCAGGTGAGTGCCATATGTGAGAGTTTGAGTTTTTTTAGAGTTGTAAAACACCTCACATATGTTTCGTTGGAAATTTGACAAAATTAAGTTACCGTCCTTGAATTGCAACAATTGGTAAACTATGAGTCTATCACGGTGAAAATTGAAACTGCATATACTACATATACGTACCAAAGTGAAATTTTGGCGAAACTACGGGGACCAAAATCGTAAGTAGCCTCTTATATTAGTTACCTCTTGCTTCCTCTTCTGTTCAGATTCGGCCTGTTCCAAAAGGTGAAAACTGTTTCATTAGTGCACTTGGACAATTGTCTTTTAAAGCAAGAAATAAATTTTCTTGTGTAGTAGTACCACACTTTGCTTCAGCTTTGTGTTCTCCTCTTTAAGTTGATTCAGCTCAGCTTCCAGTTCCACAGTGTATGCCTATAAGCAGTAGAATAATTTGATTATAAACATTTCCCTTTCTATGTTTTCTTTATGATGTTACTTGCAAATTATTTGTAAATTTTATTGATATAAAAATGACCTGCTTCCTGGCACGAGACCTTGCTGCTGACTCTCGATTCTTGATCATCCTGCGTTGCCTCCGCTCGACTACTACCTCCGGTGGACCATCTATTATCCTCTTCTTGTTCTTTGCTCCACCCCCACTGCTCGATTCCGGCAAGCTATGGCATTTCTCAATTGCACTAACACAAGATGGTTCTCCCACAATCAATTTACCCAACATTGGGTATGTAGCACCAATTGCATATCCATTCCCGGACAAATTGCTTGGCACATCATTTTGGAGATTACAAAATCCTGCACCAAACAACTGTCTCCCAATTCCAAAACTTGCATCCAAACATGTGCTGATCTCATTTCCCGTGTTAGTGTCACCACATTGCTGTTGAATTAGGGTACTCTCCATCCTCTTCAGAGGAGGCTTGGACTTGGAGAGAGATTCTTGAACAACCCCGGCTTTTACAAGGAAATCTTCTAGAGTAATTTCTCCGATTGTTTGCTGGCGCTGCGGAGGTACAGAATTGCTAATGTTGTTGTCAGGGTCATGGTGTTGTGGCCGACTTCTGTCGATTTCCGACCAGACCTCGTCCACGGTTTTCTTGCAAAGCGGGGTAGGGATGGAGAACGAGCCCTGCCGGGACAGAGTACTGGGGTTGATAGTTGTGTCTTTGGCACTGGCGTCTTGGTCACATTGGCTGGGTTGTTGTTGTGTTTGATTTTCTTCTTCAACACTCCAAATGTTGGCAAGGAACTCATCCATGTTCATGGACCCAAAATTCCTCCCACTCTTGCATTGAATTTCATCCAGAGTAAGGGAGAATATTGAATTCTGTTTAGTATTATTACCCATGGAATGATGTGAGTCGTCTTGGGATGATTCTTCTTGCGGTTCTAGTGGCTGTTGGGGTTCGAATTCGAATTCGAAGTTGTCATTATCATAGCCGATGCTTCCAGATTCGTCAGAAGCTACCATTTTAGCATAAAATGGAGAATGTTGTTGAAGGAATAGATGCTCAATAATCAGCCCCGCACTCCAAACAACAGAGAAATCAGTTGAGTCTCTGCATGCAGAGGAGTTTTCAATCATAACTAATTTCCAACTTCACCTAATCAAAATAATATCCCAAGAAAAACAAATAAATAAATAAAAGGGGAAAAAAATCAGATTTCATTTCACATAGGGATCTGAAGTTATTTTTTATTTTTCTTCTGTTCAAGCTAACATTACCTCTTCAGATTTTTATTTTTTATTTTTAAAAGAACAAAGATAAAAAGAAGAAACACTACAACTCAATATGAACTCTGTACTCGATGAACAGTTTTGTGCAGGCTGAAGACTTGTGTCAAAACTCAGAAAAATGCAGAGACATGTGTAAAAGCTAGGCTCTGCAATTGCATGCAGCACATCACATCACAAGAAGAAGACAAATTCATCTCACAATAACAAAAACGAAAACAAAGATACTGATCAACAACTAAGAGCAAAGAACGATTGGGGTGTTCATCTCAGAAAATAAGATCAAATAATACCAGATTTCACTGTGAAATCTGGAGAGATAGAAATAAGTGAAAAAATAAAATAAAAAAGAGAGAAATAAAAAATGAAAAGAGAAAAGAAACATGCAAAATATAAAAATACCTGAGGTGAGGCTGATTATTTGCTTCAATGGAGGGGGGCAGAAGAAAGTGGAGCAGAGAGCATCCTCTGGAGAGCAGAAGAGGAGTAGGTTCTTGACATTGTAACTGCTGCCGTTGTTAATTTTAAACGTGGCTTTGTGTAGCCCCCACATTGTAGTTCACTTTTTGGACACGTTTGGTGCCACATGCTTATTTTCTTATGGAAAAAAAAAAAAAAAAAAAAAAAAAAAAAACACAAACATTTCCCCAAAATGAAATAATAAATGACATGCTCATCTCAGCAGCATGATCATCCGACGGTGCTGTCAAGGTTTTCTTTTCTTATTTTTTCGGTTACAAGGAGGGCCGAAGCCCAAGAAAAACCAAGAAGAAAACTACACTGGGACAAACCCAGCAGTGGTCATCCTAACAGAGTCATTTGCCAAAAGGCTATGATAATGACATAGCAACCTCCTTCTTCTTCAAAAAAAAAAATGTAATACAAAAGTTATCAACCTCACATCCCACACCCCACACCCCCCGCTATTTTGTCCTTCACCACTTTAAGTTCACATCAACCTCACATTACTTAAAGAGATACAAACATTGTTGTCAAACGTGTTGCAACATTATTTTATTATTATTATTAGTATTTTTTAAAATTGAGAATGAACTAGGAGGTTTTGATAGAGAAATGTTGACAGTTCAATTGATATGTAAGTTACCATCATCAAACAAACTGGCATGCTAAAAGAAAATTTAGGATACTTCATGTTCTTTTTTTCTTAGGTGCAAAGGATACTTCATGTTTCAAACTTCATAAAAGTTTACAAAACCCAATAGGTCGGATGAAAAAGAAGAGTAATTTGGCAATAGGGTGTAGAGGAGTTTGTGTTTTTCTAAAACTTAATATGAAGAGTGGTGGGGGGTGTGTAGATGTACTAGGGTTAAGTATTAAGTTGGATGACATTTTTTGTCTTTTTACGCAATAATTAAACTTAAGAGCTTAATGATTTAAGTATAGGAATGAAAAAAGAAAATTGTAGGGTTTAGATAGAAAAACTAAAAAACAAAACAAAATACAACGGGAAAAGTGAGAGGGAACTAGAGCAAGGTTGGGAGGGGGAGAGAGAATAAAAGACAAGGAGAGGGATATCAATATCGAGGAGAGAATAAAGGAGATAAAACTAGAGAGTGAGATCGGGAGGTAGAGAAAAAGAGAGTGGGTTGTGGTGTGGGGGAGACTAAGAGCATCCACAATGGACTCCCTAAACCACTTTCTTAGACACATTTTAGGGAGGATTTGAAGAAAATACAACTTCAATCATGCTCCCTATCAAATAAGAAAACTTGATTTTATGGGATTTTAGTATGAAGTATATATTGACTTAATGAGCCATCATTTTTAGCCTAAATCGTATTTTGCACTAAAACCGAATTTTCATATTTTGATTTGGTGGGAATTTGATTTTCTAGTATTTTTATTTGAATCCAAATGGAGGGTACTTCCTTATTTACATTGTAAACTTAAGTAAATAGAGTAATATAAAAATAAATAAAAGTAAAAGGACAAAGACATTTACTTAAATATTGAAAATGAAAATAAGGTAATCTATACACCAGTTGAGCAAAGGGGCAATTTGAAGCACCCACAATGGTTTTTCCGGCAAGGGGAGGTGCAGCTGCACCTCCTTGTGCCTTACTACGTCCGCCAGTGGTTACATATATATATATATATTTTTTATTTTCATTATTCTTAAATAGTTCTACTAGACACGTTTTTATTTTTGTTTTTTTTTTTTTTTTTCTTATTCTAAATAAATAAAAAAAAAAATAAATTTTTAATTTGTTAAATAGCTAGCTACGCTACTCTGAACGTTACTTAGACGGCCCTAACTTTCTACGGTTTTGAGCAAACAAGTTGGCTTTCATAGATATTCATGATTTTTTTTATATGCTTTGATTGTTTTTCCTTTTCTTTTTTTTCCCCTCGGGTCGGGGATTCTTTTGGTACAAGAATTGAAAGCAAAAGGAGGATGATAAAGTTGGAGGGACTTCAACAAGGCAAGTCCGGGTGGGAACAAATTCAACACTCCTGCTATTTGAAAAATCTCCTTAAAAAATATGACTGAAAGAAAAATATCAATTGTTAGTTTTTCAACAAATACAATTGCAAACATGAGATATCTTTAAGCCACGTGGATCGCGTCTACAATAAAAATGTTAGAACCTCACAATATAATATAATGAGGATATTTTATTAAAAACATATACAAAATCACATAAGGGAAAATAGTCACACCACACATTCCTCTCTCACCCTCATTTCTCGTGAGTATAGGGACACCTCGTGGTATTTGCTATAAAAAAAAAATGATGCAACAATATTAAAGAGGGGGATTCCAAGTTCCATGACTTCATATACAAATGAAAAGTCAAGCAGATGACCTGTGTTAATAGGGTTGTACTTATTAAAATTACATTTGTTTCACAATTCAATAGGTTATTTTATATTAGAGTAAGTTAGTAATTGAATAAATAATTTGATAGTAAGGTGTACTCAGTTAATTTTAGGATTCGTTAACATCACTCTGCAAAAATAACTACTTCTAATCACTTGAATTGAACTACAAATGCAATTTCATTATTTTTAAAATAAATAAATTTTGGGATTTGAACTACATCAAATGACAAACAAATTGTTCAGCCAAAAGAAAACTACAAACAAATTAATTAATTAATTAATTCAAAAAAAACAAAAGAAAAAAAACTGTATTTACGGGGTTTGCATTTAAACGACAGCTTGCACTTATGTGATGATACTACTTGACGCGTAACAGCTACTTTCCTTGTAATACCCATTATACCCTCATTCTCAGGTTCTCAATAAATACCGCCCTACCCACCCCTTCTCTGCTAGCTCTGTTCATCTCATCACCATCGCTTGATTCGCTACTTTTTCCAGCGTCATTTTATTTCGTCTAGTTTGTATGAGTCTTTATCAATTAGTTTCTGCTTGAATTTGATTCATTAATGGCTCTCCCTAAATCAAACCCTAAGATTTCAGTGTCCACGAAGACGAAGAGGGTGTCTAATGCTGTGAAGCCTCATAAAACTGCCATGGCCAAGAGAAGCTCTACTCGGAACGAGAAGGCGAGCTCGCTCTCGAAACTTTGTGATATCGCCGTTTACATGACCGCTGTTGGGGCTGACGGCAAGATTGACTCGTGGCCGGAAAACCAACAAGATTTGAAATCAGTTGTGCTCAAGTACAAGAATCTGAGGAGGGGTTTGAAAGATCAAGTCGAAAAGGGTTCGTTCTCAGCGGAAATTGTTGAGGATCGAGAAATTGGGGATTTGGGTTTTCAAGATAACTGCTTGGAGTCCAAGTTAGACGCTTTGAACGAGAGGATTGTTGCTGTGATGAGGAAGATGATGAAGATGAGGGATGATGGTAACTCCACTTTCATGGAACTGTACAAGAATATCACGGAGAGTAGTGTGGAACCGGATGCAGCATATCAACAACAAAAATCATCTCTTAATTTGAATCTCGATCCTGTAGATCTCATCATACCCACACCCAAAGCCAAACCTAATTTAATCGGTCGATTTCAGCAAGAAAAAGATTATCTTTCATCAATTCATGATGTCAGAGTGCCGTATAATGGTTTCGAATTCGATCATTATTCCGTGGATGCTAATGATTATCTCAGTTTGGTGTTGGGTGATGCTCATAATGATCTGCAATCTCAAAGTAGTAATTATATGGAGGGTTTGAAAATTGATGGGCATGATGTTGTTGCTGCTATGCCAAGTATGGATGCCGCTGATGATGATATCAAGTTGCTGTTGAGTGATTATGATTTTGATATGATGCAAGATGATGTGCAATTTTGTGTCAATGACTTGATCGACATGTTGCCACAAGACCCACAACAGCAGCCTCATTCTGAGTTTAAATGTCCAATCCTAGATCTTAATGTCTAGTCTTGATCTGTAAATTTGTTGTTTCCCTGTACCTAAATTCAAAATCTGATGTATATTCTGGAATATTTTTGGGATTTAATAGAATGCAAGAACTGTTTGTTTATCTCTATTATGTGTTTTTATTTGTACATCTCAAGTGAAGAGCTTTTGGTGTTGATCCTTTTATTCAATCTACTTTCTCACCTTAAATGACAATGAAGAGCACAACCATTATTTTCATATTAAGACATCTTTTCTCAGTTTTGGTTAAAAAGAGCAAATGACAAGGCTTTTTATTAGATATCCAAGAATGAAATTGATTATACAAAGTAACAGGGAAAAGTTGTCCAAACAAATATGAGCAAAGAACACAGGGATTACAAAGTCATGTTCATAACCTAAATTATCCTTAAGGAATAGATCCACTCTCTGAGGTCCTTTAGGAGTATCAATTACAGTCTTAAGGTCTCCAAATGGAGATGCAAAGATGCCATAGATTGTCCAAGCAATTGGAGACCCCCAGTAGTACCACCTCCACCACACTGGGATTAGCTGCAAAATTCAGCATCAATTGTTATTATGGTTGCAATGATTTGTTATTATTGTTAAAATGAAGAATGACGGAGTTTCAAATGACATACCGGTCTGGGAACGAGGAAACTAGAGAACAAGTTCCAGAAGCTCGTGCAGAAAGACGAAAAGGATTGCAGCAATTTGATGGCCAGGAGGTGTACAATCACCATCATCCCATAAATTGAGAAGTAGGTAAAGCACATGAATATGGTGTAATTCTTAAATCTATGCTTCTTAGTTTAATTTCTGTTGAATTTAAAACTGCTTGATTATTTGTCATGCTGGAAATATGCATGTTTAACACATAAAGATTCAACTATCTTCTCTTACTTGGCCAACACATATAGTTGAGCTATCATCAATCTTGATTTCCGCTGTTTCGTTGCTGAGTTGGATACTAAGTCTGCTTAATCACAATGGTTTTCACAAACTTCTCTGTGATTTATTTATCATGGTCAAGGTGAGAGTCTTTCAACATCACAACAATTTGTACTTGAGAAATTGATTGTTCATGCCTCTCCTCAGCACACATGAACCTCAACAAGCAGTTCAGGTACCTCAAATATCCTGGTAGAAAGCACAACGTGTACCCTTGAAAATTTCAAATCTATTCTGTCAACTTCTTCTCTGCCTCAAAATAACTGTGTTCATTTGCTGTGCGAAGCCACACTGCTACAAGCTATGATATGTACAATAGAGAATGATATTTCAATTGTATGTAAAGATAGTTATTCTCTCATTTCATAAACAATAGTGAATAGTATCATGTTACTACTTCTGTTCCTGCAATTATCGCACCCTACATTGTTCGTCAGCTCACCAATCCTTAGTATATGTAATTCGTAAGCTCGTTTTTCTGTCTTCTTTATTCCTCTTTTATTGCTTAAATGTTTTGGAAAACAGAAGAGTTGCGAATTCATTGTTCTCATTTACCCAATTCTCCCCTTACAAACCACATGTACATTACAACCCTTGAGCATTTCTTTAAACTTGAAGTTATTCTGGCTTGAAAAAACAAAATAACTGACTTCAGTGTTCCAGGAAGCCAACTGCTAGAATGTTAAATTATTGATTAATGTCCTTGTTGTGCTCTCGGATAAAATCAGCTCTGGTTTCTGTCGGTGAAAATGTGCTCAAGCGTGTTTTGTTGGAAACTGTTTTTTTCAAATGTTTTCAGTTTGTAAGGCCTTTAAGAAGCCAAGTTGCTTCTTATCTGGTTTAGCTACTTAGAAGTAATTGCTTATAGATATATCTGCTTTTAGTTTAGTTTGTGAGAATTGGAGTTTGTGCCAATTCTGAACACATCTCATATATATGTATCTAAGAGAGGAAAACCTCTTTACAAGTTTCATCAATCAGAAATATCTGTGAGAACCAAGTCTGGAGTTTTCAGACCTCTAAGTTCAACTTATTCTTTGTATTTTCTCTTCCCTTATATTTACATAAATTTCAACATAGAAGCCATGATTCATACAATAAAGCTTTTAAATTCCTGGTAGTGAAAGTTATGGATTGAATGTCGTTCTCTGGTATAGAGACAATGATCATCAACCTATAAAAGCATGCTGTGTGGTTGCATTTTTATGAGGGATTGAGAAAAGCTCTTGCCTTTTTGTTTTATTAAATATATGTTGCTTTTGTGCTTAATCACAAAATGTGCGATTTTACGGAAGTAGAACAGTTTGATAATGGTATATAGCATCTACTAGCTCATTATGTTTAAAAGCCAATTATTTTGTTCTTGTTTCAATGTTTGTTTACTGTCTGTTTTCTTACAGTTAGTTAGATCTTATATGACAGGTTATACATTGGTGTCCTATGGACTATGTTTTGAGTTTCATTATCAAGGTTGTCTTGGGTGAAAAAGATACTTGAAAACAAAGAAGTCAAACTCTGCTGATGAGGACAGACAATTTTGAAGGGGGCCATGGCAGTCACCAGGGTAACACAATTTTTCCTATCATGAAGTACCTTAGAGAGAGTGACAATCTTTTGAGTTTCGGTTAAGTTTGACAGTTCTAGAATGAGGTAACTGTACAGAGATTTAAAGTCAAATTTGTGAGCTCTAGTTTTAGAATGTAGTGTTGTAAGACTAGATAAGTGCTTCATAATGTAATGTACTTCTGGTCTCTGTTTTCGTGCATTAAGTGTTTTGATCTAGTTTGCCTATTTGAGAAAGAGGTCACTGTACAGAGATTAAAAGTCAACTTTGTAGAAGTTGCTGAGTTTTCTTTTTGGAAATTGTTTTTATCTTCAAGTACATTTTGGTTCTTTGTGGAACGTGACTTGAAAGAAAGAACTGTCATAAAGTTTCAGAGAAGTCTCTTTGTTACCCAATGTTGCAGCCTACAAAGAAAGAACTGTCTTATATTCAAAGTTTCAAATGACAAAGCTAATGCGCATGCTTGTAATTGTCTGAAAGAATCAATCATCTACAATCAACAGTTGAAGAATAGTTGACACACTTATGAAACAATTTTGGCTATAGTAGGTTTGTAATGAAGATGTTCTTCTCCAAGCAAAAGTGCCCTCAGAATGGCCTCACACAAACCAGCATAATGCACAATTAAATGCCCACCGTCAGGAACTTCATGATACTGAATCCACGGTAGCTTAAATGAAATATATCTTTGAAGTTGAAATGGCACAACCTTATCTTCATAACCTTGCCAAATATGAACAGAGCTCTGGTTTTGGGGGAATGGATTGCTGAGATCCATGGGGTCGAAATCCCAACGGCTAAAAGCCAATTTGAAGTCATGATGCAGAGTATCAAAAACCCCTTGTTGTCGTAATTTTTCCTTTAGGTGCAAACATAAACATTGTTAAATCAAGAGACAGAAGTTAACATATGAAAATGTTATTTATAGAAAGCAGCTTCCTACTATCATACAGCATTGAGTGAAATTTCCCACTTGGTGTCTCAGTTTCTATTACAGTATCAACCACCATACCACGAACAGATATGGAGACAGAAGATATGGTTACCTGAGAAAGCATTGGGAAGCCTGGAATTGTTTTGAGGACTTCTATGTCTCTGCTGTTGAAGAATACCGGATTTCTTTCCAGGACAGAAGTTGAAGGGAGCCATTTCTGAGTCACCCACCACCGCAGTAGTCCAGGGGCAAATTCTGCAAAGAAGAGTCCCCATTTGATAAGTTTTCTCCTGTAATCATCCTTTATCAGATGGTCAGGAAGAGAATGCCACCTATAATTGACAACTGGAACTACCAAAGCCACACCTGCTAGCCTACACAAACAAATTTGATATAAAAAGTTCGAAAACTCTTCGTTTTGAATCAAGTAGAAAGTTATGAACCTTGAATCTATGAGTGTTTTACCTGTGTGGTATATATTTGATGCAACTCCAGGTGGGATACGATCCCATTGACACTCCAATCACATAAAATTTCAATCCTAACTCTAACTGATCAGCCAGTTCTTCGATGTCAAGGGCTTCACTCTTGACCGAACGCTTTGGATTTGGATCACTTTCTCCATATCCAGCACGATCATATAGCAGAAAATATATCCCCAACTCATCTATTAATTCCTGGAAACTGAAGCACTGTGAGTTCACCTTATTTTGACATTTTTCTCTGAACTGATGCTTTAGTACTGCTTCTTTAGTCATGTTATACAATTTGAATTAGGATTTTTCTTGTAAACCAAGTGTAAATTTGAATTGATATAGCTCCTAAACAAACAAAAGAAAACCACTTTACAAGCATAAATTTCTGAGTGTATGCTAAAAGTTGCTTTTGCAGGTCTTTCAGCAGTTTCTTTCAGATTTATAAATGTTTCAATTCAGAAAGCTGTTTCACAACAGATTTTCAAAATTCAGATATTCCCTTTACAAGGTTCTCATATGACTGCAGATTCCTAGTTTACATCATTTCTCAAAAACATCCCTCATTTCCCTTAAAATTATTATCTATGTTGACTTGGATTTTAATACAACGTAATATGCTAAAGCTTCAGAGCAAAATAAGAAGATGGTTGGGAAAAGAGAGATACTTGGGGTGCCAGGAAACTCATTTCCTTGGAGCTTCCAAAGCCATGAACAATGATGATCTTGTAGTTTGCTTTGTTCTTGGGGACCCCACTTTCTCTATAAGCCAGATACCTTCCATCAGCAAGCCTGATTCTTGGTGAAGCTGGAGGAAGATCTTCAGAAACAGCAGCAGTCTCTGCAGTGTTTGAAACCATCCCTGAGAAAACAAAACAACAAAAGAAAAGGGTAGATCTAATTCATTCATTTCAACTTTCAAGGACCTAAAAATTGAATGGGAAAGAGAAATGGAAGGAAAAAAAAAAATTGAAAACTCACCTGGCGTGATGTTATTTGGGATTCTCTCTTGGCCTGATGGGATTTCAAATGTATAAGTTTTTCTTTTTCTTTGTGTTTGACTTGCAGATGCTTGTTGGGTTTTCACATTTTATCGGTACAGTGGCAGCAGAGAAGGTTTTTTGACTGTTTGATGCTGAGGCATGTACCATTTGTTACTTGAATAAATTTTGACACACCTGGATATACTTTTGAATGTTCCGCTGATGGGGGTATCTTGCTACAATTGTCCTTCTCCTGGTTATAAGACTTGAGAGGCGTCACGAAAGCAGGCCGATAAATAATGCCATCTGTAGCATACCCTACCAATTGCCATCTACGCCCCCTTGCTTCTAAATTTCTCCCACTTTCCCCTCCCTCTACATCTATTCTTCTAAATTTCTCCTGTTTTACGCCTCCCTCGTCCCCTCTTAGGTTCATGTTCATCCTCTGTTTTTCTTTCTTTTCCCCTCTCTCCCACATCACACCCTTTAACCTAGCTACCACCAAGAAGGACCACCCTAAATCCGGCAACTAACAGTCGTGAGTTCGGTGACCCACAACTTCAACTCTAATGACCCCAGCATAAACATTGTAGGGGTCAAAAGATGAGTCATTTTAAATTTTGGCTCTACTCTAAAAGAAGTTTTTGAGTGTTGCGGTTACATTGTCATCATGTGTGTTACTAATCTACAAACATGGGTGAACGACAATATTCAATGTAATCGACCTAGAGTATAGTATTAATAAATAAATACACGTGTTACAATATGAATGAATTGATAACACCACGTGATAGTGTGACAGTCACACTCAATCCTACTCTGATATTAATGAGTATTATGAATTCAACCAAAATTTGTTCTCTAATAGATTATCGAAATCAACTCTTGAAGTCATTTAAGAAATAGGAGTCACTAGAATTGAGAAGATTTAGATCGTTGACTTTAACAAAATCAATCATTTGTACTCTTTAAAAGTGATAAGTAAATTTCTTGGCATAGCTGGTTGATTGTGAGATTGAAGCAGATTGCCTGCTACAATTTGGTGCTCATGTCATGTCCATGTGCCAGCGCACCTATTGATGTAATAATACTCACTGCCTGACAGCACACGTTAGCTGGTTAAAGCTTGCAGGAAAATAAGAAAATAAAAGCTTTACAAAATATATATGTATATAATAATAATAATAAATAAAAAAGAAAAGAAATATTGTAAACAAATGATTGATACAAATGAGAGCATCACGATTCTTGGTTTATACCCCATCGTCAGAATATTCTTGCATTTGTAGTTTCTTGCGGGACTCAGGTGCCTCCCTTTGACGTAACCTATTTACAACACTCTCACACTCAATAAAATATTTTGGTTTATAAAATTTATTTCTTAAATTTAAAAATATATTTGCTCACCAGCTTAATCATAAGTGCAGCATCACCATTCCATTACTAAGTTGTCACTTGTCCTTCTAATAAGTTAGCCATAGTTATTAAAAATTAAAAATAATTTATATATGCAAACTTGAGTTAGGCTAGTTGATCAGGACAGTGAGTTCGCCCCATTGCATCCAAATTCAAATCTCCTACCCCATAAATTAGATTAATTTATAATAGTTAGATTTGTACTTGTATTAAAAAATAAAAATAAAAACCTTAATGAAGAATAGCAAGTCAATATTAAAAAACAAAATTATCATTTCTACCATTATCCTCTTCTTCCCCTAAATTTGGAATCCATGGCAGCTCAATACAATATATCCTGCAAGAAACAGGAAAGAAATTGAGATATTTATTCAAAAATTCATTTTAGCACGATATATTATACAAAAACTCATATAGAGCATATTTGGAGGAAAAAAAAATTCAAAACTAGCCACCTGACATCAGTGGCTAGCATTATTGATCCAAAAATTAATATTATATCTTGAAATTATCTTGCATTGTTGAGTATAAGAAGGGAAATCTTGGACTTGGCTTTGAAGATTAAAAATACTTTTAAGTCACACAAGAAATCAGATAAAACATACAAAAAATATACCAAAAAAGAGTCACATCAGAAAGTGCCTCTCTTGGGCCAAAGAAAATAACTTTTGGGTGGGTTTCTTTTTTTCTTTTCTTTGTTTTTGTTTTTGTTTTTTTTTGGGGGTAAGAGGGAAAATTTATTTAAAAAGGGAAAATACAATGGGAATTATACAAACTTAAACTCAAAACAATGAGCCCAACAAAGACACAAAGAGGCTGAAGGCTGCCAACAAAGCCAATCAGAGCCCACAACCAGGCATAAAGCCCAATCCATACTTAAAGTTTTGTCAATAGCACAGTAGTAGTAAGCTGATAAATTTTTTATTATTTTGCGATGTAACCTGACTTTACACAGAAGAACTTTTCTACATATATATGAAGCACATTGCGGCATTCAAGAAATAGTTGCTCCAGAAGCATCCAACAGTTTACTCAACAACATACCTATAGATATTAGGCCTGCTCTCAACATAGGAGCTTATTCTCCAAGCACAAGTGCTTTTAAAATAGCTTCACATAGATGACTCTCAAGAAAAAGCAAATGGCCATAACCAGGAACTTCATGATAATGAACCCAGGGAAGCTTCTCTGCAATATAGCGGTTTAGTTTATGAGGAATGATCTTGTCTTCACAGCCTCGCCAAATGTGAACTGCGCCCTCATTGTCAGGGAATGGATTTTTCAGGTCCGATGGGTCGAATTCCCACTTTGCATAGCCAGCCAGTATGTCTCGGTACAGAGATTCGTGGACTCCTTGCTGTGTTTTCTTCTCCTGAATTTATAAACATACGCAAACGACACCGATGGTTATGTAAGGATTAGCGCATCCCATGCCTCCTTTGAATTATAGTTTCAAAACTATAAAATTAACAGAAAACATGTTTTCAAAATTGAGTCAAACTAGTAAATCCTGCAGCAGAATATTTTTGTTCATATTATTTGATCCACTACCAAAACAAAGTACCCAAAACAGACCATCCTCCCACAGGTAATTTAACCTCATAAGCTATGAATTCAGATCCAGAAATGTAAGTATGTGAGGTATGATGTGTTGGTATATAAAGCAATTGTTGACTCACATTCCACTTAAGCTTAAACAGTCCTAAAACAACAAAATTTGACATTAAAAGATTCCAAAACCTCCAAATGTAATTGCAAGAAGCGAAAAGAAAACGGCCGATTTGGTACTGTGGGAATTTTGAGTATACCTGACCAACACTTGGTGCTTCTGAGAGTTTCTTCAGCATCTCTAAATCTGTACGGCTGAAAACTGAGGTATTTCCACACAAGACACTTAGTGAAGGGAAAAATTTCTGAGTCATCCACCAATGGAATAACCAAGGGGCGTAATGTGCAACTCGGAACGCCCGTTGATCTGATACGGGGAGAGTGCTGAGGCTCTCTCTTGATATATTAGCAGGAACACAAGGCCACCAGTAGTGCACAAAAGGAACTACCAGGGAAGCTCCACACAATCTGCAAATGATGCATCGATAACATAAGATGCAAGCTTTCTGAATATAAACAATATAGGTTCAGCAAAAACTTTATTGAAAGGAGAAAATAGGAAAAACTGGTAGGCAGGTAGTTGTCTTGCCTGTGTGGTATGTATTTCAAGCAACCCCAAACAGGGTAAGCTCCCATTGAGATTCCGATTACATAAAACTTAGACCCAATCTGCAACTTGTCCGCGAGCTCTTGAATATCGAATGCTTCACTCTTGACAGAACGCGATGGATATGGATCACTCTCTCCATAGCCTGCTCTGTCGAAGAACAGGAAATATATTCTGTACTCCTCTACAAGTTCCTGACAATCGAAAGCGAATACAAGGCATTCCACTTTTATCAAAGAGGGGATGAGATGAGAGAGAGAGATACACTAATGGTGCAATGTACACTAGAATGCAAACATTTAGATATGAAACATCTCCCAAATTGGGATAATAGAAAGACCAGAGAGAAGTTGCATATTAGCATTCATGTCTGCTACTATCAATTATCAATTAATTACACATGATCAATCAAAAGCGTATAGAAGGAATTCATGACCAGCATATCAACTCAGTGTTGCAGCATATCCCTCCCAATACTGGAAAAAGTTATGACAAGGCATGCAGGATTTAAAAGAAGAGTTGAAAAAAATACTTGAGGAATAGGTAAACTCAAATCTCTGGAACTATCAAAGCCATGAACGACAATGATCTTGTGTTTTGCCTCTTCTTTTGGAACTCCAAACTCCCTGTAGGCCAAATGCCTACCATCACTGAGCTTCACTCTTGGTGAAGTAACAGGAGGACCACCAGGCGATCCGCATATTTTCGGAGGGGGAGGCTTTAGTGCTTGATAAGCCCATCCTAGAAGACCCACTGTCAAAGCTATTGCTACTGGTACAATCATTTCTGGGAGAAAATAGTAACATATAACATATCATGTTAGTAACACAGTCATAGAATATAAATAGATAAGAATCAACTGATAATATTCGTTTTTGGTAAGTGGTGCAACATGATATATCATTTCAAGATTAGGTAAGTTGATCAGTTGATTCTGTTCAGATTCAATCCCCCAAATCAGAATCTGTTCAGATTCAATCCCTCAAATCAGATGATAATTTACCCTATTTTGAAGTTACACGTAATTTCATTCAATGTACCCAAATCAAAGTATTTATATCAGTAAAGCTAAAAATAAGTGTTCATATCTCTGAACATAAAAGATGGCAATTGCATACAAATCAGAATTTCAGAAAACTATAGCAGAGCAGCACAACTAGCATGAATTGAAAAGAAAAATAGAAAGAAATCAATAAACCCACCTGAAAAAAGTTGAAAAGAAGTGGGTCTGGCTGTGTTCCTTGTGGTGTGAGTGAGCCCTGGCTCAGGAAGCTGAGACCTTCTTGCTCAACCCACCTAGAAAGTGAATTTGGGAGAAAATCAGATATTAACAAAAAGAAATAAATAAATCTGAAAAAGCATGGAAGAAATCAAAATCCCACCCAAGGAAAATTGGATGGGCGTGGCTCTGTTTCTGGTGTGCGCCCTTGCAGAAGTAGCTGAGACCATGTAGCTGAATTGCTCACGAAACCTTTTCCCACTAAAAAGCACTCTAAATACAGATAACACAAGTGAATAAGACCCACAAGGGAACATAAACCACAATCTCACATGCAATAATATTCTTTTGTTTTTTCTTTTCCTAGAAACAAACAAGGTGAAGCTAAAAGGCGTGCAAAATATGCATTTGAATTTTATGTGATTTTTCAGTCTATCTTTCTCACTCACTTGTCGCTTCCAATCACATTTAAATAGAAATATAATACTTAAATCCATAATGAACTTTGGATTTGAACACAAAGAGGAAAACATAAAACAAGTGACTACATGATTTTGTTCTGCCCGCCTATCAGTTTGCCTTGATATTATCTATTTTCACATGATTTGCCTTCAAGCCTACTTCAAAGAGTGGCAATAATCATATGTACATGTGCCTCATGACGTGAGAAACATGTGATGGGTTAGTCTAAATAAAGGAAAATTATAAGGAGCAATATTTTATATACCATCTTGTGAAGTGGATATATAAATATCTAACAAGGTGCACATTCATGTTGTAGGTGACTGAACTTCCCTTCTTTGCATCTAAGGTACAAATTGGGCGTACTAGCGTACTTATTGTGGGAATACATATTTCGGCAGCCAATAGATGGGTGACACATAGAAAATGAATATTCCTTAGGTCAACTTATTACTCTAATTAAATCATATTTAATTGGGGAAATTATCTTTGATTTAAGATGAGAATATCTCCCCAAATTAAGGATGAGATTTCCATCAAATCTCCTTGATTAATTATAATATCCTATTTATGGGTAAGAATAATCATAACCAAGTAAGAATTATTCTTCAAACCCTAGCATACAAGGAGCCTATAAATACATGGTTACACAAGACATTCAAGGTAACTTTTTCTCACCCGAAAAACCCTACACAAATTCCTCACTCACTCTCACTCTCTCTCTTGCCGCCCTTCTCACTCTCTCTCTCTCCTCACATGGCTAAGCACCACCACACACCAGGCTCTCCTTGTGAGAGAAAACTCCATCCATTTTAGCTATTGTGGTATCTTTATCAAAATCCAATTGAACTAACTTAGACATCGAAGGGCCTTTGGCTAACACCCATTGGGTGTGGTCTATTTACTCATATTTATTTCACAGGGATCGAGGAAGAGAGAGAAGGAATATCAAAGATTGAGGAATCAAATCGCGAATATTCCCCGTGCAGAATTTTACTCAAACATTTTGGTACTTTCATTGAGAGTACGAGTTATACTCAACGCATGTTCTTGAATCAAAGGAATCTGTTTCCTCATATTCATCACTCAACCGAAGCCTTCCAAACAACCTTGGTTGGAAGCACACGAACTAGAAGTCGGGCCACCACAACAACCCAATTCGCGACGAATCCTGGTCACTGTTGGAATTTTAAAAAGGTTTTAAAAATTGAACCGTTTTATCTATCTATGAACGTGCTCATAGCGGATCTTGAGTTTGTGTACAAGGGGTCGTATCTTGTAGTCTTGTAGACCGTCTCTACCTACACGTAGAGAGACTACAAAGGCTTTAGGACAACGTCTTTGACGTGTTTCACTGTACCAAACTTACCTTCTTACTTATTATTTATTTTGCTTTGACTTACCTATTATTTTATTTTCTTAAATTTCATTGTACCTTAAAACTTTTCTATTTGTTTATAAGTTATTTATAATATAAATGTTTTTATTTATTTGGCTTTACGGAAAAGGAAAACTATAATTTTTATAACAATCTAAAGCCTTTGTAAGTTAAAGTTGTTTTCTTCCCGTACTGCTATCTTTTAACTCTTTGACTGAAGCTTTTGCATTTATATTGGATAGTCAAATTGAAAATTACGATTTATTTTGGGTAGATGTAGTTTAAAGCTTTCATGTTGTCTATACAATTTCAATTGCTTTAAATATTGTTGGTACATTTATATTTTATAATTTTGTTGCTAACATTTGGGAAATTACTGCTAGTGTTTGAAAATAAAAACCTACAGACTAATTTATGTGACATTATTACGTATCTTGAAATCTTATCTATTTCATGAAACGCTTACTTTTGCATTGTTTAGAATCTTGAAAAATATGCATGTCATCATTTTGTTTAATTGTTGTTTGAATTTCTAGGTTATAACATGCGAATAAAAAGTTTAACAATGTTTACGATTTTAACTTTCAAGGTGTGTTTATATACATATATATATATATATATATAAATATATTATAATTGCTATAAAATTACTTCAATGTCATTGGTACATTTTATTGTCACTTATTGGGTTATCTTGAAATGTTTACTTTGGCGTCAGTTTGACCAATTTTTGTCTTCAATTGGTGTATTGATTTTGTGAATTAATATTTTGATAATATTATAGATTTTTATGTTTCAAAAATGGGTAGAAAATTTTATGAGATTTTATTTCTATTGTAATGTTTTAAAATTAATTATGGAGCAGCCAACAACTGTAAAAGCCTTAACTAGTTGGCTAATTGATTCGGCAGTTTTTTGAACCAACCTTAATTTATTGAGAATTAAAAAATTTTACATTTATAGAGAAATTAAATTTGAAAATTCTATTTTGTGCATATATGCCTATATATATTTTCAAATTTTCATTACTTATTTATGTTGTATTTAATTACCCAGATTTTTTGTGGAAATCATTTTGTTATATTTTGACTGTAACAGTTTCAGTTTTTAGTAATTGGTTTAATAATTTCTGTTGTAGAAGCGTTCCACTAGTATTTAAATGAGACAATTAATATAGTTTTTATTATTGCTTTTAAACTGATGGTTGAATCCAAAAGAATTAGTGCTGCTATTCAATTTTGTTTAAAGCTTCATATTGATTGCTTCAATTGTTTTGATTTCATTTCACATTGTTGGGCACTACACATATTTGATTTCCAAACTATTCTTAATTGACTCTTTATGCAATTTAATTGAAAACTATGGTGTAATGCCATAAAATTTGTTGGCACAATCAATTTTCGTTGGTTATGCAAATAGGTAAACACTTGATCGCAACAAGAAGTTAATTTCTCTATCGGTGGCTATGAAGATCAAGATAAGAAAAGTAATCTCTACATTCATCGCTCTAAATTGGAAAATATAGTATATGATCAGTTAAATTTTGCAGAATGCTTTAGTTCTTGGGAGATTCACTATTATACCAAATATAGGGGTCCAAATTATAAAAATACCATATATGAAATGGACTTTAGAACCACACCCAAATCTCATTTACAACATAACAGATAGGCTTTTAATTTCTTATAAATTACAAAACTGCCATCAATTTCTTAAAACAAGTCCAACCCCAAAATCTCATAAAAATACCCAAAACACTCAATAAAGCACCAAAGTAATTTAATAATCAATATTAAATTCAATAAGGCCAACTATCATTTTTTGGGTTTTTTTTTGGGTTTGTTTGTAGAAATTCAATAGTGTAGGGTTTATCTATAAAACAAATTCAATAGTGTAGGGTTTATCTATAATATTTGTGCTAAGAATGGGTATATCACCAAATATCTCTTATTTATTTTACTTTGAATTTATGAATATTTTATATAACTATACATATATATTGTACTAACGATCTTGAAGCCGGGGCTCAGCCTCGTGGCACTGCGACTGCTGTCACAGCCCCAGTTGCAACTGCCATTCCTCCTCTAGATCCCGCGACCGAGAGCACCCATTCAATGCACGCAGCCACGCCCCTTCACAAGATGCAACGGGTAGGCCTATTTATACTAGAAGAAGCAACTATTAAACAATTAAAAGAGAACCTACATACTCAGCGGCGGATTCAGGAATTTTTCAACGTAGGTGCAATTCTTAAAAGCTAAAAGCTCCACAAAAAAATAAAAAATAAAAAATAAAAAATATGCATCCGACTTACTTTGTATTAGCGTACTCAAGAAGAAAAAAAAACACAGGACACTTGTGATGCACACACACTTTGAGTGATGTTAAATTGGTTTTTTATAAAGAGAATTTTCAATCCCACTTAAATAAGGAATTTCCAAAACCCAATTGAATAAGAGAAGTTTCAATTAAAACCTAGGTAGGAATTATATAAGCCCCTTAGAATAGAAGCCCACGAATGCCCAGCAGTTTCCCCTTTTTTTATCTTTTTTTTATTTTTTATAAAACCCTTATTTAAATGGGCTTATCCATGACCATGAACAAATGGCCCACGAATGGCCAGGTTTGTTTTCTTTAAACCCTTATCCATGAATGGCCCACGAATGGCTAGGTTTTATTTTTTTTAAAGCAGCGCCTGGTCCAAAACGACGTTGTTTTGGCCAGGCAGTTTAAAAAAAAAGAGAAGTCGCGCGTAGCAGCACAGCAGCCCTTCATTTGCACATTTCATCGAACACCTTCCGTGCATGAGCAGAGGTGCAACTTCAGCAGCTTCTATGGAGTTTTCTGGCGACCGGAGGTGCAGGTGCACCTCCTTGCGCCTGCACAGGTCCGCCACTGTACATACTTATTCTCCAAGGAATAGAACCTACTTATTCTCCAAAAAAATACAAATATCTACTATATTTAAAGACTAAGTATTTGCATGTGTGTGCATGTGTCAACAGAATGAATTTAGTCTAGCCATCTCAAGTTTAAGATGACTTCCTACGTGTTGCTTCACCAAACTTCTATTACTAAGAATGCATGCAAAACCTCCAGGTGCTAATTCCAAGCCATAGGCTGTTGACAAGGAAAAAGTAACTTAATAAAGCAAAACTACACATCCACTTTAGAGCTAATTAATTGTTAATATATATATATATATATATATAAAGATTTAAAGGAATAACATACATGTAAATATTGAAATGGTATTATAAACGTAAATCAATTATAAATATACATTTCCTTATTACCAAGATAATTACTTAAGAATATATAATAACATTTATTTTTTTTAATCAACATTTAAGAAAACGGACTTTCACATTGATGCTCACCATCACGACGGCGCCCTGGTCCATCCTAACGTCATCACTCTTGACCGATTTGGCACTGCTTCCAACTTGAGCTTCGTTGTGGAACAACTTCTTTCATTCCCTATTTTAGTCAGTGTGCAATTGGGCTCCACACAATTCTCTCCTCATGATCCACACAGTCAAGAAGACCTCAATCTTAGAGTCGACCAATGGACTCAAAGAGTGGACGACCAAAACAACTTGGTTGAACGGCTCCTTAGGCAAATTGACTTGATCTGAAACCTTGGTCTTGGATCCAATGCTGAAGAGAGAAGGATGGAAGAACACATTGGCATCCGATTCTAGAGGTTCCAAGCAGGTCAAGCAGGAACAAACACGTAAGAAGGAACACAAGAACATGCTGCTCAACACTCAGGCATGTCACAAGCATCCGCGAGCCTCGCTCAAAGTAGATTGAGCCTTCGATCGCGATTGAGTCCAAGGACCAACGGTCACGAGAGGTTGGACCTACGATCTTATGTTCATACGGGCCTAGGTCTGCAAGAAAGCATTCATGCTAGATTAGGATCTCAAGGAGATCAGCATCGCGATCATCCTAGTGAAATAAGTGAAGAAAGACGCTCATCTGCTTGGTGAGGAGGAGCTAACTCACGACGACAAGGCGCAAAGGATCCCTCGCAAGCTCAGTCCACCAATACGTGAGCAGGCAGGGCAGTCTAGGAGATCTGCTCCAAAGAGACAACGAGGAGGTAGACCAGTGATGCTTGCGCCATGGGAGACATCGATGTGAATTGCAAGCCATGCAAGCAGAAGATGTCGAAATGCTCATGAATGACCGATTTCGAGACTTGAATTTTTGAGGATATTTCGAAGATGCTCTATGCAAGGAGGTGGATCAAGTGAACTCCTTACCATTCATCGCTGAGATGGAGCACGAAACTCCATAAAAATGATTTTCAACGTCTGCTTTTACACATTTCAAAGGGTATTCCAATCACGTAAGCCATTTGAAGCACATCAAATTTGTCATGATTCTCTACCAGGCCCATAATGTGTTGATGTGCTAGGCATTTGCAATGACTTTGTGAGGAGCAGCTCAGGACTGGTTCTATACTCTGTCATCTAGGTTGATCAGCTGCCTCAAGGAGCTGTCTTTCATCTTCACTAAGGAGTACACGATCAAGAAACAAGCCAACCACTTATTCAACGTACACAAGAAGCATAATGAGTCCTTCCGTGACTATATCAAAAGATTCAAGGCGGAGAAAGCCAATATTGTGGGATTTGATGAGCGGAACGCATCCTCTATCTTTAAGAAGGGTTTACCGACTGAGCATGACTTGTATCATGAGCTGACTATCGCTCCTAGTCAGACTTTAGCAGAGGTCTTTATGACGGCGAAATGTTGCGCGCTCTTGGATGAAGATCGAATCGCCACAAAGAAGTGTACTAAGCAAGTCGACCAATCACCCAAGAAGGCGGGTTAGAATGGTGATAAGCCCAATACTACTAACTATGGAGGAAAATGCAAGGCATCATCCCAAGGTGGTGTACCAGCAGATAAATGCTATACAAAGTTCACTGTCCTGATACATCAAATCTTGGCTCAAGTGAAGGATAAGCCCTGATTGAAGAGACCACTACCTTTGAAGGGAGATCCTGATAAAAGAAGTACCAACAAATACTGCTCCTTCCATGGAACACATGGGCACGACATAGCCAACTGTTGATCTTGGAAGATGCACCTCGAAGAGCTCATAAGAGAAGGCCACTGCACGGAGTTCGTGGCAAAGGGGATCATTTACTAGATTAAGGATCGCGATGTTACTAAGAAGCCTTCATAGAAGGTCATAAGGATTAATATGATCCTGGCTAACTTCGAGGAATCTGGGCTGACTAGCAAGGAAAAGAAAAGGAAGATTAAATAGGCCATTGTTATCTCCCAAGTCTTAACCGGGTTCCCAACAATTGAAGACGATCCGTTGAGTTATACGAAGAAGTTAGTAAACATTATCGAGAATGTGTCTACGATAAGTGTGTGAGTACTTCTTGTAATCATCGTTCTATAGTGGATTTGTGTTGCACTGAGGAGTCCCGTGGATTTCCCCCAGATGTGGGGTTTTACCACATAAAATAATTCTTTGCTATTCTTTTATTTTATGCCCAACACGTTTCAGGATTGATAAGCCATATCAATCTTGCTACTGAAGTTTAATTTTTGTTTATTGATTATAATATTAAATTGGCCTATTCACCCCCCTCTAGACATTTTTAGTCATCCTATAGGTATTTTCACAGTAGATTCAAATGCAAGTTTGCGCTCTTTCATTGAATACAAGAACATAACTTTATTTCAATTTACAATTTTTGCGATTAATGTTGTGCAAAGGTGAAATTGTTAGCTTTTGGTGAAACATGAAAACTCCTGTTTGTTTATGATAGAAAACAAATGAATGAATAGTTGTTCTAGGCTCTTTGTTGGTTATTTTTTAGGAATCTATTGAAAATTTGTTAATAATTGAGATTATGAGTAGCCAATGGCCATATGATGTTCAGTATTGTTGTTATTGTCAAAACAAATTATGAGATTTATTCAAATAGTTATACTTTGGCTGCTTCTTCTAATAAGTTTTGTTGCTGTATACATAAATTTAATTATTTGAAAATTAGGGGAGGAAAAGTGTGTGTTTATCTTTGTAGCTAGAGATAGGCAAGAGACACTTGAGACTCAAAGCTTTTCTCGCTGTAATGTAAATAATGAATTACATACAAAGAAATTATGTGTCAGATTATATATATATTTTTAGAAATATGTGTTACTCATTTTGTTTATTTATGATGTTGCAAAGCTTGGTCTTTGGTTTCAGAGTTCCACCGGTGCCGTGAACGCCACCCTTTCGGTAATAATATTTCTGCTATAGCATAATCATTGTTATGTTTTTCTATGACTATAAGGTTTCTATGCTTTATAAATCTGTTGCTTTGGTTTTTAATTTCCATCATAATCCACTTATAAATGGAAGATTTTGATTCATTTAAGTTGTCTTCTAGGTTCAAACTGCTCCTCTCTGCAAATGGTTGGTTGCAAGTCACAATTACGAGCCACTGAACTAATTTCCACAAACAAATTCATCCCATTGGCTTAACTAATTATATAGGATTTGGTGCATGTTTGGTTTTATGAAATTTGTTTTTTTTATTATAAAACATTTGACATTGGTCTACACTGTCTTGCGTGCATACGGATTTTGAAATGAGTTGTGTTGTGTTTATTTAGTTTTCTCTTTGTGGTATTGGTTACTTTTCAACCAATTAAGATTTGATTATCCTCTCAAGGAATTTGAAAAGAAACCATTCTTCACTTCATATAGTCATATTTTCATGTTTTCATTTGTTTGTGTAAGAAAAGGAAATGTAACATAATTTAAACCTCACTGTAGATTCAAATGCAAGTTTGGGCTATTTCATTTAATACAAGAGCATAACTTTATTTCAATTTACAATTTCTGCGATTTATTGTTGTGCAAAGGTGAAAACAGAAGCAATCTACTTATTCAAGTTGTGTTTGATGGCAAAGTACAACTTCTTGAATCAGGCTCGGAGCCATTTGATCAAAAATTGGTTTAACATGAGAAAAAAAAATTGCTACCTAAATGCTTCTGCTCATGACTCCACCACTTTTCTCTAAACAAGGTCCGCCTAAGTGATGTTGCAACTAAAAAGAAATTTGAGAAAACTCTTGATGTGAAGACTGTAGAAGAAAATGTGTCAGATTCTGCCAATTTACCAATTATCAGTCTGAAGAAGAAAACAGCCCAAGGCAGTTCCAAAACCACCTCTGCTACCCCAAAAATAGAGTTTGTACTATTTCATTTACAATTTATTCATCTCACTGAAATTCACATTACATGCATAGCATTTCATTGTTCATAGCTCCTTTCCCCACTCAATTTCTCTATATTAAGTGGTAGTTGATTGCGTTGAATTTGGAGAAAGTTTCTTTTTCTCATAATTGTCTTCAATTACGATTCGACTGCTGAGAAAATTTATTAGCTCTTCTTCTAAATTATGATTTTTCCCAAACATCTTTTACAATGCAATTAGGTTTGATTCTTTGGGTCCAAAACAAGAGCCAATATGTTTGCTTTTAAAGGTTCTGTCCTACATTAATTTTTGTAGTTCACTCAAGTGGTATATGTATATTTCAATTCTTCCCAATTCTAATATTTAGTTGTTGCAAATTTTAGTTCACATTAAGAAACTTGCCTTTTTTAAAAAAAATTTAATATAAAATATTTATGGAAGTTGGAGTATGGATATTTCATAACTTCAATAAATTTATATGTCTACATGAACTTAAAAAATACTTCTTTGTCTTTTTTGTATTTCCTCTATTTTATTGATTATCAGAATTTTCTTATTTTCTTATTTTATTAGCGCTCCCATCTGAACTAACTTTCAATTAGATTTATCAAATTGAAAACATCATTACATGTTTCGCTTTACCATACGGTTTTTCAACAGAAAATTTTCACATTAAGCACTTTTTATCTCCAGACTGCAATACCAAACGCAGCAGCGGGTAGGGTCCTGTCTGTCCACAAGTAGTTAGCAATGATTTTCTGATATGTGAATTTATGTAATGTTTGCTACATGCCACAAAAATAAAATATAAAAGATACATGATATTCTGAGACTAACTAGAGCACAATTAAATTAACTATGAAACCGGAAAGCACACTACGGATTTCTTTGATCTCAAAATACCTTTGGCAAAACATGGAGTCCAGTTGCATTGTGCCTCAATCATTCAACGTCTCCACCATTGATTTATGTGAACATGTCTTCGATGAATACCAATTCTTTCCTCCAGCTGAGGGAATATCTGGAGAATGATGGTATACATAGTTTTGTAATACCATTCACTCCATCTCTTGCACAGCACAAGTGATCCAATGGCAAATCCAAAGCCAACTGTAAAACCAATTTCGACAATGATGACACCCCAATTAATCTCATGATGTCCAGAATTTGGAAGCCTTCCATTTTCTGGTGGTGGTGACAATCCTGCTTTGTTATCCACCGTCAAAGGAGGCCCCCATAGTCCTTTGTTACCTGCAAAGGATGCTGCTGGAAATGTTGAAATCTGAGTACTGACTGGGATCTGCCCGACCAGTCGATTGTTTGAGAGATCCAGGAACGAAAGGAAAGTCAGACCCCCAAACTCTGGTGGAATTGGCCCGCTCAGGCTGTTCTTTGAAAGGTCTAACGACTCAAGTTGTCGCAGGTTACCTAATGATGATGGGATTGTGCCTGTGAGAGCATTAAAGGACAAGTTGAGGCCATGGAGTGATTTGAGTTCTCCCAATTCTTCAGGTATTGATCCATTGAACTTGTTGCACGACAAGTCAATTGAGGTGAAGACAGTTAGAATCCTTACCAACTCCATCTTTTGACCTTTTTGGGTAACAGTTAAAGCATCCTGGAAATATATCTTGGTCAATATTAGGACTTGAAATTGAAAATGATTGAGCTTTGACGTAGCATCATCTTTGTGAGCCATCATTGCTCGCCAGGTTCTCAAGTATCTTCCTGGTATTTCACCACTAAAATTGTTGTGAGCTATGTCAACAATTTGAAGCATTGGCCATGTCTCATTGGTAGTGGGACATCCAATGTGCTCATAAAATTTGTTCCATCGCAAAACAAGGACACGCAAGGTGGATATGCTCTTCAACATGCAAGGATAGGTATCTGTTATCTTATTGTTTTCAAGGTTTAGAACCTCTAATATAGCGCAGTTGGCTAGAGATTTCGGCAACTGACCTTCTATTTGATTTTCATTGAGCTCTAGGGTTTTTAAACTGCAATTCACAGGAAATTTATCAGGAATGACGCCAGAAAATTTGTTCCTCTGTAAATTAAGTACTCCAAGAGTATCGCTCATTGCAGTCAAGCACCATGGAATCATGCCACTGAGAGAATTATTGGACAGATCAAGAACCTCAAGCCGCCCATTGCATATTGATTCTGGAATGATTCCGTGAAATTTATTGCTTGAAAGAGAGAAGAATATGGTATAAGAAAGGAAATCACCAATGTCAGTCCGTATGCTAGAGTTGAAGTTATTTCTTGAATAATCTAGATAAATGGAAAATTGTGAAAAAAGTGGGATTTGTCCCTTAAGCTGGTTGGAATGAAGGTCAAGGACAGACAACCATGAAGTAACATTGAGGAGAGGACCTTCTAGAGTTTCCAGAGAGTTGCAAGAAAGATTTAGTTGAAAAAGATAACTGAGCCTCCAAATCCAGTTGGGTATCTCTCCATGAATCTGGTTTTGTGAAAGGTCCAAATTGCTTAAGCGGGATTGGTTTCTTAAGAAATCTGGGAATCTTCTCAAATTGACAGATGCCAATTTCAATGTGGTAATTTGAGGAAAGGAAGTGGCAGAGGAATTGGTATCATTGTAATCAATTGACAATCTATTGTAGGAAAGATCAAGAGTTGAAAGATTTTTCAGTTGCTGAAGACTATTAAGTGGAAAGGAGCCACTGAAATTGTTTGAAGGAAGTGAAAGAACCTTAAGCTCTCGGAGATTAAAGATAGACATGGGTATAGGCCCTTCCAAATTGTTGTTACTCAAATCAAGGGTGTCCAGTACAGAGAAAGTAGCAAATTCAAGCAACTCACCAGAAAATCGATTGTCAGAAAGCTCTAGTTTCTGCAGCACGGGAAGAGAAAACAGAGATGGTGGAATGGTTCCATCAAGTAGATTGTATCTCATGTTGAGATTCACCAGATTAGTGAGGTTTTCCCAATGAGAGGAATTAATCTGACCTGTTAGCTGATTGTTAGAAAGATTTATTAAGGTCAGATTCTTGGCCATACTGAAGAATGGAACTGAACCATTAAATTTGTTCCATGACAAGTCCAAATAAACCAATTGCGTAAGGTCTCCCATTGACCTTGGGATTGGTCCAGTGAAATTGCATGTTGAAATATCTATTTTGGACAGCCTTTTGAGGTTCTCAATAGAGTTCGGTAGCAACTGGCCTGAAAAATTTGCCCCATTGAGAACCAGGGATTGAAGAGATGCATTCTTCAGAAATTCTGGTGAGGAACCTTGAAGGTGTGAATTACCTGATAGGTCAATAGTCTGCAGTGTAGGTACTTGGAAGATCTTCTCTGGAAATGTACCATGTAACCCAGAATTGCTGAGGAGCAAGGAAGTCAAATTTGTGAAATTTGAGAAGAATTCTGGAACTTGAGTAGACAAATTGTTGTTCTCTATACGAATAACTGAGAGTGAGTGAAGTTTCAGTAATGAACTATCAAAAGGGCCTGAAATATTAGAAGTGGACAAGCTCAACACCCTCAATTTTGGCAGTGAAGATGATATAGCTTGGCACCACTGAGCCCCATGTGCTGATATATTCACACCATCAAGATGAAGTTCAACAAGCTCAGAAAGGTTGCCAAGGAGTATATTCAAATTTGGATTCTCAAGTTGCAGTGAAGGAGTTCCGGAAAAAAAGGTAGATAAATCAAGAGTTACTAACCTCGTCAGGTGTGAAATCTCAATTGGAATCTGCCCCGCAAAGCCAGCATTTGACAGGTTCAGATAACTCAAACCGGTCAGCTTGTCGAACCTGGATGGAATCTGAGTATACTTGAAGTTATTGTAAGCCAAATTCAGGTTCTCAATGTACTGCAGACCAAAAAGAGCACTCGAATTATCAAGTCCACCTGAAATTGACTCGCCGCTTAAGTCGAGATGAGAAACACAGCCATCTTTACAGGACACACCTTTCCAATAGCAGTAATCTGAGCCATTGTTCCATTTCACAAGTTTTTCAGATGATGTAGAGTCAAATTTGAGGCTGTTCTTCAACTGAAGCAACAAAGATTTCTGATCGCTGGGACATTGGCTAGAGACCACAAATACATGGACGCTGAGTGAAACATAGTAAATAAGGATTAAGAAAAGCCATGAAAACAGAGGAATTCTCATTGGAAGCTCTAGCTGGCTGCTGATATGTGACAGCAAATGTGGTGAAGAACAGAATAGGCTAGGATATTAGTTTGCAAATGTGGCTTCAGCTGTCGTGGAAATATGAGATTGCTTTAGGGGATTTGACCAGGTGACTTGCAAATCTGGCTTCAGCAGTCTTGGAAATAGAGTCGCTGAGGAAAACTGAGATAGTGATGGATCGGCTTTAAATTAAATTTTGTGGAAAATGTCCCACAACATTGTGGTCTGCTTGACTTGTTGACTTTGAAGTTTTTGGCCATCTAAGAGCATTTCCAGCAAGCAGGCTGGGGGGAGGGCTGGGGGGGGCTGGGGGAAAATCTTGTTTCCAGCAAGCCAAAGCTGCCAGGGCAAGGTGTGGGCCCTAGAAAAAAAAATTTGCCTGGGCTAGCCCTCGGGCAGGTCCAGCCCGAGCAGCAAAACGCGTTTTGGGCCTACGTCAGCGCAGCTGTTTAAATTTTTTTAACGTTGGCGCGTGCAACGCACGCGCCAACATTAAAAAAAATTTGACGCGCCCGCTACAGTGCCCCGCCAACGGATCTATTCCACGTGGCGCGCACTGAAGCTGTCCGATCAAAGTTGTTCAAAATCCAACGCTTCTCATTTTTCGCGAATAAAAAAATGAAAAAAAAATCGGAAGTTGCACCCAACGGCTCTCTTCCACGTGGCGATGCGCTGGCGCTCCGATGAAGTTCTTCCAGCAATCCAACGGCAGCTGTTCAATCTGGCCAAAAAATAATGAAAAAAAAATCGGAAAAAATTTGAAAAAATACCCAAAAAAATACTGATGTTTTTTCCTATAAATACCAACAAATACTCTTCACTTTTAACACCACCTCTTCATACATTTTCTTCTCATTCTACCATTATTCACTTTCTAGTCTAAATTTTTTTCACTTTCAAGTTGAATTTTTCTAGAAAAATTTATGGGTTCTTCTAGTGAAACCGGAGGGGCATGGAGTGTCATGGAAGATGTTAGCTTGTGTGAGTCTTGGCTCCACATTAGTCATTGTCCCGTATCGGGCAATGAGATGAAATTCTGTCATATGTGGAAAAAAATTCATCAGGATTTTTGTGAAAGGGTAATTGGTACGACCCGTACAGATCAAGCACTATCTAGTAGGTGGAAAATTCTTAACAAAGAGTTGGCGAAATGGAGGGATGCCTTGGCAAAGGCGATGGACAACCATAGAAGCGGGGAAAACCTTACCAGTGAGGTAAATTATTTGTAATTTTTGTTTTATTAATTTCTATGTCATATTAAAGTTAATTTAAATATTTCTTGCAATTTATATATTTTGTTAATATTTCTTGTATTTCCAATATTAATATGAATGTTTGTTGCAATATTTAAATTTTGTTTTTCATTTCTAATAAATTGTTAAGGTTTCTTGTATTTCCATTATTATTTTTTTATACTTGTTGAATTGCCAATAATTTTTAAAGTTTCTTGCATTCCTATTTTTTTTTATAGACTATACAAGCACAAATGTTTTTTGGTGCTACTGGGCAAGGAAAAAAAAGCTTCAACCATACCCATTGTTGGGAGGTGGTGAAGAATTGTAAGAAATTCCAAATTATTCCAACGGGTCCGACGGTAGTCTTGAACGAGACGCCACTCTATGAGACACCGGCATCGGATTCACCTATGGATTCCCCGATGAGTCAAGACTCACCTATCGAAAAGGAGCCGAGGCCTATTGGGAGGAAGGCGGCGAAGGCGAAGAGAGGGAGTAATTCTACCAAGTCATCATCTAAATTTTTGGAGGAACTTTCAAGGATGCAAGCCATGAGAATTGAAATGGACATGAAACAACAAGAGCACGATAGGGCAATTGATGTAGAAAATGCAAAAGAAAGGGAGTATGTACGCCAACAAAGGGAGTATGCACGCCAAGAAAGGGAGTATGCACGACAAGAAAAGATTGAAAATAAGGATCGGGAAACAATGGCCATGGATACAACCCATATGTCCCCTGACACAAAACAATATTGGAAGCTAGAACGAAGGGATGTTATGAGACGAAGACTTTTTCGTGACGATGGACCTAGCAACACGGATTGGTTAAATGATCAAAACAATTAAGTTAGTTTGCTTGCCTTTCATTTCATTGTACCATTAAATTAGTTTGCTTGCCTTTCATTTCATTGTAATTTTTTTTTATTTAAAAAATTAGTGGTAATTCATGTATTTTATTTTATGAGTTGTATTGATTTTCTTGTAGTGAATGAAGAAAATATTCAACAAAATTCCTTTTTATTCAAAACATTCCATACATAAAAAGCAAACCACAACCAAAGCATAAAAAATAAACAAACCACAACCAAAGCATGAAAAAAACAACAAAGCATAACTAAAAATACAACATAAACATAATGCACTAAAATAACTTCTTCACTTGACTTCATTGACCTTCATTGCCTTTCACCGCCCACAAATGCTCCATCAAATCAACTTGACGGTGTTCATGAATATACGACGATTGCATCTCCGTGTAGCGCTCAATCATGCGATGCATGAAAGTACCGTCTCTAACTAACGGATCATGCTACACTGGTTCTCCATTTGGCCCCATAGGTTTTTCATAAATTCGTGTTAAGGTCGTGTTCATGGGATCTGGCTCATACACTTCCTCAACATCATAATCATACTCATCTTCCACAATCATGTTGTGGAGGATGATACAAGTCATCATTATACTTCTGAGAACCTCCTCGTCAAATAGACGCGCCGCGCCCCTGATAATAGCCCACCGAGCTTGAAGGATACCAAAGCACCTCTCCACATCTTTTCTGTACCCCTCTTGATAGGCAGCAAAAAAATTTTCCTTCTCGGATCGGGGATGTGGAATTGATTTCACAAATGTTGTCCATCTCGGGTAGATACCATCAGCTAGATAATACCCGTTTTGATACACGGTATTATTGACTTGATATGTGATATTTGGGCATTTACCTCTCAAAATATCATTGAACACCGGGGATTGACCCAGGACGTTCAAATCATTTTGAGAGCCGGCAACTCCAAAGAAGGCGTGCCAAACCCAGGTATCAAAACCAGCAACTGCTTCGAGGATGATGCTTTTCTGCCCTTTCCGATTACCATAATCCCTTTGCCAAGCAGATGGACAATTTTTCCATTGCCAGTGCATGCAGTCAATGCTACCAATCATTCCAGGAAATCCACGAGACTCAGCTTTTTGTAGAAGCCGTTGCAGGTCCCTGGGCGTAGGTCTGCGCAGGTAGTCCATGGTGTACAGATTTTCCACTGCATCACAAAATCGCACCAAGCTCTCCAAAATAGTGGACTTCCCCATCCGGGCAATCTCATCCACTTGATCAGCAGATGACCCATACGCCAACATTCGTATCACAGCTGTGAACTTTTGCTCGGGAAGCAGCCCCAAATCTCCAGCACAATTTTTCTTTTGAACAAAGTAGTCATCATAATTGCAAATATCATGCATGACTTTATTGAACAAATGGGGTTGCATTCTATATCTTGCTCGAAAATGAACATCAGAGTACAGAGATTGTGGGATAAAATAATCTTCCAGAAGATTCTTACCCCGAGAATGTCTATGTCTGTCCACATTCGATTCCTGGCCTTCTCGTGAACCACGACGGCTCTGGTTTTCTTCCTCCATCAAAGCAACGGCCACACCAAGTTGCTCATCTAGTTCTCTCTGCGCCCTTTTGCTTGCAGCTCTTCTGCGCATTCTTGCTCGCCTTTCTCGCTCGTGCCTATCCAAAACATCTTCCATGTCTGACATTGAGAATGGAGAATGAAATCTAAAATCTGAGAAATGAAATCTAAAATATGAGAAATGAAGATGCAGAGAAGATATGGTGTGGGAGGTATGAGCTGAGCCTCTGGTTTTATAGAAAAATTTAAACAGATAGAGATGACACGTGGCGCAATTTTAGAGGATGAAAATCTTATCTGAAATTTGAAATTCAAATGAAATTTGGAATTGGTAATTTATCTGGAATTTGAATTTCGAAATGTATCTGAAATTCAAATTTTGAATTTATCTCAAATTTGAATTTTGAAATGTATCTGAAATTTGAAATTTATCTGAAATTTATCTGAAATTTGAAACCGAAAATCTTATCCGATATGAATAGTATTGACACGTAAGAACCCAAAAATCTTATCCGAAAATATTATCCACATTAATTGTTTAAATAAACAAAGTTGTGAAAAAAACAAAAAAATGAATAGTATTTGCCATGGCAAGGGGCTAACTGCTGGAAACACACATTTGCTGGGGGGAGCTAGGGCAGCCACTATTCACATGAATAGTAACTGCCCTAGGGCTCCCCTTGCCATGGCAAGGGGCTAACTGGTGGAAATGCTCTAAGAGCATTTCCAGCAAGGGACCTAGGGGGAGGGCTAGGGGGGGCTGGGGGAAAATGGTGTTTCCAGCAACACAAATCTGCCAGGGCAAGGTGTGGGCTCCAGCAAAAAAAACTTTGCCTGGGCTGGCCCTTGGGGAGGTCCAGCCCGAGCAACAAAACTCGTTTTAGGCTGACGTCAACGCTGCTGTTTAAATTTTTTTAAAACTGGCGCGTGCATCGGTTTAAAAAAAATTTGACGCGCGCTACAGTAGCCGCCCAACGGCATGATTCCACGTGTCGCATGCTGGGCCATCCGATCTGCTTTTTAAAATTATCCAACGGCAGCCATTTTTTCGCGAATAAAAAAATCCAAAAAGCAACACCCAACAGCTCTATGCCACGTGGAAGCTCCTGGGCTCTCCGATTAGTTTTTTCCAGCAATCCAACGACAGGCAATTTTTTGCCCAATAAAAAAATGAAAAAAAATTGGAAAAATTTTTAAAAAATACGAAAAAAATACTGAATTTTTTTTTCTATAAATACCAACCAATACGGACTTTTAACCCAAAAATCGTATCCGAAAATATTATCCAAATTAATTGTTTAAGTAAGCAAAGTTGTGAAAAAAACAAAAAAATGAATAGTATTTGCCATGGCAAGCCTTGCATTGCTGGAAACATAATTTTTTTTTGTGCTAGGGCAGCCACTATTCACGTGAATAGTACCCACCCTAGGGCTCCCCTTGCCATGGCAAGGGGCTAACTGGTGGAAGTGCTCTAAGCATTGGCAGCAAGGGGCCTAGGGGAGGGTTGGGGGGGGGGCAAACCCAAAATGTGGTTTCCAGCAACAAGAAGCTGCTAGGGCAAGCAGTGGGGCCCACAAACCTGGGCAAGCCCGAGGGGGAGGCTGGCCCGAGCTCCAGGCCGCGAGCTGTGATGACGTCAGCGCTGCTGTTTAAATTTTTTTAAAGCTGGCGCGTGCAATGCATGCGCCCGGTTTAAAAAAAATTTGACGCGCGCTACAGTAGCCGCCCAAAGGCATGATTCCACGTGTCGCATGCTGGGCCATCCGATCTGCTTTTTAAACTTATCCAACGGCATCCATTTTTTTGAGAATAAAAAAATCGAAAAAGCAACCCCAACGGCTCTATGCCACGTGGAAGCTCCTGGGCTCTCCGATTAGTTTTTTCCAGCAATCCAACGGCAGACAATTTTTTGCCCAATAAAAAAATGAAAAAAAATAAGAAAAAATTTAAAAAAATACTGAATTTTTTTTTCTATAAATACCAACCAATACTCTTCACTTTTATCCGAAAATATTATCCAAATTAATTGTTTAAATAAACAAAGTTGTGAAAAAAACAAAAAAATGAATAGTATTTGCCATGGCAAGCCTTGCATTGCTGGAAACACAATTTTTTTTTGTGCTAGGGCAACCACTATTCACGTGAATAGTACCCGCCCTAGGGCTCCCCTTGCCATGGCAAGGGGCTAACTGGTGGAAGTGCTCTTAATGGGGGTTGTTGCAGTGTAAATGCATGTAGGTTGTTTTATTCGATGTTTGAGCAAGTATGAGGGGACTATTGACTATTGAATAAGTCGCTGAATTTCTGGGTTCATGACTCATCCATAGTTTGAATTGTGAAATTGCATGGTCGTGCCTCAGGATGAATTTGAGCCAATTACAACAAAGAAAAACTCGCTGTGAACTTTGCGAGCACGTGTTAAAATGAATGGATGTTCAAATATTGTTCATCTTCTTGGAATGCAATTACAAAATAAGGACCGTGTTGCCAACTTTGGTGGAATTTGCCTACTCAGCTTGTTTTGTGACAGGTCCAAGGACTCGAGTACCCTCATGTTACCAAATGACTCATTTCCAGACAAGTTAAGGACATATAGCACTACAAAAAAAGTCAACAATGGTTTCCATTTTATTAGGGACTGTTGACATCTTTAGTCACCTTTTTTGGTAAGTAAAAGCAATAGTCACCATGTAGTTACAATTGTGGGCTTCATTACATATGAAGCCGTTACTAAAGGCTATTGTCACCGATATAACAACATTCGTGACATTGTGGAAATTGACTATTAACAGCATGTGGGGCCCATCATCTTTCCAATCAACTTTAATTTACAATATTTTATTACTTATTTGACTATCCAATCAACTTCATATTACGTATTTGATTGTTAATATTACGTATTTGATTGTTAATAGTATTTAAGTACAATGGGGCCCATCAAATTCAACAAATTGACAATACATTTTTGTTACTTAAATCTATATTTGTATTAGAATTATTAAAAAAAATTACAATTTCTATTTGTACATTTCTTACTTTCATTTTTTAATAATTAATTAATAAAATTATTGTTTTTATTAATGTATAGTGTTTATTGTAATTTCATTAAAATTCAATAAACAATTTAATAAAGATATTGACTTTCATTGCAATTTCCTCTAGTACAGTAAACATTTCATAGACATATTAACTTTGATTTAATAATTTTCATTACAATTTACACATATGGAGGATTAAACCTCCCAAAATATTAAGTCACTAGTAACTAAATATACAATCATTTGGGATCTACTTTCAAAATAACTAATTTCATCCCACTTGAGCTTGATCTTCAAAAAGGAAATGGCATACCCTAGTACCAACGAAGCAATTATGATCAAAATACCAAACTAACATGTATTTTGGTATTATGAATTTCATAATACCAAAACACATATATATTGATAAGCATGATGTTAATAAAATGCATACTGGTACTGCATGGTCCACATACCATAATTTGGAACCATATTTTTCAAACTTTGAAGGGCCTACTTTCCTGCATGAAGTAATCACAAAGAATATATATATATATATATATATATGTTAATTGTGCATTCTATTACATGGATGCCTCTATAACAAACAGCACAAGACAACATATCCTAAAATACAATCAAATTCAGCCTCACCATAGCTTTTGTAGCTGTCTCATTCACCGGTGTTCCATTCTTTCTTAGGTGGCATAGTTCAAACATTTTGCATTTGTCAAGGGAGACACCCCTATGATTCACCTTCTAAAATCCACCAGGCAGTTCACATATCAAATATTATTTTAAATCATAGCATGAGTACCTAAAAGAAGTTTTTCTTAAACCATCCACAAAATCACTTGTTTATGGCCCATTAATAAAAAAATTGAAAGCATATACTAGCTGTTCTATGTTTTTATCATTTATATACTATCAAAACATTATGAGAACTTGCATAAGCAGACATACAATATGATAACATGCTCCACATTAATTGACTAGAAAAACTGTGACACTTACATATTGGTTCCTCACTTAGGCATATGATTTTGTCCCCGTTGTGTGGTGCATCCTGCGCTTCGCACAATTACATTTATTTGCGATCGATCGTTTCTGCATGAATATTTTATACAGCGTCAAACAATTGACCATTTTAAAAAACAAAAACCAAAGACATATTTCATGTTTTACCTGCGCTGGACCAGTCTCCCAATATTGCACCAATAACCTCCACTGTTCTTTGCTAACCCTGTCATCAGTGCAATTCCATCGCTCCTCTGAATTCAAAAAAGGATCATACCAATTCTTTTTTAGATTGGCCTTGTGTTTCTTCTAAAGATGATTGAGTTTCTGCTTAGCCACGGCCCGTATTTTGGGTGCCTTCTTTCTCGTTTCCGGATCAGACCAATCAATTGTCCTCTGCATTCATATTCAACTATATACATTAACATTTTAGTGGTTTGACATGTATAAGTTAATCAGAGTATTCAACTGAAACACGAAGACCAAAAGCGTTGACAATTCACTACTCTTAAAGTACAAGAAACCTTTTAACTTCCATTGAAAAATTACATTCCTGCTCTCATTGCTTATTATACTTTTGCGTCACCTGTTACTTCCTGTTGGTTTGAACCTCATTAATACACATAAATGTATTGCTGCTATGTGATGTAAGTCCTATATGCATGGTGATGACCCTTACATAAAGAGAACATATGACCAAATTATCAAAACAAGTAAAGAAGAAAATACTAATCTGAAATGGAATACCAGATTCATAAAAGCATTGACTAAAGGGCAATCCATTATAACCTAGTGGCTTACCACGACCCTATACGTTACATATCATGATTGGTAGAGCTCAAGATAACTGAGGTTATTGAGTTGTATTCATTTGTAGAATGTATACAAGATGCCTATGAGAATAGATTATAAGAATGAATCATATAGAAGATATGAAGTAGTGGCAGATCCGTACAAGATATAAGAATGAATCATATACAAGATATGAATTATATATAGATGAACATGTCGTGGATTATAACGAGCAAGGCAGCAGAAGCTGGAAGCTGCTTTGATTCGTTTTAGTCAAGGCTTTCCACAAACAAGTGGTGGCCATGCTTGCCCAGCCACTCAACCAATCAATGGGTCAAGATACCAACTGAAATGATGTTTTCCATCATCCCAGGGGTCAACGTGGCCCTTGATAAAAAGCCTTTACATATTAACACATGTGATACAAACAGATAATACCAGTAGAATATTGTGTAGACAAGATTATTTATAAACAAATCCAACTTACAAAATACTTTATACCTTGATTCGTTTCCATGCATCGCCTGGTGTCGTTCCATGTTCAAAACGTCGCCAATCTTGTACATCAATTGGAAACAAACCTTGGTCCACAGCCATTAGTCCTTTGCATGCCACGACATGTGATCGGCTGTATACCTTGACAAATATAAGCGCTGCAAGTTAGTGGAAAGTATCTAAGCACTTTAGCCGGGACTTTTCTGGTATCACCATTCTCCTCAACTTCTTGTTTTTAGTACCTACTTTGCCCACAATGCTTACAATAATCATCAAGTATAGATTCTTTCCAGTATAACATACAATCATTCGGACACGCATCAATTTTTTGGTATGTCAAACCAAGATCCTTAATTAACTGCTTTACATCGTAGAAGTTGTTCGGTAATGTCTCCCCATCTGGAAGAATACTTTTCACCAACTTTAACATGATATCCATTCCCTTATCAGTCGAACCTAACAAGCATTTGGCTTGGTACAGTTTAACAAGAAACTCTAACTTCTTCATCTTCGTTGAACCAGGGTACAAGTGTGTGTTTGCATCATTGAGTAAGTCGTAAACTTTTCTGCATACTCGGCTCGCACATTAGCAGTTTGACCCTCTGTATCAACATGGCAATCATTCGCAGAGCTATCACTCCCAAAAACATCATACAAGACATTGTGGATTTCATTAACTGTGGGTTCACACAATTGTTGTTCTTCTACCTCATCCATGAAGTTAGGGTCAGGTAAATGTTCACCATGAAAAACCCAGACTTGATCTTCATAATGTGGATCCATCCCTTCATATAATAAGTGTGCCCAAACAAGATTTGGTTCACGCCAAAACCGATTATAACACTTTTTGCAAGGACATTTTAGCATCCCATCGTGAGATGCAACAAGCAATGAATCATCAATAAATTGTTGCAGTCACATCTTATATTCTTCACCTGCCCTATCTAATTTAACCCAAGATTTATCCATAACAACTAGAAACAATCACAAGATAAAAAATTTAATCAATGCAACCCCATCAAGCAAAAAGTTCATAAATGCAAATTTAATCAAGGCAACCCCACATGGTCAAATACCAATATTAAACAAATAGTATCAAATTTGTCAAGAAGACAGGGAGGACTCAAATTTGATGATGTAAATATTAACCATTTAAGATCCAAATAATACATGAAAATCAAATTAAGAATCTACAAGCCCTAACAAGTAAGGATTAAGATTTTATGATTGATAAAACAACATACAAAAATAAGGAGGTAGAACCTTGGATTGGGGATAGAGGCGCCTTTAGAAATTCAACCGCCGCTCTGGAGTAGGAGTAAGAAGACAGTCTTGGAAGAAACCACTTAGGCAAGAACAAACAGTGTTCTTCAAGAGTGCTGGCAATGGAGCTGCCGCTGGGAATCGATTTGATCTCAAATAATCGCAGGGAAGGATGGATGCGAGAAGAAGTTATATTCTTTATTACCAATTAGAAGCAATTGTGAATTGTAATTTTATTGGAGTGTTTTTCTGTTTTGCTGGAAGTATTGGAAAGTTAATTTAAATTGTAATAAATTGTTTTCTTTGAATCTGGATAAATTTGCAATACTTTATTGGTTAACCATTGTAATATTTAATTGTTTTTGTATACGTATTTCTTTTTTGTTGTGTTCTATACATATTTAATTGGATTACTACTCTCAAGAAAGGTTATTCTCAAATATAATATTCAACAAATTACTGTTCATGTGTCAGTTGGTTTACATTTATTATATTTAAATCAATACTCACCAATTCTTTAGAGTGTGAGATAATTAGTCACAAATAATGGTGACTAGTTACCAAATTCATTGACCACCCACTCAAATGTCACCAAAACTATTTTGTTGCTATAAAAAGGTGACTAATGCTTTCTTTTTTTGTAGTGTAGTGATTTGAATTCTCCCATTTCCTTAGGTATTGTTCCACTGAAATTGTTGCAGGAGAAGTTAATCAAGGTGAAGATTGATAGAATCTTTAGCAGATCCATCTCTGAACCTTTGTTGGTAACTGTTATACCATCCTCAAAAGAAAAACCAACCCCGTCTCTACCTGCTTCATGTGAAAAATTCTAGGAATTTGACCTTTGCTAGGGAGTCATCTTTCTTAGCCTTCATTGACCGCCATGTTGTCAAAAGATCTTCTCGGTATTTCACCACTGAAATTGTTGTGAGCTAGGTTTATGATTTGAAGCATTGGCCACATGCCATTGATCTTGGGACATTCAATGCGTCCGTAGAATTTGTTGGACTGCAAAACTAGGCCATGTAGAGTGGATATGTTCTTCAACTAGCATGGAAAGGCATATACTACATGGTTCTTTCCAAGGTTTAAAACTTGTAAACATGTGTAGTTGGCTAGAGATTTTGGAAACTGACCTTCTATATGATTTTCACCCAAGTTTAGAGTATCTATGATGTGATTAATTGCAAGTAGACAATATCGCTCAAATTAGTATAGTAATTAATAGAGTATCGTTTCAACATGGATCAAGTTAATCTATTAAATACTACTTCAATTTATTTCTAATTATATTTGAATTAAACAATAAGAGAATTATGATGATTAAAATCTAAATAAGAATAGGGAAACAATGTAAAAGATGAAATTAACCAAATGATGATGCACTAGGATACCGATTCCACCTAGCTAATCCCACCCAAATCCTTCTAGCTTGTTAATCCTAATTACCTAACATGTTGATAATCGTTTTCCCTTACCTCACCAATACTCTCTTCCGAGTTATATTAGTTGTATTCATTACCATCAACCCACTCTATTCCTAGTTATGGATTTAGATGGCTAAGAACCCATTAATGTTTGTGGAAAACATTGAAGATTACACAAACCATAACCTAATATTCCGAGTCAGCTATGTAATTTATGGTACTTGTTACAAGAAGTTATTTATTAGGCATGTCCTTCCGGTCTCAACCCAATTCTTCCAATCATGCAATTAGTGGCCAATTAATTGAAAGCATTAAGAACGGTAATAAGCACTCAACATGTATAGATAAATAAAATTAACAATATCAAAGAATTTGAGTATTCATAGCTAGGCTACATTGTTGCCTTACTAAAAGAAATTAGTTCATGAAGGACTTATTGAGAATCATGATGGTTGATGAAGACATGGAAGGCACCGAATTCTCCAAGTAGAACACCAAGGTTGCGCAAGCTTTCTTCGTATTCTCCTTTAAGTGTTTCGGCTATGAGTATGAATATGTAGGAATTTGAGGTGCAGGATCCTTTGATCAATGGCCGAAACTCTCTATTTATAATATTCCTAGAAATCCTACCTATCTAAGGTATAATTACAATTACTATAAAAATAGGATTCCTTCTAATGTAGGGTCTTTTTTTTCTTTTTTGAGAAATGGAATTCATTCATAGAATCAAAGTAGCGTATATAGAACGACACAAAACAATGGCCTCATTAAAACCTTTGTGATGGACAAACCCCATGGTCGGAAAGAGTACAACATGTCATTGACTAATAAGAGAGTCTGAAACAGTCATGTAGGACCAATGCTAGAGCAAGAAAAAATAGAACAGCAGACTGATACGTAGACCTCTAACAAGAACACTATAACACAATCCAACTGTCAAAAGAGTCCTGCTATGAAATCATAGTCCTTCACTACAAGAAAAAAGGTCAGTAGTGACCAATTCTCAGTGACAAAATGGATAATAGTCACAAATAGTGTGCATTTAGTGACTAACAATGTTAAATGGTCCCTAAAACTATTGATGCCCATTTTTTTAACTTTTAATGACCAATTCTTTTGACAAATAGTGACCACTCCAAATTTTAGTCAGTAAAAATAGCTTAGATTTTATATTTAGTGACCTAAACACATAAGTTGACATGGCACAGTAGCCTTACACGTTTCTTTTAATACATCAGTGACCAATTATTTCTTTTAAAATTTCTTTTCAAAACGAGTTCATCAAGTCAGAGCGTGCACTTCTCCTTCAGAGCGAGCAAGTCTCTCCCAGATTGTGCCCTTCTACTTAAGAGCGAGTGTCCTTTTCAACAAATTCAGATTTCAAATCGTGCTTTGCGTGTTGCTCTTTCTCTCTCTCTCTTTCTCTCTCTCTCTCTCTCTCTCTCTCTCTCTCTCTCCTCTCTCTCTCTCTCTCTCTCTCTCTCTCTCTCTCTCTCTCTCTCACACACACACATCTAGAAACTTCTCAGCTGGTGAGCACTCTGAACTTGTACTTGATTTTGATTTTGAGTTCAACTTTGATGTTGATTTAGGGTTCGAATGAGTTTTCGACTTTGATTCACCTTAAGACCTGTAAGGTATTTTCTTTTTGTTCTCTCACTCGATGACTGTGGATTTGGGGTTTCAAAAGCTAAGCAATGTAAGGGCGGGTTAGGGTTTCCAAAATTGAGAGAATGATGGAGTTAGATTTCATTTCGACTTTGATTTCGATTGGTTTGACCCACTACTCCGGCGTCGACCTTTTGGTTGATTGGATGCATCTTCTATGCTTTTTCTTACTCGGTCTCACGATTTCTTTGATTTCATTTGGATTTAATACTTAATTTAATAACTAATTAACTATTAATTTGAGTGATTATGCCACTATTTGATTTCTTCCTCTCTCTCTTCCCATCTGAACAATGAAGTAGTTTTGCTTGATTACACACTTATATATGGAATAAAATAGTTTTACTATCTACTTTGTGACCTGCTGAAGGGTTTTTGGTATCATTTATATTGTACTACATTGGAGGATTGCTCAATACTACACTGAAGGACTGCTCAAGGTTCTCTTGTACTATTTTCTGGTCCCCCATCATGGACATGGCAAGACATGTAATATAGACTGCAATTATTTATTTGATATTGGTATGAATAATGGTGTTACATTACATTCACTGTAATATCCTATCAGGTTTTATCCTTTCCATTATGCGCCATTTGCTTTCGACCTGAAGGGCCTTGGTCAGGTGAAACCTAAGTTCGAAAAAGGTTCCCCATTCATACCTATCAATACTCTTGTTTATATAAGAATCAATAGCGAATGAGAACAGGACGCGTGGACAAGGAAGGCATCTGCATGAGGACTCGGTACCCTTGGTTGCCGATGGCAAAGTTAGGGCAAATTCACCCTTTGGACACGTCACAGCAAATGTCAATAGTCCCACATCAAGACATATAAAAGGAGGCACAAGTCCCAAAATGGAGGTAACTGGAACTTTTGGCACACTAGCCATCGCTCTGTCCATATTATTTAATCAATCCGTATTTACTTAAGCATCATAGAGCTTTCGACCGGTACCACACCGGTGCCCTAGGTCTTACTGAGCGTATTCTTATCTTGCATATCAGGCGCTCGGTCGAAGCCCATAGCATTCTGAAGGCCCATACATCACTAAGTTGAGCCCAAAAGTGCCAAACCACTTTTTCACATAAAATCTCATGGCTGTGTTACCACCCAAAAGGTAACTATGTTTCTTTATTTTGTAAGTTTGGTCTTACGAGGTTCCCCAAGAAAATAATACAAATGTTCTCCTTTGTAGTGTTCATGTACTTCTGAAAGTTTATCAAACACTTGTGACGGATGAGGGTTCTACCATTATTGACTTTTACCCTTCTGGTAAGTACACGCTTGTAATATTAGTTATGCTAGAGCATTTCCAGCAAGGGGACCAGGGAGGGGGGGGGGGGGGGGGGGGGGGGGGGGGGGGGGGGGAGGGGGGGGCGAGGTGTTGGGTGTTTCTATAAATCCCGTTTCCAGCAACAAAACAAGGCCCGAGCAGATGATGGGACCCAGCAACCTGGGCTAGCCCGAGCGCTACAGTTCCACCAACAACTCTCTTCCACGTGGAGCGCACTGTGCTCTCTGATAAGATTTTTTCTAGCAATCCAACGGCAGCCAATTTTTGTGCAAAAAAAAAAAAAAAAAAACTAAATTTACTTTTTCTATAAATACCAACCAATGCTCTTCACTTTTAACACCAAATCCTCATACATTTTCTTCTCATTCTACTCAATATTTTTTTCACTTTCATACCTCCCACACCAGATCTTCTCTACATTTTCATTTCTCAGATTTTAGATTTCATTCTCCACTCTCAAATGGTAGACATGCAAGAGGTTTTGGCGAGGCAAGAGCGAGAAACTAGAGAAAGAATGTGTACAAGAGCTGCAAGCAAAAGGGAGCATAGAGAACTAGATAAGCAACTTGGCATAGTAGTGGCTTTGCTTGATGTAGAAAACCAGAGCCATCGTGGTTCACGAGAAGGCCGTGGCTCGAATGTGGACAAACATAGACATTCTCGGGGTAAGAATCTTTTAGAAGATTATTTTATCCCACAGTCTCTATACTTTGATGTTCATTTTTGAGCGAGATATAGAATGCAACCTCATTTGTTCAATAAAGTCATGCATGATATTTGCAATTATGATAAATACTTTGTGCAAAAGAAAAATGCTGTTGAAAATTTGGGACTTCTTCCCGAGCAAAAGTTCACAACTGTGATATGAATGTTGGCGTATGAGTGGTCATCTGCTGATCAGGTGGACGAGATTGCTCAAATGGGGAAGTCCACTATTTTGGAGAGCTTGATGCGATTTTGTGATGCAATGGAAACTCTGTACACCATAGACTACCTGCGCAGACCTACGCCCAGGGACCTGCAACGGCTTCTACAAAAAGCCGAGTCTCGAGGATTTCCTAGAATGATTGGTAGCATTGACTGCATGCACTGGCAATGCAAGATTTACCCAACTGCTTGGCAAGGGGATTATGGAAATAAGAAAGGGCAGAAAAGTATCATCCTTGAAGCCGTTGCTGGATTCGATACATGGGTTTGGCACGCCTTCTTCGAAGTTACCGGATCTCAAAATGACTTGAACGTCCTGGGTCAATCCCCGGTGTTCAATGATGTTTTGAGAGGTGAAGCCCCGAATATCACCTATGAAATCAATAATACTATCTACCATAATGGTTATTATCTAGCTGACGACATCTACCCGAGGTGGACAACATTTGTGAAATCAATTCCACATCCCCGATCCCATAAGCAAAAATTATTTGCTGCTTATCAAGAGGGTTACAGAAAAGATTTGGAGAGGTGCTTTGGTATCCTCCAAGCCCGGTGGGCTATTATTAGGGGCGCGACGCGTCTGTTTGATGAGGAGGTGCTGAGGAGCATAATGATGACATGCATCATCCTCCTTAACATAATTGTGGAGGATGAGTATGATTACGATGCTGCAGACGTGTACGAACTGGATCCCATGAAAACAACCTTGACACGAATTTATGAAAAACTCATAGGGCCAAATAGAGAACTAGTGCAGCATGAACCATTGGTTAGGGACGGTAGTTTCATGCCCCGTATGATTGATCGATATACGGAGATGCAATCGTCGTATATTCATTAACGACGTCAAGTTGACTTGATGGAGCATTTATTGGCGGTGAAAGGCAATGAAGGTGAATGAAGTGAAGTGAAGATGTTTTTTTAATTTATTATGTTTATGCTTTGTTTTTTTAATGCTTTTGTTGTGGTGTGTTTATTTTTATGCTTTGGTTGCGGTTTGCTTTTTATGTATGGAATGTTTTGAACAAAAAGGTTTTTTATTGAATGTTTTCTTTATTCAGTAAAATAAAATATTATCCGAAAATACTTTCCATTTAATTTTATGTAAAAAAAAAAAAAAAAAAAAAAAAAAAAAAGTTAAAAAAAAAAAAAAAAAAAAAAAAAAAAAAAAAAAAAAAATAATAGCATGGCAAATGGCAACTGCTGGAAACACATATTACTTTTTGCAAGGGCAGCTACATGTCATGGCAAGGGGCAAACTGTTGGAAGTGTTCTTAGTCCACCTGATCTGATAGAAATTAATTGCAAGCTCTGTTTCATCTGTAGATTTTGAAATTGATATGGATGGGAAACGCTTTACATGGAAGGTTTGTCTTCTCTTCTTTCCTTATATGACCATTTTCTGATATTTCTGGTAGTTATTCATTGGTATTGCATTTTCGTTGACATCTAGTGATTGTTCTCTCTTTTACCTTAAGGGCATTTTCGTTGAGATCTTCTCTAAATTGTTTTTGACTTTATCATCTCCAAAAGGGCATTTGCAAACTTCCTTTTATAGAAGAAGAGCGACTTCTATCTTAAACGAGAAAGTTAGAGAAGGAGTTGGTGGTATGAAACTTTTTATATATTTTAATTTCTTAAATATATGAGATGTTTTTCCATTCTTCTATTTAAATTGTCTTATCAGTTTGTGTTACACTGTGTAGGGGGAGACAGGAATAAAGAAAAAGTTGATCAATTATTTGTGCTTAGCACACACAATATGGCATCACAGATTGTCGCACTGTTTACAAAGGAAAACTGCCCCATCAAGATTGACAACAGTTTGTGGTAGGTCAATTATCTTTCTAAAGTCTTGTCTTTGTTACTTTGCCTTTTTCTTTTTTCTTTCATGGACCTCTTTTGCAGTATTTTCTAAATGTTTATGTTTATTGATAAGTTCTCTGCCCCTTTTCAGTTCTGGAATTAGTGGTTTTTTTACGTTTTCATGAGAATGCTTCCAGTGTTAAGGGAGGAGATCATAAACTTCAAGAAGACTCTGTCTTGTGAGTAACCGAAATAACGAGTCGTTAATTTTGATCTTGTAAATGTTTTGCTGTCCTGAAGGATAAGTTTTATGAATTTGATTATGTTACAGATGTGTGTGATATGAGATTCCAAACGGTGGTCCACATGTGCCTCGTTTACTTGCTGGTGTAGAGTTTCCTGTCAAGGTATTCGAACTTTCAGAATTTTCAATTATTTTCGTGAGCTTGAATGATATCGTACATATATGTTTGTTTTCGCATCTGTTTAATGTGACGGTTTACCTGCTCTGCCACTGCGGGTATGATTAGTTCCTTACTAGCACTGGCTTAATGAGTTTTCGGTATTCTAAGTACATTGTTGGGATGCATTTTCGAGTTTAATAGTTAAATGTCCTCACTCCTTAATACATTGTCCTGGAATTTGCATGTGAGAAGCTTAATTGGCCTTCAACTAGCATAAGAGAAATTTTCAGTGGCATGTTATAATTAAGCCCAATTTGTAACATTTGCCATCTACATTTGCAGACAATCACTGAAGACGATCTTATGGAGACAAAACTATGGCACGAATATCAGGGAAGCACACCCAGCTCCAGGTTCTTTGGCTTCTTGCTCTGTCTTCTATTTGTTATTCACATCTATACCTACGAATTTCTCTTTAAAATCATTGTTCAAGAACTAAATGCAATGCAGCAGCCAGCTTGTTCAGGAAAGGTTTAGAAAACCAGATAATATGGGAAAGGTTTACATTTTTGCTGCCATTTATTTTCATTTTTTTATTCATGACTTGGTGGTGCAGGTAAGATGGATCACATAGTATGGTAAACAGTTTGTAAAAGAGTTGAAGTTGCAACCAAATGGATAATATGCTTGCTGTAGGTTCCACCAGAAGAGCAGAAGCTTGCAGTCAGTCAACTGTGGTGAATCATATTTTTATGTTTTTGGATCAATTGACATATCTAGGTTGGGTTGTGGAGTCATCTAGGTTTGTTTTTTTATAGAGATGTATGTCTAGACTTGGATTTGAATTTGTTCAAACTTGGATAGCTTGTGAATTTGGTGGAAGAATGTTGATATTTTTTGAATGCGATGAATTATTTTATACAATTTTTTTATTATCAAAATTGTTTCCACGGCACTATGTATGAACAAGAATTAGATGGTATTTCATATATTGTTACACAACAAAGAACGAGGAAATAAATCAATTAGTTACCAATTTTTCAAATACACTAGTGACCAACTAGGTAGGTTAGTAATTTAGTCACGTGACCCACTTTTAGTGACCAAAATACGTGTTTTAGTGACCAAAGTTGTTGTCACTAATAGATTTTTCGTTAGTTACCAAACAGAGGAAATCACTAATTCTTTGGGTTGTATTGACCAATAATTGTAATTGGTCACTAAATAGAATTTGTGACGAGCTTCTAGTGACCACCAATATTTGGACACTAGTTGTATTCAATGACCAAAATGGATACTTTTTGTGACCAATTTGTTGGCTACTAATTAAATATTTTTTTCTATTTAGTTTATAATATTGAAAGCAGGAGGTGGCTTTAGCACATGCAAATTTCATAAATGACTTACAAGTGGATGCCATTAATATTAGAGTATGAAAGATATTTTGTTTCTTTAAGTGTATATCTTTTCTTACCATCATTAATTTGAAGAAGTTATCCAAAACTTGGATAACAAATTGTTACCAGCCAACAGGTAAACATTGGATTGCCACCTTTTGTTATTTAAATAGGAAACTTTCTACATTAAGAACTTGCATAGAAATACATGTGAACAGAAAAAGAAACAGGGAGAAAAGAAAATAGAAAGAAGGAAAGATAGTAAGAGAGGTAGAAAGAAGAAGAAGTATTGGAGGGAAATAGAAGACTGAGTTTGTGAATGCGGTGCAAAATTGGGAAACACTTAACATTTCTAGCAAAAGCTTTGGTGTCAAGGTAAGGGTTTCTTGGGGGCCTTCTACAGAGATTGATTTAATTTTGTGAGCATTATATTATGCATGGTATTACAGTTTGGTTGACATTTCTTGTATTGGGTATTTACGTATTCTTCACTATTTTAACAATGTTGGCATAATTATATATACATTGGTGATGTTTTAAATGGTTACATTGCTTTGAAGGATATGTAAAAGGCATAATTATATTATGTTATGGAAATTGGCTAGAATTGTTGGGTTGAGAAAATAATGATGGAAAAATAGGGTAATGGAAATGATCTTTTGTGTAGTTGAGTCTAACTCTTGGCAGGTACCAAATCTCAGGGATCCCACAGTGCACATGATTTTTATTGGGTGATACAGGACTGACGACAAAGAGTTAGACAAGATGACTAACAAAAGAGGATTTATGGGATGATTGAGATGAGAGTTAGTTCATATAAATGGGCATTCGGGACCAAGTGGTATAAGCATGGTATGGGACGTGGAGATCTACTTGTCTAGTTATATTAATTAACAGGATTAGATGAAGAGCATTCATGCATTAATTTTATTAACGTGATATTTGGCTCTGTGATGTACGTCACTTAATTTAGTTATATCAATTTACTGTGAAAATGTTTATGTCCCTATTGAGCTGTGGTTTCGCTCACCCCCTAACAGATTTTTCAAGTATTGAACCTAAAATCTAAAGCTTGTGATGATTTTGACATATATATATAGTGTATGTGTACATAGTTTGTGGATGAATAATGAGCTACTCTTTTAATGAACTTTTGAGTAGTTCTAACTTGTAAAATAATGTAAAAATTATAAGATTTCAGATATTGTCGTTTCTGCTTAGTATACTATATGAAATATTTATTTTATTTATTTAAATATTTCTTCATATTTTAGTTATAGTTTTTTTATTAAATTCTATAATTAATATGTGAATCACATCTTAACCCAAAGTTACGTAAATTCGTGGGTTGAGGTGTGACAGTAATAAACCCAGAACTCAAGTCAGTTACTTGCATAAATGTTAGCATGTATCCATTTGCCTTCCTCAACAAAACCCAAGCTGGCAATGGCTGACAAAACTCTAACAAGAGCAGGGCATCAAATCGAACACCCAAATTCAACATTTCTCTGAATACACCCCATGATTCGTTTGGACAGTTAATACAATGTTGAAATCATTAATGTCCAAGTAATAACAGCTTTATGACTCGTCATCCAAAAGACTTCGCCAACAAGCTCACTCTTCCCACACTTCCCCACACTTCCCATACCATCAATCATCGCAGTACAAAAAACCAGTCCCTTTCTAAAATCTCATTCAAAGCTCATGAGCTAACTCAATCCCCCCAATTTTCAAATAGCCTGTAATTAGTAAATTCCAAGAAATTATATCTCTTTCAGGTATTTAACAAACACCACCTTCACCAATTCAATCTTCCCTAGCTCCAACTACATCCTTATCAATAATTTCGTCACATATGGTTCAAACTAGAACTAGCTTTTCAAGATTTGCCCATGAACTTGCCGCCCTTCCTGCAAAGCACGTGACTTGCGGCAAGCTTTTTGTAATAGTAGAGCAGGGAGAGAAAACTCAACATCATCCAAATTTTTCAAAGAAGAGAACATACGGATATAGAGGATAATAGCTTCCAATGGATTTCAACTCTCAGAAAGATGTTTTATGAGTGTGAAAAAGACTTGTATACATGGTTGTCATAGTACTCGTATACGAACTTAAACAACCCGCCCTGCATGAAAAGTAGCAGTGGCAGAAATACTTGAGTTAAAACTAAAAAAACCAAAGGCAAATTAGGTAGAAATGATAGAGCTTGGTCAGAATAAGTGCATCATTTTATTTTCTTTTGGTGCTATTGTTGGAAGTTTGAATTAAATTCAAGAACCTTTGTCCCACATTGATAGAAAGTAGAAAGAGTGAGGTCCTTATAAGTGTGGAAGTGCCACACTTAGTAAATGGAAGTAGGCCAAGTGGAAGCAATTTGGGCTTCAAATTGATTTGGGCTTTGAATATTATATAAAATATATAATATTTAATGGTCAAAAAGATGGGCCTTGGGCCTTGGGGCACTTTCAGATTTAAAATTATTTTTTGGTTTCGAATTAATAATTTTTATTAATTCGGATTAGTTTTATTAACTGTTTTCTAACAGTTGTGACTCTTCTGATAAGGTTTCAGAAGTTTATTTAAATCAAACAAAGCCTCATACGTTAGATACAGAAAAAAGCATTCTACAAGCATTTTCATATTGTCTGAGAGGAAAAACAAACAACGTTCGCCAGATTCTAAGTCCGAGTGCTAGGGCTTAGAATATAGATAGTTGAATCCTGGGAGGCAGTCACCTGTAGAACTTCAAGCACCGAGAAGGGGTGAAATTACTGTCTTTAGGACATTGCATCAAATCTGCAAGCCTCTATCTCAAATTCAAGTTAGTTTTATTTATTGTTAATATATTGTATTCTGTGGTACAGATTGTTATATATTCTGTTTATATAATTGTTTTAATCAGTCATTGATAATTGTTTTTCCAACAATCTAAAGACAGTAAAATGGATTCACAATCATCAGTGACTGTGAACGGGGTGACTAAGAATCCTCATGACGAGAAGCCTGAGAAGTTCAAGGGAATTGACTTCAAGAGATGGCAACAGAAGATGCTGTTTATCTCACAACCATGAATCTGGCACATGTTGTCAGAGAGGAGGCTCCCAAATCAGGAGAAAATCCAATGTCTAAGGAAACAATGATGACCATTGAGGCTTGGAAACAATCTGATTTCCTGTGCAGAAACTACATCCTTAACAGGCTTGATGATACTCTGTATGACATTTATTCGTCATACAATTCTGCAAAGGAAGTTTGGGAATTACTTGAGAAAAATACAAAACAAAAGATGCTGGTGCCAAAAAATTCGTGATTGGCAAATTTCTCAAGTATGCCATGGTTGATTCGAAGACTGTTATTAAACAGGTTGAAGAACTTCAAATTCTGATCCATGATTTGCTTGCAGAGGGGTGCTCTATTAATGAACACTTCCAGGTTGGAGCAATCATAGAGAAACTGCCTCCATCATGGAAAGACTTCAAAATTTATTTGAAGCACAAGCGCAGAGAGATGTCTATGGAGGATCTGATTTTGAGGCTTCGAGTTGAGGAGGATCACAGGAAAGGTGACAAGGGTGAAGTGCCTGTCATGGAAGCCAAAGCCAATGTCGTTGAGACATCAAAGCCAAAATTCCAGAATAACAAGGGCAAGAAAGTTGCAAAGAACTATGGCAAACTCATGCACCAAAAGGCAAGGATTTCAAGAAAATCAAAGGTGCTTGCTGGGTATGTGGAAAACCAGGGCATAAAGCACAAGATTGCCGCCACCGAAGAGACCAAAATCCAACCAATCCTCAAGCCAATGTGACTGAAGTCAATGAACATTTTGTGGCTGTAGTGTCTGAAACCAATCTGGTTTCTGATACTAAGGACTGGTGGGTTGATACAGGTGCTACTAGGCACATTTGTGGTGACAGAAATCTGTTCACTGATTACGAACAGAATTCTAGTGGTGAGAAACTGTACATGGGAAATGCCTCTGCATCTGCAGTTGAAGGCAAAGGCAGTGTGCTGCTGAAGTTCACTTCTGGGAAGGTTTTAACCCTATTGGATGTGCTGCATGTTCCTGAAATTAGGAAGAACTTAGTGTCTGGCCCAATTCTTAGTAAGAAGGGTTTCAAACTTGTATTTGAATCTGACAAGTTCATCCTAACCAAAGGAGGGCTGTTTGTAGGAAAGGGTTACCTTGCTGATGGTTTGTTCAAACTCAATGTAACTGGCAATGATGCTTTTAATAATAATATAAATAAGGTTTCCGTTTACTTTGCTGAGTCTTCTAATATTTGGCATGCTAGATTAGGTCATGTAAATTATCGATCTATGCATAGAATGATGCATCTAGGTTTATTGCCTAAATTTGATATTGACTTTGATAATAAGTGTGAAACTTGTACAGAATCCAAGTTTTCTAGGCAAACCTTTAAATCTGTTCAAGGAAGATCAAATGAATTACTTGGATTAATTCATAGTGACCTTTGTGACTTTAAATCTACACCAACTCGTGGTGGGAAAAATTATTATATAACATTATAGATGATTGCAGTAAGTATTGTTATGTATACTTAATACATAGCAAGGATGAAGCCTTACAGATGTTTAAGACATACAAGGCAGAAGTTGAGAATCAACTTGATAGAAAAGTGAAAGTACTTAGATCAGATAGAGGTGGAGAATATGAGTCCACTGCATTTTCTGATTTTTGTGCAACTCATGGAATTATACATCAAACCACTGCACCATATACACCGCAACAAAACGGTGTAGCAGAAAGGAAAAATAGAACTTTCAAGGATATGATAAATTCCATGTTGAATAGCTCTGGGCTTCCACACAATCTGTGGGGTGAAGCCTTACTTACTGCAAATCACATCTTGAACAGAATTCCACATAAGAAGAGTAAACAATCTCCTTATGAAATGTGGAAAGGACGGATTCCTACATACAAGACACTGAAAGTGTGGGGTTGCCTAGCTAAAGTACAAGTACCCTTACCAAAAAGGGTAAAACTTGGACCTAAAACTATTGATTGTGTTTTCATAGGTTTTGCTAACACAAGTGCTGCATATAGATTTTTAGTTATTAAATCTGATATTTCTGATATACATGTTAACACAATTATAGAATCTGTTGATGTTGATTTCTTTGAGGAAATTTTTCCTTACAAAGAAAAGAGGTCCGGTTCAAACAAAAGGAAAGTACATGATGGAAATCCTGATGAACCATCCTCTTCAGGTGTCCAAGAAAAGGAAGTGGAACCTAGAAGAGGAAAGAGGACTAAAACACCAAAAAGTTTTGGACCAGATTTTGTAAGTTTCCTGACTGAAGAAGAACCACAAACTTATAAGGAAGCTATGGCTTCACCTGAGGCTCCTTTATGGAAGGAAGCTGTTAATAGCGAAGTAGAATCCATTATGCAGAACCATACGTGGGAATTGGTTGATTTACCACCTGGTAACAAACCAATTGGATATAAATGGATTTTTAAAAGAAAGCTAAAAGCCGATGGTACTATTGATAAATACAAGGCACGTTTAGTTGCTAAAGGGTATCGGCAAAAGGAAGGGTTGGATTATTTCGACACTTATTCTCCAGTATCAAGAATTACATCTATAAGGATGTTAATTGCTATAGCTGCAATACACAATATGGACATACATCAAATGGATGTAAAAACAGCTTTCTTGAATGGGGAATTAGATGAAGAAATATACATGGAACAACCAGAAGGTTTTGTGGTAAAAGGTCAAGAAACTAAAGTCTGTAAACTTGTTAAGTCTTTATATGGACTTAAACAAGCACCAAAACAATGGCATGAAAAGTTTGATCATACAATGATGTCACACGGATTTAAGATCAATGAATGTGACAAGTGTGTCTACATAAAAAACAACAAGAATTCTTGTGTTCTTGTATGTTTATATGTTGATGACATGCTCATAATGGGAACGAGTAAGGATGCAATAAATTCTACAAAGAAGATGTTGAATTCAAGTTTTGACATGAAAGACCTAGGTCAAGCTGATGTCATATTGGGAATTCAAATCAAAAGAAATAATGATGGGTATATTCTTACTCAATCCCATTATGCAGAAAAAATTCTAAGAAAGTTTGGTCAATTTGACTGCAAACCTGCTGTGACTCCTTTTGATGTAAATTGCAAATTAAAAAAGAATAGTGGAGATGCAATTTCCCAATTGGAGTATTCCCAAGTAATTGGGAGCCTAATGTATTTAATGAATTCTACTAGGCCAGACTTAGCTTATTCAGTAAGCAGGCTTAGTAGATACACAAGCAATCCTGGACATGATCATTGGGAAGCACTAATAAAGGTGCTAAGATATTTGAAATACACCCAAGACTATGGATTGCACTACACTAGATATCCACCAGTTCTAGAAGGCTATAGTGATGCAAATTGGATTTCTGATAGTACAGAAACCAAATCAACTAGTGGATATGTATTTACATTAGGTGGAGCTGCAGTATCCTGGAAATCCTCTAAACAGACGTGTATAGCACGCTCTACAATGGAATCAGAGTTTGTAGCCTTAGATAAAGCTGCTGAAGAAGCAGAATGGCTGAGAAACTTCCTAGAGGACATTCCAATGTGGCCTAAGCCTGTGACAGCAATTTGTATACATTGTGATAGTATGGCTGCACAAGCAAGAGCCAAGAGTGGTGTATACAATGGAAAGTCAAGACATATCAGGCGTAGGCATAATACAATTAGACAATTGCTCTCAAATGGAATTATATCCATTGACTATGTGAAGTCAAAGGAAAATATTGCAGATCCTTTGACAAAAGGCCTACCAAGAGAGCAAATCAAATTTACATCGAGAGGAATGGGATTGAAGCCAATCCAATGAATCAAACCTGACGGAAACCTAACCTAGTTGATTGGAGATCCCATGGTCTAGGTTCAATAGGCAAACTGGTTGGGTAAGATTCAAAAGTTGAACACACAATTTAACTCATTCCTATGATGATTAGTGTGTTGTCTGTTGATGTGAAGGTTATGCTTTGCATTTAATGACACTAATATCTTACTAAGAGGAGTTTAGGCAGAAAACTCTTAATTGGTGTCACCTATATGGGAGTAAATGTGGGGTCGCATTTATGAGAACGGAAAATAAAAGGCTAAGTTCTCTAAAGCTCTCATGAAACCTGGGATATGTTCAGGACCAAAATGAACAAAAACGTATGAACTAATGTTTGTTAAGATGTTATATGTGTGAGACATATTGTCTAGGTTTACTATAACGGTGAACAGTTCAAGATCAACTATATCCACTGCGTCATCAAGTAAATCCGATATGTTTTCACTAGGGTAAGTTCAAGTCCAAAAGACACTTTTCCTGATGTATATAACATCTGTTTCCTCTCAAATGCATTACATACATTTAGCAGTAAAAGTATCACATTTCAAATGTGGGGTCTAGAATTTCGATTCAAATGTGGGGTATTGTTGGAAGTTTGAATTAAATTCAAGAACCTTTGTCCCACATTGATAGAAAGTAGAAAGAGTGAGGTCCTTATAAGTGTGGAAGTGCCACACTTAGTAAATGGAAGTAGGCCAAGTGGAAGCAATTTGGGCTTCAAAATTGATTTGGGCTTTGAATATTATATAAAAATATATAATATTTAATGGTCAAAAAGATGGGCCTTGGGCCTTGGGGCACTTTCAGATTTAAAATTATTTTTTGGTTTCGAATTAATAATTTTTATTAATTCGGATTAGTTTTATTAACTGTTTTCTAACAGTTGTGACTCTTCTGATAAGGTTTCAGAAGTTTATTTAAATCAAACAAAGCCTCATACGTTAGATACAGAAAAAAGCATTCTACAAGCATTTTCATATTGTCTGAGAGGAAAACAAACAACGTTCGCCAGATTCTAAGTCCGAGTGCTAGGGCTTAGAATATAGATAGTTGAATCCTGGGAGGCAGTCACCTGTAGAACTTCAAGCACCGAGAAGGGGTGAAATTACTGTCTTTAGGACATTGCATCAAATCTGCAAGCCTCTATCTCAAATTCAAGTTAGTTTTATTTATTGTTAATATATTGTATTCTGTGGTACAGATTGTTATATATTCTGTTTATATAATTGTTTTAATCAATCATTGATAATTGTTTTTCCAACAGCTATAAGACTATTACTCTCAATGAGTGCATTTTATATGCTTCCTACATAACTATTACAGTGTTATTGGAGTTATATAAAGCTGATACTGCAGTGAAATAAAATATAATGCTTACATTAAAAATAAAAATTTGTGCAGTAAAAATTCTGCTCTTACACTACTATTACAGTCTTGTCTGTCAGAAGAATAAAATATTATATTTTAAATGTTGTTGCTTTTGTAATGCTTTTGCTGTTTACTTTGAAGGTGCGGCTTGAATCTTTGTGGAGATTGTAGTTTTTGGAGGTTTTGCAACGGTTATGGAGTTTTCGGAGCTGAGAGGTCATGTAGAGAGAGAGAGAGAGAGAGAGAGAGAGAGAGAGAGGAAGAAAGAGAGAGCGAGAGAGCAAGAGAGAGTGAGAGACAGGCAGGAGTGCTTGGGTCCCGTGCGTTGGTTTGTCCTGTCCTTTTTCTGTTTATGTTGGGTTCTTTTTCGTTTTTCTGTTTTAAAGTGGCCTGGGCTTCTGTTGATTTTCTTCTTCTGCAGAGTTAGCCTTGGGTGCGGTGGTATTATCATAAATGGGAGGATTTTATGTGTTGTTTTGTATTGTTCAAAAGTCACCTAGGTATTTTTAAATTTTTAAATTTTATTTTATAGAGTTTGGGTAGTGTTGGGTTTTACTATATTTTAGACACTATTTGGGGCTTGAATGTGAAGTTCTCTTAATTTTTTAACCTCCGCGTTGGTTATGAAAATCTCTTAATTTTTACAAGGAATGACCCACAACGTTAACCTCCACACTTAAAGTTGGTTCGTTTGGGGGCGAAATCTAATAGGGCGAGTCTGGATATGACCAATCACGTTCAGTCTTGCATAATAAGGATTCCACATGGCGGAATATGTTGGATGAAGATAACAAAATAGTGTTATCTCTGTAACATGCAATTTCTTCTCCTCTTTCTCACACACACACGCGCACACACACACACTCTCTCTCTCTCTCTCTCCTCTTTGATATATCCCTCTCTTTGCTCACTTGGATCTCTCCTGATCTCTACTCACTCTAATCTCTGCCTCTCTCTGTACCCCTTCGATTTCTCACCTCTCCGCTTACTCTATCTCTTCTTCATGCCAAATCTCAATGAGATCTCTCTCCTCCTTTGACTCTCTCTCTCTCTCTCTCTCTCTCTCTCTCTCTCTCTCTCTCTCTCTCTCTCTCTCTCTCTCTCTCTCTACTTTGGATCTCCACCACCATCCTTTTTGCAATTTTTTTTGGAATAAGTCACACAGGCTCTTTGGGTTTTCTGTGTAATTTTCACCTATACTTTGTGAGAGCTTCTCACCTCTCTTTTGTGAGAGTTTTATTTGTTTTGTTATGGCTTGATTTTTTCAAGCTTGATCTCTTTTCGAGTTCTAAGTTTGCAATCTTAATTGAAATGTCATTGTCAGAGATTCTTTAGTCTTGTGTGATTGTTAGTGGAGGCACACCTGATTGTCTTTATTTTGATGTTAGATTTCTACATTATTGTAATGGTTCTTTGTGGCTATAGTTATTTGCCGTTTGTAGCTAGTGGCTTTTTTGGATGAATTCTGAATGTAATATTAGAATTTCTCAACAAAAAAAATATTAATAATAACACTTTCACATATGCACCCAACTTTTGTTTGTAAATAGACAAAACAAAAATGCTCTTAGAGCATCTTCAAGAGACTCTTTAAATGTAGCTCTTTAAATACAAGTTATTTATGTACGTGACACTTTGAAGACAATAAGAGCACTTCCACCAATTTGCCCTTTTGTCATCGCAATGGGAGGCTAGGGCAGCTACTATTCACGTGAATAGTGGCTGCTCTTGCAAAAGGTTGTGATGTTTCCACCTATTGTCATGACAATACTATTCACATGAGATATGATGAGAGAAATTTGTATAGAATTTAGTGTGGAAAGTGAAAACTATGACTAAGTATTTATTTTTTTAAAATCTGAAATTTTTTGTATTTTTTTCGATTTTTTTTTCTAAAAATTTGTTGTTGACGTTAGCAAACCCGGGCTTGAACTCGAGCTCATCTTGCCTGAGGGTTGGCTTGGTTTCGTGGGCCCCACCTCCTACCCGGGCCAGCTCTTGCTACTGGAGACTGTTTTTGGGCCTAAACGCCCCCAAGCCATTGTTGTTGGAACCGCTCTAATATGTTACTTAAGAGTTTTACACTTCGACGTACAATTTCTATTTTTTTCAGTTTTTTTTTTTTTTTTTTTTTTTTTTTTTTTTTTTTTTAATTTTTTTATATTTGTTTTTTTTTATTAAATAAGTCTCTCTTCTTTATTTTATTTTTTTTTTTCTTTATTATTCACATTCATTGTTGCTTTTTCTCTTATAGAAATGTTTTAGTCACTTTAAGAACGCAAGAGCAAGGAGTGGTGAGGTTCCCAATTTGGTGACTTGGTTTGTGAAATTTCTTGGAACTACGTTGTTTGACGTGACTTTACCTATCTAATTGGGGAAATATTTTGTGGGGTCTTGAAGATGCTCTTAATAAGCTCTTTTATTTTTTATTTTATATATATATATATATATATATATATATATATTCCAGATTCGAACTTTCGTAAATTTTAAGTTCCATGTTTTGTACCGAAAGTTAGGCCTCAATTATTTTTGTTAAATATTAATGCTAGCTCAAGGTTCAATATGATGGGACCGGCCGGCCGGCATATGGGATTAGGAAGATCATGCTGTATGGGCAGTCACATCAAGGAATACCCCTACATCATGTAGCTATAGCTTCTAGGGTCCTTAATTATGATTAATTAGCACATCGAGTACCAATGGTTAAACATATTCTTGCTCATTTCCATCTTCTAATTAATTTTGAATGTGGATATGGAATATGCTAGTGCAGCAGAAAAAAGTGACCCAGTTGCACTAGTCTTGATGATAAGTAATTTTCAATTTCTTGACTTCTAGGCCGAAACATGTTTTCTTGTGGTGATCTGTTGTTGCTGTTCATGCTTTAGCAAAATCCTTCTATTTTTTAATGGCAAAATATTTAGCGTTTTTATCACGAATGGTTCTTAAATTTTTTGGAAGCCCTCATTTGAGTTATATGACTTTCAAATCAACCAACGTGATCTTTAATCTTTTGATCCACATTTCGATAAAATCTTCGTGAAAATTGGCCACTTAACAACACATGTCAAACTTTAAAGCCCTATATTCATCAAATTATACATCATATCCACCCATAACACAAATTATAGGTGAGAATTGGTCTTTTCGTCACATTTCCTCAAAATCTTCATGTTTTTGCTTTTCAAAGCTATTTGTTCTCCTTGATGGAACCCATACATGAAACTCAAAATTTAGAAAAATGTCCTTGCATTTTGAGCAAAAGCATGAGTTTTAAAACTAAAACGAGTTATATTTTGATGGTAATACTTGTTTCAATTCATGTGATACTATGTGACTAATTTTAGCAAATTTTTTGTCATAATGTGATGTCAAATACCAAATTGATGTGTAGAGAAAAAGATGTAGTAGCGCATTGATTGATTTAAGAACTTTTCAAAAGTTCATGAACCACTAGTGATAAAACCCCTTATAAACTGATGTTGTAGACATCATTAGTAACACTTTCTTTTAAAATATACGGTCCTTAGATAAACTACTACCTCAGTGACAAAATGCAATCTACCAATAGTCTAATCAAAAGTAATTAAGCATTATAGCTAGCTCTCTTGTACATGTAGAGTGTAAAATATTTGTATGCCCTAGAAGAAGTGGAAAATAAAATTAATGGCAGAATCGTGATCAGGAAAGATGCTAGAAAAAAAAATATAGTACAAACTCAGTGATTAACATTATCAAATGTAATCCCAAAGAAAAAAAGAGTGTTAAGGATTCTGTATTTAGCAACCCCACTTTCTCCCCATTACTAGTTCAATAACAGAAATGACCCAACTGAATCTCACTTTGTTGAAATGACTCCTTACCACTACCCCTACGTTTACGGCTTTTGGGGCTGGTGGAGTTGCTTTATACCCACAGCTCTACTTAAAGTATAACTCTTAAATTGGTAATTTCACTTGTGAACTTGTTAGTTTGGGAATGTTCAAACAAGACCAATCTCAAAAATTTACCTTAATTTCTTAAACATTTGTACAAAAGGCCAGGGGACTTTCTCAGCTTGAGAATGTCTTTAGCAGAATTCATTCCTTCTAATATCCATTGTTTTTGTTGAAGAAAAGAATAAAAAAACTGAAAATGAAACCTTCACAAATGCTCCCCCTCCCCCCAAAACACCCACCCACCCAACCCACAACACACACACAATAGAGAGATATAAAAAAAATAAACATTTGTTTTTATTTAATCAACAAATCACAATCTGACACATATATAAATAAGTAATTTAAATTGAAATAAAAAGGTTCATATGAACTTGTCAAATTGTAATTTGTCCATAAACAAAATGTCTTAAGTTTTGTTTGTGCATACTTACTTCACCTCCTTTAGAAAAACTTGTATGAAACGGGGATAACACTTTTTTGCTATCCCTAACCAATCACAAACTGCTACATAAACAAATTATCACGTGTGGCATGCCGCAATTAGTCAGAAATAATAAAATAGTGCTATTCCTGTTTCACACAAGTGTTTCTCTAACTCCTTCATGACCATCATAATTTAGCCATACATAACAATGGAACACACACAATGTACGCAGAGAGACACGCATATGCATCAATAATTAACTTAGAAATACATATTAAAAAAGAAAAAGAAAAAATAAGAAGAATATAGAATTGGAATAATCTAGCACATCAAATCCCAATCTCTTTTATTTTTGCTTAGCTAGTGTGTGCGCTCGCTTAGATAATGTGATAGTTGTAAAAGTATTACAACACGTTGCAGAGGTACGTACACAAAAAAGACTGAAGTCTAAACTTCAGACTCTACAGCGAATGTCAGGTTTTCCAAATTGCTCAATCTTTAATTTCTTGGTTTAATATCGATCTTGTTATAAAAAACTTCGACAGTGACTGCTATAGTTCCTCAACTCCACCTTCGTTAGCACAATTGGTCCTCCGTCATATCTTTTGTTAAATTAAAGGGCTTTGGAGCTAGCCAAAGTTGGAAAGGAGCTAGGATGTGAGGAAATGAGTTTACAAATCGGATAAATCATGAACACATTCAAAAACCTACAAATGCTTGTAACCAAAAACAAAACAAATAATAAAAATATATATTTTTCAGGATACCCTTTGCCTTGAAAGTTCAGCAATTATAGAAGACACTATCCTCAACTTTTTATGTACCTCTCTCAAACTTTTTGTTTCCCCCCCACCTCCCTTGAACTTTCATGGATTCTCCATCTCTTCAAGGGTTCTTCTCTCAACAACACTATAAATATGGGGTATCTCCAATCCAAAGCCAATTAACAAACCCTGCTTCCTCAAGAAAAACAGAAAGGTTGTGTACATCTAATTTCATCATGGCAAAGATGTCAGATCCTCTTGTGGTTGGGAGAGTCATTGGAGATGTTGTTGATTCCTTCTCCCAAAGTGTAAAAATGACAGTCACTTACAACTCCAACAAGAAGGTTTATAATGGTCATGAGCTATTTCCTTCCTCACTAACCCTCAAGCCTAAGGTTGAGGTTCATGGAGGCGATTTGAGGTCATTCTTTACACTGGTACATATGTCTACTTCCCAGCTATATTTTTCTTGCTTTCATTACTACCTAGTTTTTTTTTTCCTCTAAATATGGATTTAATTTGAATTCATCTTTTCCTCTTTGCAGGTTTTGACCGATCCAGATGTTCCCGGTCCTAGTGACCCCTACCTAAGGGAGCATTTACACTGGTAAATCCTCTGTTGAGATATGATCAGGAATAGGATTTAAATGAGGAAAAGAGACAAGCTAATGATGCCACTAATTTTTATATACCTAGTTCCAATTAAATAACTTGTGCCCTAATTATGGGGTATATGGTTCACAGGGCACGATGACAGGGCATTTATCTGCATCGAAATAAAAATCCGAAAATAAAATCCTTCTACCCTTGAGAAGTATTGTTAGTCATTAGGCATTGTGAATTTTATAAGACCTCACTAATTATGCAGATTCAAAAACTATAGATGCTCTCCTTGAGTCTAAACTTTTGGTTTTAAGTTTGTGTGTTTACATAATTGACTTGGTATATAGTTTTTCTTCCTTCGTTAAATCATGATGGAGAGAGAGAGAGAGAGAGAGAGTTCCCAATTCTCCTTGTAAATTTTTGACAAAAACCAAAATGAGAAGACAAGATATAGACTTAATTGCATACACATGCATTTAAAATGCTCCTTAAGCTTAAAATATGTACTCTTTGTGTTTTTATTTTTTTGGTCAATTAAAAATATGGCTAATTCTGCCATCTTGATTACAGGATAGTGAATGACATCCCAGGCACAACTGATACCACATTTGGTAAGTCCCTTCATGCTCTTAGAGAGAGAGAGAGAGTAGATGATGATGAATATTAACTAATTAATATGGTTTTTTTGTTTGTTTTTTGTTTTCTTTTCATGCTATAATCAAAAGCAGGAAAAGAGATGGTGAAATATGAAATACCAAGGCCAAACATAGGGATCCACAGGTTTGTGTTTCTTCTGTTCAAGCAGAAAGGCAGGCAGACAGTGATCCCTCCTCCTTCAAAAGACCACTTCAACACACGAAAATTTGCAGAAGCAAACGACCTCGGCCTTCCTGTGGCTGCTGTCTTTTTCAATGCCCAAAGGGAAACTGCTGCAAGAAGACGCTAAAACAAGTACCCAGAAAAAGCCGACTCCAAGCTAGAACTTGAAATGGATAACTACAATTATAATAAACCAGGGGGTTGCCTTTAGCCTAACATAATGATTAATTAGAGGAAGTATTGCACGCCCCCCTTCTTCCTAGTGTTGCTATCTGTATTAGTTTATGTCTCGTGTAAGTTTATTTACCCTTTGCTCGAAAATAATTATAATATAAGAATAATCTACTCTTGCTAGACCCGTGTTACCATATAAATAATTATGTTATCAGACTCCGAACAATTTCTATTATCTTCGCTATGCTGGCTGTACTGTATCTTTTTTTTTTTTTTCTTTTTAGTAGTGTTTTTTTTTTTTTTTTTTTTTGTTTTTTTTTTTTTTTTTTTCTAGTTGTACTTTATATAAGGCATGCCCTAACAATGAGTCTATGTTACGGGGGAGGGTGCCCTATAACTGAAGGGTATATATATATAAACGTTAAAGTCTAGGTTTTTACCTATAAGCGGTAACCCTTAATATATCACCATTTTTCCCGCAGAGGCTTCTGCTTTTTGGTCTGTGTACTCTTGAGAAATTTTTTACCCTTAAGTCACGGTAAAAGTTTCACCCTTAGATATGGTACAGATAGAAATCATGTGGAAGAAGCTCAGTTTGGGAAAATCTGCTTTATGTACTGAAAGAATCAAGAATGATATTTCTAAAAGGAAAATGATTTTTTTTATATAAAAAATTTAGAAAAATGTATTGTCATTTTACACATACGAAGTTGGGATTCAGTTTGTGTTTTCTTCTTTTGCTTACAGGTTGGTTTAGATGATGACTGATTAGCAGGTTTAGAACGTTTGAATGTGTTCTTTTGTGGAGTATAAGTGATAGTCTAAACTAGAAAGAAGATGAATTTCACACACACACACACACACAAATAATGTCATAGGGATTCGAACATAAGACATTTTGTGAACTTTCAAACCCGAACAACCATCGCTTGCCATCACAGCCGGCCCCACATGCTACTACCGCTCATTATTTTTCAAATTGAGAAAATTTCAAGTCTTAAACTAATTGTCCGAATGATGATGATTTGTGAACTATTTGATTGAAATTGAATTTATAATTTTTTGGATATGAAATTTATAGTTTATTGATATTGGTTTGATTATTGGATAAGGTTTTTGTTTGTTGATTGATTAATTGCTCATGGGTTTTGTATTTTGGCTGTAGTGTTTTTTTTTACCATAAATTATGAATGAAGGTGATATCTTTTAGATTTTAAGAGTACTTTTCGTCTAAGAAATTTTGAGAGCTTCTACTGTTAAATTTATGACTTCAGGTGTGTGGGTAAGGAACTACCCGTCAATGACAGTTAGCATACCCACCATGCTGTTTCAGCAGAAATGGCAACAGTTGAAGCAGTGCTCGAGTGCTCGAGTGCTCGAGTGTGTCCCATTTTGTGAACCAAACAGTTCCGAGCGTAAAGATATGGTGTGTGGACGCCCTTCTGATATCATACCACGTGTCACAAAGATATGCTCAAGCTTCACCTAGGGACCATGCACATCGTACAGAAACCTCAGATTTTATGTGTACTTTTTGGTTGAAATCTGAGATTCATATTTAGCTAGACTATACTTCGCACGTCCTCTCGCCTCATTTCACCTTGCAAGAAGGACAGGGACCCTTATTGCGAGTTTCTCCCTTGGGAATTGAGATTTGAACAAGTCAATGCACATTATTATTTCTCTTTATTCTTACTTTTGGCTACAACACCGACCAATCAAATTTTCTTATGTGATTCGGATAAGGCACGTAAAGCCTACAATATTCTTAATGAGGAATGGTAATAATATATTTTCTTAGACAAACCATATTGAAAGACGGGAATATTAAACACCTAATGTAAAGTGTATGTAACCACCAGTTCTTTGCGCAAAGTACTCATTAATGTAGTAGTTTAGAGTATTTACTTCTTTAGGTAAGGTTTTGGCTTCTGAAACTTGTTTCATATTGAACTCCAAACTATTTTTAAAATCTAAAAAAAATTAAAATTAAAATCAGAAAATTAGAAACCTAATCCCCAAATTGAAATTAATTAAAAAAAAAGAAGGGAAAAAGATGTGAGGCATAAACCTTATCAATTTTGATGGTGCACAACAACTCCAACTCCCCTACGCTGCTTGAACATGCTTAAGTGGTTTTGGTGGTATTGGTTCCCAAAGACAAACCCCCGGGTACCATACGAGAGAGAGAGAGAGAGAGAGAGAGAGAGGAGAGAGAGGAGAGAGAGAGAGAGAGAGAGAGAGGTGAGAAAAAATTGTAAAATCACACTTTTTTTGTTTTCTTAAAAGGGGTTTTTGAATTTTTTCTGGGTTTTGGTTTTTAAAAATGGGCTTACCAAACAGGCTTTTTGGGTTTTGAACTTAAAATCTATTTTTGAGTTTATAAAATTGGATCCAAATAGGATACCAAAAAAGCCCTTAATTTTTGTATTTAAAAATATTTCCCAAAAAAGAGTAAAATTAAAGGAGCGCATGCATCTTACATAGGATTTGATAAATGACACCAAATGATATTTTTATGAGTCAAAGTAGCGCTATTTATTAAGGGGTTGTTTGTTACATAAGTTTGGCTTGGACTAAATTTAGTATCATGTTTGTTTCATCTAATCCTAATTTTAAATGTGATTGTTAATACCGGGCCCACCAAAAACACCTCCTTAGGATGGGGGTCGATTATTTGGGAATGAAATAATGGAGCTTTGAGCCGGTGCAGATTTGGACGCATAACAAAGACGTCATGCTTTGGTGTGAGTGTGGTATGCGAGCGTGCCAGCATGGATGGCCATGCGATTTGAGTTGCGAATGGATGGATGGATGCGCTTGTGTGATTTTACTTCTTTGCAAACTATTGTTGGCCAAGAGAGGAACAAGTCTCGGCTGTTGGAATTATTAAGACAGTTGGTATGGCAAATGGGTCGCCGAACTCGATAGCTCGGCGATGGTGGCACTAAGCTTGGTGACTCAGTGGGTTCAGACAACTTTGGGAAATGAGGTTGTCTTAAAGTATCTGGATGGATAGGATGGAGCTCAAGAAAAATGCTTAAGAAATGCAAGTATCAAAAGGATTTTCTTGTTGATATATTGATGAACGGAATGAAGTGGGTACTGCCCACAAATCCCAGAACGGTTTCTGGGATTTTTGCGATAGTTGTTGATAGTTACTCCTACTCCTAAGATAGCATTTTAAAGATATTGAAAGATAAATTTGGGTTGCTCGTTAGAGGCTTTAGGTTTGTGCTGGACCTTTTTTTCGTGGCCTGGAGTCCTCTATTTATAGCCTTCAGCAGAGGTCTTTGGTCGAACGATGACCCTACTAAAACGTCTAATCATCTGTGCATCTTCCTATACACGTGTTTGTATATAATTGACAAATTTTAATGGTAGAATGATTTCTCATGTAGATTATGGGCGGTGGGAAGATCTTCTTCAGTCATGACCCATCCGACCATTCCCTTTTTGCTCAGTCTGGTAACCCTTCCTCGGACTGAAATACTTCTTCGGTCCCAAATGTCTTTCGATCCCTGGCCCTTTGTCTCTGGGCTGTAATCGGCTGCTTTTGGGCTTGGTGCGTTCCCTTTTTTTTCCCCCAAGAAACCCATTATCATATATATGCAGCTGGTTCGAAAATTTGGGTCTAAACAATTAGTAGATAACCCAAAAAAACAAAAAAAAACAAGAAGAAGAAACAAATTGGCTTTTGGTCAAGAAGGAAAAAACAAAACGATTTTTTTTTTTTTTTTTTTTTTTTTTTGCAGTGCTCAAGAAGAAGAAAAAAAACGCAGCATTCAGATTGTACAGTACTATAGGGCAACACCAAATGTCAATCTTTATATAAAAGAGTTGTTTCCTTTTGTTAAAAATCCTTTTGTAATCCTTACTTAAATAAGAGAGAATACCTCAAACCCAAAAAAATAAAAAAAAGAAAACTAAGCCCACGAAATGCAACAGGCCTTGTTTAAAGCCCATGGTCTTTGTCTGTCCAGTTTCCTCTTTCTTTCTTTTTTTTATTGGGTGCATAGTCCAAAACAACGGCGCGCAAGGCAGCAGTGTGCAACACAACAAACATCGTTGAGGCAAATGGTTGAAAGCCTGGAGTGCACCACTATTGGTTTGGGCAGAGGGGAAATCTGAAGCACGACGACTGGTTTTTCAGGCAAGAAGGGGTGCAGCCGCACCTCCTTGCGCCTTAATAAGTTCGTCACTACGTGTGAAAGCCCATAATCACACGTGCTCCACCTCACCCAATATGTGTTGTCAATGTGTTAGGCTTGAAAATTCGCCACACGTGCATGACGTGTGACAATGTGAAGTTAAAATGTCCCATATTGAAAAGTTACAAAACCTTGCAATGACTTATAAGACCATTTCCATTGGTGTGGCCTGCCATGGCCAAAGGCCCCCAAGCCATGAAAACCCACTCCAGCAATGCATAATAGCCCCGGAAAGACATGGGCATGCCAAAAGGCAAGATCAGCCCGTGATCATTTTTGAACCTCAACTTCCTTCAAATATTTCACGTGGGAAAAGAGAGCACGTGGCCATTTTTGAACGATATAGGATCGCTGGATTTTAGCAGAATAGCTTTATGAAATCTAATAAACAATAAGTAAAACCAAACCAGCGTAGATGGATGTATGTTGTGAATGCCATTGGTTTGCAAATTTGTAAAACAACTTTTAGTATCACAAAATACTTTATCTAGTACAATGCCCCTTCCCATCATGGTCCCCAGAATTTTTGCCCATACACCGGGCTTAGGCCCAATAAAGTTATTTTATGTGCAAATTTGAAGAACTTTTTTTTTTTTGGGTCATAATATTTTCATCCTAGCTAGCAACCTTGGTGACGCAATGTTATATCTCTTGCTCAAGCACTCTTTGTTGCCAACTTTGTGACCTAGTGGTGACTTGGAGTTGTATTTGGTGTTTTGCAGTGGAATGAAATTTCATGATTCATATAAGCAATATAAAAAACTAAAATAATGTTCATCTTGTTCTTTTTTCTTTTCTTTTTTGGGGTCAAAATAATGTTCATTTTTTTAAACATAAAAAATAACTATAAATGAGGTTATTTTTTTTTTGTATGAACTAGCAATGGGTGGATGCAGAGTTCCATGATTTTACATACTAGGATGTATGGTTATTTTTATTATTATTTTTTATATATTTTTTTTGGGGAGGTTTGGTGGTAAAAATGAGAGCATTTTTGCTCACCAGATTAATCAAAGATGTATGCTCACCACCACCGTTAAAAAATCGAAAAGGGCCCACATCACAGCACACTCCCCATTTTTCCTCCTTTCCATCTTCCTTTTATTTCCTTTTTATTTTCTTTCTTTCTTTCCTCCTCCCCTCCCCCGACCTTTCTCGCCGTATACCCTATAAAAGTCCAAAGCTATGCTCCACACATGATATGCGAAGAAAGGTTTACTTAAAGTCATAGCCATTCATCATGCTTAGCTAATCCAATGATGTAAATGCCAGAAAAATTAAAACAAGAAAGAGCGTGTTGATTTGCTCAAGTCAATACTTGAGAACCAACCTGGTCTTGTTAGTTGGCATCAAATCCCATTTCTTTTTCTTAGTTAGAAACAATTTTTTCCTCACTCGGTAGTTACATTTAATCGTTGAGGCCATGATGAAGATTTAGAATTTAACAAAACATTAGGTTTCAATTTGAAAGAAGGAATAGCATAGGGCCTAGACATAAGCCACACTTCAATTATTTTCCAGTGGAAAATCCTCCTCACTTTGAAATTGCAGACCCTGTTTGGTATTCTCCCATTGAGATCTAAACGTCTCAAAACTGCCATATGTGATTAGAAGGAGAGAGAAGACTTGGGTCAAGGTCCACCCAGCAGCCAATGTTTCTACCTAATGGAATTTCAACAAGCTTGAACAGCCTTGGGTTTTACTTTTACTCGAGTGGATGTTTAATTAGAGGAATTTAATTGACTGGAACGATCGGAATGACTTGGTCGAAATCAATGAAAATAAAACTAGAAAATTACTCTTTTTTTTTGTATTTTTTTGCAATTATGGGACTCATTTTATAGTTACTTGATTCGATGTTAGACTTTTAAAATTTTAACTACATAATATGTATGAAAGTGGAATCAAACCTAAATCAAAGGGACAAAGGTGTAATTTCGTTTTAAAAATAATCTAAGTTCTAAGCTTGATTAAAAAAAAAAGAATCTTAACTAACTAAAGACGAAATGTAATACATAAAAAAACTATGAAATGATCCCAATCACTTTTCTTGAGTATCCCTCAAAGTCTTAAGTCAATAAATCGGAACAAACATATACACCTTTTTCCTGTTTTTCTATGCTAACGCGTTCTTGCTATCATTTCATCATGATGCAATTTGCAACATGGAGCACAATTGAGTAGCATATAATATGTCAGACTAATTTCTTTTGATGAATCTGGCAAACTTCACCAGACATCTTATGTAGGTTTACCTCCAAAATTTCTTCTGAAATAAAAGATAATTATATTTCATTAATCTTCCATAGCTAAGGTAAGTTTTTGTTGTTTTTTGTTGTTGAGATATTTAGTCATATATCCATTCTTAGCCCTAATAATATAGATAAACCATACTCCATTTAATTTTTATAAACAAAAAAAAAACCCCAAAAAATGACAAATGACCCTATTGAATTTCATTTTAATTATTAATTATTTTGATGCCCTATTGAGTGTTTTGGGCTTTTTTTTTATGAGGTTTTGGGGTTGAGTTTGTTTTAGAAATCAATGACAGTTTTGTAATTTAAAAGAACTTAAAAGCCTTTTTGTTATGTTGCAAATAGGTTTTAAGTGTGTTTCTAAAGTCCATTTCATATAGGATTTTTTTAATAATTTGGATTCTTATATTAGGTATAATAGCGAATCTCTTTTTTTTTTAGTGAAAAAGTTACATGCAATAAAGTCATAATTTGCTACAGATGTCCTCTAGAGAGTGTACCTAACTCCAATTTACATGCTCTTTTTTTCTTATTAAATAATGAAAAGTGGGAAAGTATTGTCACGGGAAGTTGTTTTTGCAATTTGGATGCGAAAAAGTTGTCCCATGAAAACTATAAATCACCTTCTTTACAAGAAATTATTCTTATAAATACATAAGGATTTTTTTTTTCTTTCAAAAAATACATGAGGATTAGAATAAGCAAAAAGTGACAAATATATATATAAAGACGTTAATGACAAGGGCCAATACAAATAACTTCATAGAGTTAATATAAATACAGAAACAGAGTCCAAATACATTGAGCGAGATGTTAGGGTTTTGTACGGTTTTGTCTTTTTCGTCTTTTCCAAATAACCCTAAACCACAATTTGCACTTTGTTGTACGAAATTCTTAGTTCAAATTTCACAGAGGATAATTACTAAGTTGAAAAAATATCTTCAACACAAGACTCACAGTATCGTAGATGTTGATTTGTTCTTTTTATGTTATTCCTAGTCTTTGTATAGTTCCCAAAAGTGACTCAGAGACAAAGATATGTAGGGACTAAGTGCCAAACCTCACTGTAGTTTTCTCCCCTTACGAATTTGCTACTTTAACTATTCAGAATAATTTTTGCTCATATGTGGCCCTTATAAAACAATGCTACATCAACACAATATTCCTTTATAAGTAAACTTATTCCAAGATTTTGCATGCCATTCAGTTTCATAAGACATTTAATGTTTGGGAGTGCTTCTAAAAAGGCTAAAAGCACTCTCTGACAATTAAAATCACTTATGACGGCGTTTAACAAAAAAGTTTAGAAGCGCTTCTGGATCATAGAAGAACTTTAGCACCTGCTATATGCTTCTTCAGAAAGCACTCTCAAGTGCTTTTTCAGAAAGCGATTGAATTTTTTTATGAAAATTCAAGATTTTTATAATGAATTTAAAGCACTTTTGTTAAAAGCAATTAAGTACTCCAAACGAGCCTCATTCACCTGCTAAATGTACTCTATTTGTAACAACTCAAGCAAGAAAACTTATGCAAAAGTACAAGACTAAAATGTCACACTCACATAAAGCATATATGTCTATAAAAAGTTTGACAACTTTGTATTTATGGGGAAAAATAAAAACTGAAACAGTTTAAAAGGATGTGGTTGTAACTTGCAGAGAATCAAACTAGTGCAGAGAATATACAAGAGAAAGGGTTTTTTTTAAAGAAAAAAGAAGATTAGAGTTAACTTTGCATATTTATCTCCTGAAAATCCGGTTGGGAATATCTTGTTGTCGGCAAGCTTTAACTTTCTGAAATTAAGTAAACTCACAGTTAGCTAAAAAAGAGAGTGCACTAATTTTGGTGGTGTCCTGCGCTGTGCCTCCATTATTTGGGGAGATAGCGTATTCAATATAGTTACTTTTTCCAAGTGATTTTGCTGAAACATAAATAGAGTTCAACTCCCTCTTAAGTAGATTCCAAACGCGTAGTTTTCAATTGGTCAGGATATGTTTTGGTTGGAGGAGCTCCCTAATTTCTTTTAAGATCTTCTTTTCCAAAATTTTATTCGTTCTTAGGTCCCATTTGGGATGTGTTTTTTTTGGGGTGGGGGGGGGGGGGGGGGGGGGGGGGGGGGGGTCAACATGTTTCACTTTAAAGTTAAACAATTTAAGGTGTTTGGTAAAAATAAAATATCCCGATTATTTTAAAAGCAATGACCTTTGACAACAACTTTTAAAAGCAGGCTCTGAGTTGCTTTTCAAAACTGCTTTCAAAAAAAGTAGAGATGAGCCTTTAATAAATTTTTTAATTCCCAAAATACCATCATTAATTTTTTAAAATGACACCACCTCCACCACCTCCACCTCCACATCCAACTCTATCACCACCTCCACCACTACCACCACTGCCATTGCCACCACCACCACATCCACCAGCAACACCACGCCGCCACCGCTACCAACACCTCCACCTCCATAACCGACATCCCCACCACCATCTACACCTTCATCACCATTACCACCACCTCTTTCACCACCACCTTCACCTCCATCTCTTTCACCACCACATGATTAGCACATATTACTTTCAACATCATGTATATTGTTTACCAAACATGGATGATATGCTTTACTTTACAACTAATTATTTTCAAAGCACAGCGAAAGTAACTTTTTTGAAAAGTAACAGCAATCCCAAATTGACCCTTAGGCCAGTTCGATATTGCTTTTTTGGCCAAAAATTGACTTAACAAGAAGCATAGAATAGCCTTTAATGAATTTTTTTAATTCCCATAATACCATCAATAATTTTTTTTAAATGACATTGTCTACCACCACCACCACCACCGCCTCACATTTTCCTCCACCACCACTACCACCTCCACCGTCACACCTCTTCCCCTCAACAATACCTAACGACTGACCGATTCCTCTGTTCTGGATCGTTTTCTTGCTTCCAGTACTTCAAACTAAATGACCAGCCAAACACTTTACATATAATTAAATCTCATAATTCCATATTGCAATTTGAATTTGTTATTTGTTCCTGTATTTGCAGCGGATATGAATACATTGCATTTGAGATTGGCTAAGCACAAGAGAGGTGACTTACCAGTATAATTTAGGACACTAGTACCGTAGAATTTTTATCTTCTTAACCAGCTTTGTGTATTCGAAGAATTAGAAAGAATCAAACAAAACTTGATGAGGTTAAGAATATAAAAGATTGATGAGGTGGCACAACAGGTTGGTAATCCGATGATCCGAATCAAATTAAATTTGTGATGTCCTTACATATATATTTGTTTGATGGTGAATTTCTCCGATATTTTTGTTGACAATTACGAATGATAAAATACTTAGTATTAAATTGATTACATCATAGTAGAAGAAAAAGTAAGCAAATTCATCTGCAGCTAATCTTGAAATTTAACTTGTAATTTCAGTAACCGGCACCTGATATAACACGTTAAAGTTGGGATGTATATATAACGTAAGTTAATCGACATTATGCATTTTTTATTTTATTAATTAATCCACAGGTGTTTCAGGTTCAATGTCAGTTTTGCTTCTCTTAAAATATTTTTGTTTTGCAAAGGACCCATTAGTATAGTGGTTTGAAGTATTTACTTCCTCGGGAAAGGTCCTGAGTTCGAGTCCTAACATCCTCATAGTGTGTGTGAGTTTAGTATACTATCGCTTCTCTCAATAGAAAATATCTAAAAACAAAAAAGTATATATATATTTTCGTCTTCTTTTAGGTATGGACCAAATGCTGCCACCTTTTTCCTTCCGCTATTTGAGGCCATCTGCAAAATGTCAATGTAGTATGAGAAATGTGTGCACATAGGTCAAATTCCATGATATGATAATTAAACCGAAAAAACCAGGAAAAAAAGAAAATGCATGTACATAGCTAACAAATACAGATATTCAGACTCTTCTAGGATTCTCTTCCTTTAGGTGAGTCTCTATTTTGCATGTCATTATCTGTACCCCCACCATTACCATTCTTTCTCTTTCCCTCTCTCTCTCTTCCCTAAACCAAACAAAGGCCAAAGGTAGAAAAGAAAGAAAGGAGAAAGAAAAAGTTCCAAAAAAGACAAACCAAACCACATTTCATAAATCAACCCTATAAGTGAAGCTTTCCCACAAAAGGTCTGGTTAAATCCTCTGAGGAGAGAATTCATCAAGGACCTCTCTCTCTCTCTCTCTCTCTCTCTCTCTAGAGATGGGTTTATGGAACCATCATGTGGAAGGCCAAAATTTGTGCTTTCAAGCACCTCCTTTCATTGAATGGCTGAAGCCACCTTCCTCTTTTTCTTCATCATCATCCCCTTCTTTTTGCTTATCTGAGAATAGCACTACTATGCAATGCTTGCCTCTTTTAAGCCAGTTTACGGACACCAAGCCGGTGAAAATAGAAGATGTTGGGGTGCAGAAAGAGGGTTCTGGAGTCAAAGAAGAGAAAATGGGGCAAGTTACAGTGGCCTTGCGCATTGGACTGCCTAATAGTACTAGTGAAGCTGATCAATCAGACACTCATCATGAGAATAAGAAGGTTTTGGATCTCAAGGAAGAAGAAGGAGTAGCCATGAGGAAGAGCTTTCATGGGTGCTCTTTTAATGCAGAGAGTAGGTTTTGGATACCAACACCTGCTCAGATTCTTGTTGGGCCGATGCAGTTTGCTTGCTCCATTTGCAGCAAGACCTTCAATAGGTACAATAACATGCAGGTTAGTTGATATTAATTATTCTTACCCATCATATATCTTTTGAACAAATTTTTGTGGGGGTTTTTAATTTCAGAACCTTAAACACTAATTTTCACCAACAAATTAAACTACAACCTAAATGGGAAAAAAAAAAAAAAAAAAAAAAAAAAAAAAAAGAAAAGAAGAAGAAGTAATAATAATAAAAGGATAGACTTTGTAGTGAAGTTTTTTTAGAATCGTAACTTGTATAGTGGTGGAAGTAATTGAATTGTTGAATTGCTACTTACACAAATGGGTTGATAAGTTACAATTATATATATGCATCTTTTACTTTTTCTTTGCTTAATCAAGTAGTTCGACCTTTTAAAAAAGAGACCGGATTTTGAGGAAATTATCCATTAAAGTTTTCACTGGGGGAAAAGGAACATGCACACATGCACACTATGCATGCCAATGAGAGATCCCATGTAGTGCTATACAAAAAAACACTATTGTTATTGGCGGCTTAGGTTTATAGTACCTCCCATCCAAATTATAATTTCTCTGCTGAGAAATATATAAATAAATAAACCGAGAAAGTTTAAAAGCCTTTTGTCCTTGTTCATCTTGGCATGAAATGTGTGTTTGGAGTTTATTATTGTCGACCCATATATGTCAAAAGGAGGAAGAGCTGCTAATAATTAGACAACAAGAGGAGGAAGAGCACGGATGATTTACTTCAAGGCTGGTCTTTCTCTGTCATTTGGCAATTTATTTTACATGACACAGGGATAACATTGTTTTGCTCTCCCAACTAATTATATTTCACTATGTGGAAAAGTTATCATGCGTGGTTTGGGGAGAGCAGAATAGTATTAACCCCGTGATATACAAGTGTTTCTCCAAATGGAGACAATCTCTGCATATCCTATTACCTCCATATTTCAATTTCTTTTGGATCTTGTCCCTCCATCACCTTTCCCGTTTTGTCTTGAAAGGCGTGGCTTCAAGAAGCTGGGGGCCGGTTGGGGGAAAACTGGTTGGACTTGTAGAAGTAAACATGACATCAAGGGCATGAATGAGCAGTGAAAAGAAATTGTTTCACCCCATGTACCAATTTCAGTAGTGCATTATTCATATTTGATCGATATTTTGACTAGATATGGACAATGCACGCCCTCACTTAAATTGGTACCATGTACTAGCCAATCACTGACTAAGTTCATTATCTTTTTCATTGATAGTTCTCTGAAATTTGTTCGCAACATAGAAAAAGAAGTTCTACATAGAAGGGTAAACACTAGTGGTAAATCTCATCCAATAAAATAAATTACCATTAATTGAGCTTATTCTAACTCCATTTTGATTTTACATTTGACCACATATATATGTTCATGTTGCATACTCAATATTTTCTATGCGAGTTTGAGGTCAACTAATGAATTAAAGAGCAGCTTTTTTTCTCAACTAAAAGATATATATTGAATTGGGTTTGCAGATGCATATGTGGGGCCACGGATCTGAATTTAGAAAAGGGCCAGATTCTCTCAAAGGAACACAACCAGCCGCAATGCTGAGGCTACCATGCTATTGCTGTGCTCAAGGCTGCAAGAACAACATCAATCACCCAAGAGCCAAGCCACTGAAAGACTTCAGAACTCTCCAAACTCACTACAAGAGAAAGCATGGAGCAAAGCCATTCATGTGTAGAAAATGTGCCAAAACATTTGCAGTTAAGGGAGATTGGAGAACCCATGAGAAGAACTGTGGGAAGCTCTGGTATTGCACCTGTGGATCTGATTTCAAGCACAAAAGGTCACTCAAGGACCACATTAGATCCTTCGGAAAAGGACACTCTCCACACCCTTCTCTTGATGGTTTTCATGAGGATGAGAAGGAATGCATAACTGGTTCTGAAGACGACTGAGTTTTTATCAAAACTAGCCAAAAAGTAACTTGTACCCTCTTCTAAAAGATAGCACTTTTATAAAAACTTTCCAAGAACAGCCAAAAACTGCGCTTAGGTTCGGTGCCTAGGCCTATTATTTGGTTATTTTTGAAAGTTTTTATAAAATTTCTATCATTAGAAAGAAGGGTAAACTTTTGCTAGTTTTGATAAAAACTCAAGATGATAAGGACATTATGAAGCTTAATTTCCTTCCTTCAGGTTTAATATTCGAAATTATCTAAGTATAGAGGATAAAGTAATTAGTGGGCTTTAATATATCTCCAAGCTTGTGCTCAGTAACAAAAAATTCTCAGCAGTTTGCACACCATGCACATAGGGAGCGGTTTGCTACGGAGCATTTGCTACTGGAGAGGGAGTAAAATTTATTATTAACTCTAGACAGTTTGTTTAATTATGTCAATAAGTTGATGATTGCCTGAAGTGATGAAGCATATGAATTTTCTTCTCCTATCAACACAATCTTTTTTGTAGCATCCCCCATTGGAGAAAATTTGTCAGCTTCATTGCCAACTGGTAATCTTTTGCATGATTGTTGTAATATATTAAATGGAAATGTTGGGATAATCATCTCTATATGCTCTCTCTCTCTCTCTCTCTCTCTCTCCTCTCTCTCTCTCCTCTCTCTCTCTCTCTCTGTGTGGCCTGCTTATAGTTTAATATCTAATCAACTTTTCATGCTAGAGGGAATGAAATCTTTGACTTTTGCTCTTATGTATGCAATGATGTTAGTAAACCTACTTATGACTAAAATAAGGGTGCAAAAGGGTAGTGGAATGTGGAAACATGTCATTAAAAAAGAAGTAGAAAAAAAAAAATTCATATGATAGATTGCTTTTCAACCAATTCGATGATAATTCTTTTTGTAGCTGGCTCAATACATTGCTAGGAAAAAGTAAAATGGAAAAATGTTTTGTTTCATGCTGATCTTACTTAATACATAAGAAGTATATGAATGACTATCCACTTAATTATGTTAGCCTATACAGTTTAACTTACCACAATTATCAATTAGTTCTTAATTTAACGATACCTCTTTTTTCAATAATGTTAGAAGTGATCTCGTTCGAATACCCTTTTCCGCTAATAAACAATTATATGTATAAAAAACTTACAATAACAATTGTTTAATTATTTAGTTATGTCCGAATTTTCAATGGCTAGGTGAGTCCAATTTGGGGGCTTACCAAATCACCCATCGAGGTTATAACATCAACTAGAGAATGATTGGGTATTGATTAATTGAGATGGATAGAAAAGTTTTAATCCTACCTTGAGGATTTTGATCCCCTGCATATAAAATGCAATTGAACTCTAACAAATGGAGTGCTTTTTATGTATGAAAAAGAGATTTGGGCAACGACTTTTTATAAAATAAAAGAGAGGTGGAGAGAGAAAGGCGCTATAAGACGTTGAAATTTGGTTTCTTTTGAGGTAGGCTTGACAAAGTAAAAAGGATAGGAGAAAATGTGAAATGGTGTGTTTGATTTCTGAAGATGATTGGGGTCCTCCACCATGCGTTGTCGGGATATAGAAAAAACTTGAGGGGAAAAGAACAACCACCCCCTTTTGTTTGAACACACCGTTTTATCTTTTGTAGTCTCTTCCCCTTTCACATTCAACCATATATGTCATATATATATGATTGCATGCACCAAGATCGGACCACTTTCATGAGTCTCCTTGATGACCCTATAGACTTTGCCCTGCTAGCTAACTTAGCTTCACATTGTCTAATAAAAGGACACCAATATTAGGAGCCATCACTTTATTTTTGTTTGATGATAGGTGCAACAAGTTCACACAGGTTGATATCCATTTTCAAAAGATATCAAAACAAAATCTCTAAAATAATGAATAGTATAGAAATACGACCAATGAAACATATAATCTGTGGTAGGTGTAGGAAAATAAGGGATAATATACTACAATAAAGCAAAGTTAAAATGTTATTTTTAGTCACTTTTACTATTAAGATCCACGTGGTTTCAATTTTAAGCTAATTCAAAGACATTCCTCAATTTCTGTCAAATATTTTTAACTTTCGTTACTTGTGGAGGGGTAATTCAGTCCATAATTTTTTTTTTAAACTCATTCCTTTTAAAAATAAGCAATACAATATAAATTTTAAAACAAATTAGTTTTAAAATAAAAATAAAACATCTTTCTCCCCTTTTCCTCTTCTCCTCCCAACCCCAACGCCTACCAAAAGTCCCTACCCAACTCCGGCCAGCCACCACCTCTCTATAACCTAACCACCACCCCCACCAACCCAAGCCCGCCAAATCATAGAAGGAGATAGCAATGGTGATATAAGGATGACACATCCAAAGCTTTGCTTATAAATGTTCTTATAAGATAGCAAGGAAAGCCCCTCAAATGGGTAGAGCAGAGATTCAACCCCAAGAGGCAAGTAACAAACAAAATGCTTCTCTTCTTAGTTTGGGTAAAAAGAATTTCATATATAATGAGACTGTAAAGAATGATTCCCATTGAATATTTGCATTATCATTTATTCAAATTATATATAATCAGGTACGGATACATATGGTCCGAATCATATACATAAATCAATTATAGCTGATCAAATCAATTACATTAAAGATTTTCCGAAGGAATTCATCACGGAGACAAATTAAAATGGAATTTAAATACATATCTTACCCACATAAACACAAACGGGATTTTTGAATAAGTGATTTGAGGACAAATAAGAAAACAACTAATTAAACACACAAACAAAAGACAATAGAACTGGTTTTCAGCAAGATATGATGGCACTAGGACAATGAATCCACTCCTAATATCCTTCTCTAATCTCTTATTCCCTTCCTCTTCGTTACTCAAATTATATTGTTGACTAATTCCTTTTAGCGTGAATTATCTATGGTAGTTAGGCAAACTCACATACCCTAACATGCAATTCAACTATGGTATTTATTCAAATCTGATCATGCAAGAATTCATTAAGTCTAATGAAATCCAATATAAGCCATGCAACTCCCTAAGAATATGATATTTACCCTAAGTGAATCACAATTTTTAATCACAAGAAGCTGGTCTCAAACTCCATATGGTATTTACACAAGTTTGCATCAAATACCTCAATCAAAAACCTAAATGGTAGCTAACCATCCAAGTAATCAAGCAAGGATAAACAATGATTAAAATTCCAATTCAATAGAACCACGAAAGAGAAATTAGAATAACAAAACTAGATAATCATATTAGGGTATCATCACGCCCTAGCAAGAAAGTGTTAGTTACACATAGTTATGAGTAACATCAAAGAAAAGACATGGAAAAATAATAGAACCCATAAAAACTAAAGATATTGCACTTTAGGGTTGATTTTCTCCTCCTCAAAGCTTAACCCCTTCTATGAAATTTGCCACCTCTTTATATCACGTCCTAGGGTCCTAAAAGTTCTCTTAAAAAAAAACTAAGAAAAATAACCTAGAACGTCCAAATCCCTAAAAAATAGGTAAAGACATAAAACTAGGAAAGTCTTGACTCAGACTCCTTCTTTGATTAGGAAAGCATATCAGTTTCTTTGTATGCAAGTTTGAGGTTGTTCCTCCTTCAAGATAATTCGAGAACAATATGTAAAGTACATATTGTAGATCTTTGTCTTATTTTTCCGGCCATATATCACACGCCTTAAGGAAAAATTGGGAAAGTCTTCAAATAATCATTCTTCCACAGCAACACAGTTTTGACAGGATTGCACCTTATGCTGACTTAACTTCAAAGACTACTCTCATAGGTTGCTCAAAAAATTCTAGAAACATTCCACAATCATCTTCAAGATCTTAACTTTCATCTCTAACTGGTCTTGTACAAAAACTTCACCAAAAAGTCATATTTCCGTTGAAAACCAATTAATTGCTCCAAAAAGCTGAAAATTGAGAAAATAAAATAATAAGTCATTTTTAAATCCAATTCTCCTTCAAAAATTAAGTATAAAGAGTATATAAATTTGTAAATTTATGAACTTATCATTAGTATCTTTTAAAAAATGACTTGAAACCAATCATCCTCCCAATTGAACAGATATAGTGTATGCCTGTCTTTGAGGATCATCAATGTCTAGTTGCACTATCCTATGACTAGGAACACTTTAGGGTATGAGCTTGAGAAGAAGGGTCTCATGGATCTAACTTCAGATCACTTTCCTCCTCTTATAGTCCATGGACTTGTCGTTTTGATAACTTAACTATTAATGTAACTTTTATTTCTCTTATGTTTTAACTTAGATAGTTAGTTAACTTAAATATCCTTAAAAAAAATTCGTCTCATGATTGGTTTCCAACAATAAGGATCCTTTTCTTTCTTTTTTGTTGTTGTTGGGAATAGATGCTTTATTAGAATACCATAATATTATACATCGGAGAGGAAATGAGAACTAAGTTGAGAACTTAACTAGAAAACCACATTATTGAGACTCGCGCTACACTATAGTTTAATGACCCAAACTATTTATTTTTTAGGTTTATTTAAAGGATTATCTATGCAGAAGATTAGTCAAAGAAACTTGTAGCTTTTGTTTTGTTTTGTTTTGTGTTTTTTGAAAATAATATAACATTACAAATAAATTTTTATGTAAAATGGAAATTGGTAGGGAATTTTGAGTGGGTGGAACTTCATCCATTACTAATTTTGTTTTTTTTTGGTTGGAATCAATTGGTAATATTTGACTCCTACAACTTTGCAAAATAAATAAAGTTTAAAACGGCTGGAGAGCTCTTTTTCATTCATTTGTGAGATGTTGAGCACCCAACAAGTGAGTTGACAAGGCCATTAATATCTTTTTCTTTTTTAAATGTATCTTTATTTGTAATTTTCTGAAAGAGGAAAAACTCTGTAATTGTCTTTTGTATAAAGAGATGGCAATGTTACTGTTGAAGGAAAATGTGATCCTCCCAACATAATTTCACCACCACTAATTAAATAATGGGGTTTTATTATTTTAGGTTCGACCCATTTGACATTCAAGTCTCTTAATTACAATCCCTTGCTTCAAGGGTCCTTTGATTCCATCATAAAGAAACACAATGTGTGTTTGGTTTTGCGGCTGCTCCTAAGTCCAACCTCAAGGTGCTTACGTATCCTTTGCAGGAATCAAGCCACTCGTAGTTCAAAGAATTGCAATAAATAAATGACTCATTGCAAAATGGGGAATTTGAATGAATTTGATTGAAAATATGTTTGAGTGAATTTAGTTGAATAAACCAGGGATTCAATTTTGATGTGTGTTTGGGGTGAATTTGGTTAAGAATAAACCAAGGATCCAAATTTGGTTGCTGTTGCGTCTATTAGGATGCTAGACTGCCTACGTACCCTTGATGGGATCAAACCAACGTAGTTCGGATTTGATTTGTGTGAATGTTGATGTTTGATTTGTAGGAATTTGATTGATGTAACCAGTGATTCAAATTTGGTTTTGGTTGCGGTTGAGTCTATTGAGATGCTAGACTACCTACATACCCTTAATAGGATCAAACCGACGTAGTTCCAAAATTAATATGGAAATTAATGGGTAAGTGTGGCCCACTAATTTAGAATTTGTGTTTGAGATATTTGAATTGAATATCATAGAAATTTATATGGGTAGATGACTCATGGGAAAAATTGGAAATTAATGGGTAAGTGTGGCCCACTAATTGAGAATTTGTATTTGAGAGATTTGAATTTAATCTCATTGAAATTTGCATGGGTAGATGACCCATGGGAAAAATTGGATGGTTTTGTACCATTTTTCTCATTGTCAATGTCCAAGAAAAATAATGAGCAATTTTGATGAACCCACAAATTTTCTACAATTAACATTGGTAAAGTGTTTGGGCGAACTTGGTCAGAATAACCAAGGATTCAAATTTGGTTGCGGTTACGTCTATTGGGATGCTAGACTACATACGTACCCTCGACGGGATCAAACCGATTTAGTTCCAGAATTAATATGGAAATTAATAGATAAGTGTGGCCCACTAATTGAGAATTTGTGTCTTCGGGACAATTTGGAGATTTTCATAGGTAGATGACTTATGGGAAAAATTGGAAATTAATGGGTAAGTGTGGCTCACAAATTGAGAATTTGTGTTTAAGAGATTTGAATTTAATCTCATTGAAATTTGCATGGGTAGATGATCCATGGGAAAAATTGGATGGTTTTGTACCATTTTTCTTATTGTCAATGTCCAAGAAAAATAATGAGCAATTTTAATGAACCCATTAATTTTCTACAATTGACATTTGCATTAACCATATAATAGGCAATTTAGGCCTCTGTAAATTTAATGAGTATTTATTTGATCACTCATTAAATACTTTGGGCTTTTGGGAATTAATGGGCAATTTTTTGATAACCCAATAATCTGTTTCCAGGCCTTGACATTTTTAATCAGTTGTATCATGAGCAAGGAGTCCACATTAGAGAGACTTTGAGACCCAGTTGCCAATTTAAGCCAAATTGATATTAGTTTGCCCCTTTAAATAGAACTGAACAACAGCTTCGAAAAACTACGCAAGCCGAGAGAGACAATACAATAAGGTGGGCTCGTCCTATTATTTCCTCCTTTTCTTGGCTTTAGAAGAACACCCGGCGATTTGTTACTTAACGTTAATTTCTTTGTAGCCAAGAAGAACACCTGGGGACCTTGTCGCCAGTTGAAGACGGCGAAGGTCACTCGAGTGACCAACAGTCGTATCAACATCGGATACAATGAGCGGCATCGGGCTGCACCAAAGACGAACCAACATAGGTCATTGGCCGATGACATTGGTCACGTCGTTCGGACCCATTGCCCGATGAAATGGAAGTCTTTGAAGATCATGCCTGACGAGAGGATGACGGGGGTGTGCAGACAGTACCTTTTAATTGTTTTTCCTTCAAACTTTATATATTTCTATTGCTTAATATATGTAATTAATTTATTGTAGACGAACTACAATTTAGAGGAACTCGACGACGAGTCGTTGGTGTACGTCAACAGACTTTTTGCTGAGAGGTTCAAGCAATGGAAGAGCGACTTGCACAACAATTTTCAAGCATTTGATGATCCACATGTCGCTCTTCAGAAGGGTTGTCCGAAGGAGCTTGAGGGGCGGAAGGATAGTTAGGCGTGGCTCTGCGGTCATTTTCAAGAGCCCGATTATGTGGTATTTTTTTATATATTAAGTTGAAAATTATTACACATTTCTTACTAATGTTTATTTAATTTTTTATATTTCATTTCAATCTCAACTAATACGTTTATATTTTGTATAACAGAAGAATGCGAAAGCAAATAAGGGTAATAGGGACAAGAAGACTCTTCTCCACCATTCAAATTCTAGGCCCTTCTCATATAGGATGGAGGCGCGACAACGGGTATTAATTTGTTTTTTCCGTACTAACATTTTTCTTCTCTTATTCAATTCAGGGGGGGTCCAAATTCCTGGAGATCGACGTCTTTGGCAACGTTTATGTTCGACCTGTGAATGAGTTGGTCGAGTTCCTTCATGTAAGTATTCTTTAATTTTAATTATTATCTTACGCATTCAAGTTTCATGGTTATTATATGAATGTTTTAATTAATATTTTATGTTATGTTAAACAGAAGACAATGATGGAGAAGAGCCAGTTGGTTCTTCAGGAGTTCGCCTCCCAACTTCCTCCCGATACTCTGCTCGAGTCTATGGATCCTCTACAAGATGCGGGGTTTCAGATCCTGATGGAGACCTTGGATTAGACTCTCGGGATGAGGTCATGGACATATTGTCGAGGGATGGGGAATGCTCAGCGGCGGGAACCTAGAGCCCATTCATCGTCGCAGTCAAACAGTTAGGTGATTGCTTTGACAGCAGAGGTGGCCGAGCTTAAGACCCAACTTGCTTCGTATAGTACCCAGATGTCACAGCTTCTAGAGTCCCTCGCTCGATCCGGCATTCCAATCCCGCATTTTGGTCCCTCGTCGACCTCCAAGCCCCTCTAACCTGAGCATGGCCACCACACCTCTACCCTTGTTGACAATGTCCAGACCTCCGAGCCGCATTTGCAAGACGACTTTGGAATATTTTTTTATTAGTTTTTTACTTTCTTAATTACATTTTAAACATTTCTCTTGTACTATATACATTTATATTATTATTGTTTTTTAAATTTCTCTTCATTACATTTTTTTTATTGCAATTTCATTTTATTACGAGAAATTTTTATTTTATTTTATTACAAAATTAAAAAAAAAGTAAAAGTAAAATTAAAATTAAATAAAATATATTTTATTTTTGCGCGACCAAAGTCTTCGTCTCGCGAATAAGAAAAAGCGACGAAGTCAATTTCGTCGCGCGCATGTTTGCGACACGAATAGTACTCTCATCCCTACATTTCTACTCGACAAATGTGAACCGTCACGCGGTGTACTAGCGACGAACATGCTGTCGTCGCTCAAAGTTTTGAGAGACGAACATTTGTCTCGTCCCTAAAGTTTTATTCGACAAAGGATAACCATCGCTTATGTTTGTGTGACCAATTAAAATACTTAGTCACGTAAAGTTTTTCTTCAAAATCTTTACGCAACGAAGTTTCTATTGCGCTGAAATTTGTGCAACTCAAATGTAATTTGCGCGACCAAATCTTTTTCGTCGCGCAAATAGTAAGGATTTGTTGGAGGGAGGGATTTGACCAATACAACTTGGCAAATTTATTTTTTTTGTGAATTTTTTTGGTTCAACAGTTACATAAGCTAACACCTAGATAATATTGGGGTCTTGCGTGTGCCATATTTGGCCTCTCCTCACAAGTTCCAAAAACCAAGTGTAAGTTTCAAAAAACGAACGAAAACCGATCTCTCCCTTCTGAGGCCAAAACACCCTAAAGATAATTACAGAGAGACAGAAAAATATCAAAATATATGGATTTTGCATGCACGAATAGGCCAAAGTCTCTCACATTCAACTGCTAGATTTCCACCTGTCAACGGCCTAAGCAGCCTAAAAAGTACCAAAATTGACACGTTTCATACCCAAAACACCTGTCGTGTAATGGCAATGACAGAAAAACCAAGGCCTTGCAGAAAGGAAATGTACGTGGCCCTTTGGGGTGTGCCGCAATTTGATGATGTAAAAGGACCTTCCTTCTGCTTATATCCCCCAACCCTACTCAACTGTTCGACCTGTTGTTTAGCTCTTGAAAAAAGAAGACAAAAAAGATTTTCATTTCGTTTGTGTGATTGTGTTCTGTAGCTGTGAAGTTGAAGAAGATTTTGTTGCTGCAGCTTGAACATGAGGGTATGTTTTTTTTTAATCTCTTCTGGTTTTGTAGTTCCAGGTTTCATGCATGAAGCTTTAAGTAGAGTGGTGTTAGCTTGTGTTGCTGTTATTTCTACACTACTATGATTTATTTGTTTATGTTTTTTGAACCTGAGTGTTTTTAGATTCTTTTGAGACATTAATTTCCATTAATTTCTTCATTTGGGTTTTCTATATATTTCAAGGGTATGCTTTAAGTTGGGAGGATTTGCTTACAGGCTCCAAAAACCGAGTAATCTTGAGTTAATAAATTTTGAAACCAACTCTACAGCCAAAGAGAAGAGAAAAATAAAACCTCTCTTACACAGATGGAGAAACATATTATTTAAATTGCATTTATAAAATAAATTATTTAGGGATTAGAAGGATAGAAGAGCACTTGAAAAATACAATAAATTTTTTAATTTTCTATTCCTTTTCTTTTCATCCAATTGTGCTTAAAATTTATGTACGTTTCTCATCTTAGTGGAGTTTAAACATGCTTTTCCAGTGTTAAATTTGCAATTTAGACGTCTAAGTTGGCTGGTGGTGTTTGTATTTCTCTTAGAAAATAGAACAAAAAAGACACTTGGGGTTAGTAATGAAGGAAAGAGAGTCTCACTAAATACTTCAAATCTCTCTCACATTCCTTTGTCCGAGAGTAAAGGTCTTATCAGCTTACTGAATGTCATCAAGGTTCATGAAACAAGGTCTCATTCCCATCCAAATGCTGAGGAGGACAAAGTGATGACAAGGAAGCAAAAGGCAGAGAACAAGGCACATGAAGCTGAGCAGTCTCCGAAGAAGCCCAAGTCTGAAGGTGACAATGGCCATGCAAATGGTAAATCTTCAGAGGACATAGTTGCTGAGTTTGAGAAGGTCTGCACAGCAGTCAAAGATAACCTGTCAACTGAACAAATGAGCGAAATCTTGGAAGCTAATGGCCAAGACTCCTCTGGCTCCGATGCTAATGTCCTTCGAAAATGGTTAGTCCATTTTTGTTGATCACAGGAACCTGCGCACGTATTGGCGCATAAACAAATGCATAGACATAATGATGTACAAATTTCAGTGTGGGCAGCTCTTTTGCGTGATGTTTATAATTGTTTTTCGAACTCATTGTTTCGACAGCCAAGACTTGTTGTTTTATGGGCCATTAGATAAATGCCCAGCTTGCAATGGAAATTTGGAGTTCACTGGTATACGCTATTCTTGCACTGGATCTTATAGTGAATGGGCGTCTTGTACGTATAGCACAAAGGATCCACCAAGGAAACAAGAACCAATTAAGTTACCAGATAGTATCTTGAACTCTCCTGCCTCCGATGTAATTCGAATTTTCATCCACACCCTCTTCTCTTCGCATTTGATATGCTATGCCCCCACTATACATGTTAACTTGTGAGCTCTCTCTGTGGTGTAGTTGATAAAGAAATATGAGGACCCAAGTCGCCGGCCTAGGAAGGTTCTAAGCATCCCGGACAAGCCTTTTACTGGGATGTTGATGTCTCTTATGGGCCGTCTTTCTACATCTCATGTATGTAGCACACTTGAGAAAGCAAGACAAGTCGTCTTTGTCAATTTGTGCTACTTACTGCTTTGTTTTAAATGCGCAGCAATACTGGAGAAAAGAAATAGAAAAACATGGAGGAAAGGTTGCCAACCATGTGATTGGTAATTCTCTTATACATCTTGTTGATATTTGGATTGCAGCAGATAAAGCGAACTGATAAAGCGTACTTTGTCTATTGTCTGTACTGCCATTTTTATTACAACCTTTGCAGGTGTAACTTGCCTCATTGCATCTCCTGCGGAGCGAGAGCGAGGTGGCTCCTCTAAACTTGCAGAAGCAATGTGCGTATAGAATTCTTCCTTTGGCCCTAAGCATTGAATATATCTTACAAGCTATATACTAGGTTTCCTCGACGAGTCTATTGCTAGTCTTTTGCCCATAGAGAGGGAATTGTTCTTCTTGACAACATATTTCGTGTAGAAATTGCAATGCATGTGACTATGCACCCATGAAAGAGGGAAACCTTACAGGTTCTTATCCTTTTGCAGGGAAGGAGGGATACCTGTAGTAAGTGAAGCATGGTTGAAAGACAGCATTGAAAAACAAGAACCCCAGCCTCTCGAAGCGTATGATATTGTCACTGATCTTGCTCCTGATGGCAAAGGAATTCCGTGGGACAAAATGGATCCAAATGTAGAGGCACTTGAATCCCTTTCAGCAGAAGTATATAATTCCCCCTCAAAAATTTCTAAAGATAGTACCCCACTAGAAAATTTCATATTCGGAGTAATTTTGTATTCACTACAATATCATCTGAGTGCAGCTGAAGCTTTATGGGAAGAGAGGTGTCCACAAAGATACGAAATTGCAGGAGCGAGGTGGGAAAATCTTTGAGAAAGATGGCATACTGTACAACTGTGCCTTCTCTCGTTGTGATCTGGGGAAAAAACTGAATGAGTAATTTAGACCTATTCTTCTTAAGCTATTTAAGCTTAGATGTTATGTTAGTTGATCTTATGGCGAAGTTTGGTTGTGCAGTTATTCTGTCATGCAACTGATTTCAGTACCAGAGAGCAACCTGAATTTGTACTATAAGAAAGGGAAAGTTGGTGATGATCCCAATGCAGAGGAGAGGCTTGAAGAATGGGAGAACGTGGAAGCTGCTGTGAAGGAGTTTGTGAAGCTCTTTGAGGAAGTAACTGGAAATGAGTTTGAACCATGGGAAAGAGAAGAGAAAATCCAAAAGAAGCCATTGAAGTTTTACCCGATAGACATGGTACCATATCCCGTTTTCCTTTGTTTGTAATATTATTCTGCCACGTGAAACCTTCTTTACTCTGAATAGGATGATGGAGTTGATGTGAGACATGGAGGACTTGGTCTTCACCAATTGGGTGTTGCCGCCACACATTGCAAACTTGAGCCTTTGGTTGCAAATTTCATGAAGGTCTTATGCAGTCAGGAGATTTACAAGTATGATTCTGTTCCAGGTCTCTGACTACAATTATCTTTGCACAACAAATACTGAAACCTCTATTTTGAATGTAGATATGCTTTGATGGAGATGGGATACGACCCCCCTGAACTACCAATGGGGATGCTTTCTGATGCCCACTTAAAAAGATGTAAGGAACTTCTATTTTATGCCTCCCTTGTCCCATCTCTCACAAACTGACAAAGGTATGTATTCAGGTGAGGAGGTTCTTCAAAAGTTCGTAGAGACATTGAAATCAATGAAGGATACAGGGCCAAAGGCCAAGGCTGTCTGGTCAGATTTTAGCCAAAGATGGTTCACCCTCATGCACTCTACCCGGCCTTTTATCTTCAAGGACTTTCAGGAACTTGCAGACAATGTAAGCAGAGCCAAATCATGTGTCACCTGCTTGATATTTGGAACGTCCATCTTACTAGGAAATCATATGTTTCCAAATGTTGCAGGCTGCAGCTGCACTCGAGACTATTCGGGACATAACCGTGGCTTCGCATCTTATAGGAGACATGGGTGGATCTACTCTTGATGACCCCTTGTCTGAACGGTATAACAAAATGGGCTGCTCCATTTCTCCCCTGGATAAGGAATCTGATGATTACAAGATGATTCTGAAGTACCTTGAGACAACCTATGAACCTGTCAAAGTTGGGGATGTTGTAAGCATTCAAGTTTATAAAAGTTTCTAGTCATTGTGGTATGTATATTCACTGGACGTCTATACACAAGGATATGTACTGATTTGTCAATTCTTTTCAGGAATATAAGGTCTCTGTTGACAACATATTCGTTGTCGAATCAAGTGTCTGTCCATCAGTAGACGAAATAAAGAAGCTACCAAACAAAGTTCTCTTATGGTGTGGTAAGATGCTTAGTCTTCTTTCTTTCCTTGAAAGAGAATCCCTTGAGGTGATTAAGAGGTTACTTTCAAACTAAGAAAACATAGAAGTTAAAACTCAACAAAGTTTCTACTTAAAAGGAAAGATTTGCGTAAGAGCTGCAGTAAGCCTTGGTAAATAAAACAAACTCCCACTTTTATAAGAAAACCCCCATCACTGCTTTACAACCTGAACGAGTGTTTTACTCTTCTTTCATTTTACTCTTCTTTCATTTACGGATGGCTGCAGGAACACAGAGCTCCAATCTGTTGAGGCACTTGCATAGAGGTTTCTTGCCTGCAATATGCTCTCTCCCTGTCCCAGGCTATATGGTATGATGGTTTCCTATTGATATTTCAGTGCAGGCTTAATGTGATTAAACTTCTTCTAATTGTAAATCGATGCTATGGGTTTTGGCTTACAGTTTGGCAAGGCTATTGTGTGCTCTGACGCTGCTGCAGAAGCTACTAGGTATGGTTTTACTGCTGTGGATAGGCCAGAAGGATTCTTGGTCTTGGCTGTGGCTTCTCTGGGAGATGAGATTACTGAAATCAAGAGCCCACCTGAGGTATGAAAATATGGTTTTTATTACGAAGTTCCTAAGAATGAGGTGTATCCTTACATGTCTTCTGGAATTCAATGGGACAGGACACCAAGTCGTTAGAGGAGAAGAAAGTCGGAGTGAAGGGCTTGGGTAGGAAGAAGACAGATGAATCAGAGCACTTCGTCTGGCAAGATGACATCAAAGTTCCTTGTGGCCGCTTAGTGCCTTCAGATAATAAAGACAGCATTCTCGAATACAATGAGTACGCCATGTATGATCCGAAGCAGGTATAATTAGAAGGATGTTGCGGTCAGTTTCTTCAGTTGTTGAATCATGTTGAATCGTTTGTCATGTCCTTTTCTTGCAGGTAAGCATCAGGTTCTTGGTGGGTGTGAAGTATGAAGAGGAGAATGCGGTGATGGAACCAGAGTGAAGAAGTTTGTATAGATCTTTCTGGCTGTTTTGCTGTCTTTTGTGTGGGGATGGGAGAGTGAAGGAAATGTTGATGAGCTTTTGTTGTATATAATATCATCACTTCCTTTTTAGTCGATCTGTATGGTGCATAGCATCTTGGAGTTTTTAACGCATCTGAATCTGAAGCCTCAAAGGGGGGCAGACTAGCTATTTTGTAGTTATGTAATTTGGATGTTATCTCTTTCAATATCTGTATGATAAGTTGCAAAAAAGCAAATATAGAGTAACATAACAAAACCTATATGCCTTGTTTTGGCATATGTGCAGATATGGAGACCAATGCATAACAGTACAATCAGTGGTTTCCCCGGTCAATCAATGGATATCTTCTCAATAACTATTCAAAAGCCTTCAATAAAAGCAAATCCAAGTTCAAAACTGATGCTATGAAGACAACATGGTAAAGGAAGAACTTGTCAAACCAGTGATCTAATTCAACAGAAACAGAACCATAAGTTCCAATCTAGGCCAAATGTCTGTTGAAACCTCTATAACAATGGCTTAAAGTTGTTTTACGTTTGACAATCCAAAGATATCCTAATTATGCATATAAGTCCCAAGAATTCAAGTCGAGAAAGTTCAAAAAGAGCAAATGAGTACCTGATCTGGATTCCAATTTTACAAATTATATTTCCCAAAACTATCTTTGATAGTACAGGGTCAAAGTATGAAACATACATCTTCAACAATTGGGCTTTTCTTTGACTGTATCTTTTGGGGAGACTACTATTACAACAAGAATACAACAATTGCAACCAGAGAAACACATCAACTAATTCCACAAAAACATATGATTCAACTGGCAATGGCAAGATGTCATTGATATAGAACCACAGGAGGAATCTTGAACTTGTCTGAAATGAACGGTATTACCTGTGGTCTCTCAACTAGATCGCGATAGAAATCATACTCTGCCTGATAATCGTGCAGCCGAAGCTCAGCCTTTTGATTTGTATGATAATGATGCTTAGCTGAATCCGACTTCCCAAATCCAAATACACTAACTTTGTCACAAATTCCCAAAGCAAGCATAATAGCTTGCATACCAGAAGAGTAATGAAACATAGCACCATCATGAAGAGCCCCCCACTGATCAAACGACTTCCCTGTCTCCTCGACAAACCGTTTCAATGAATAGTACTTCACAATCCTTGCACACAACACATCAAACCGAGGATCAGTCACAAGCAAAGGCGCTTTGTGTGATATATTACATACCGTGTAATCGAAGAAATGCAGCGGTTGACAAATGTACATAATCATAGGCACATTAAGTCCGTAAGGGTGGCAAAAACAACCATCTCTCCTAGCACAAAGATGCAAAATGTTACTATTTACAAACGAAATATTTGTTTTCGACCCAACTTTCCCCTCAAAACCTTGAATCCTCGCATTGTTCAATCGAATTACTACCTCATGACTATCAATTAAAGCACCATGATTACTCTTCAACAAGATCCCACTATTCCCAACAACTGCACACGAGGAATAGCGTCGTTGTTCTGAATCCACCAAACCACTGTGCCTATCAATGGGATATCTAACAAGCCTAACTAAATCCAACATAACATCAGGCTGAAACCGTTTGTTTCTTGACCAGTCACTCAAAACTCTCCTAAAATCCAACCAATAACGATAGAATTGAGGAGAGCGAAGCATTACCGGTAAGCCAACGGAGGTCCTTGCTCTGATATCATGGTGATTAAATCGTCTCCAAGAAGCAAAAGTCCTGTATCTACCAAGACTAGCAAAGTTACCCTCCAACAGTTGCTCTATTTCCTGCTTGGCTTTAGCTTCGCTTGCATCAACGGCAGCGTATTTGAGCAGAGTGGCATTGAACACTGGCTTTGGTGGTTGGATTAGTACCTTCTTTTCAAGCTCAATCGAACTCAAGCTATGGCGAACCACGGTTCGACAGCTCAGCGTAGCAGCGAACACAATGAGTAGAAGAAGGCTAAACAATGGACGAACCGAGCGCTTCATTGGCACAATAACAAAATCTCTAAAAGGGTTTATCGGTGTTGCTAAATGTGGCCAGAGATAGAGCCTTGTACAGATCTTGAAGCTCTGTGTATTGGGTTCATCTTGGTTTTCTACAGATTTTGGCATTCCAAGATACAGAAGTGAGGTTTATGCTGGATTTGGGAAAATGGGTTATGAGATTTGTATCTGGGATTTTGTTGAGGACTGGCTCAGTGAGAGTGAGAGTGAAATTGGGTATGTGGGATTTGGTTAGCAAAGTGGGTTCTGCGTATCAGAAACAGATCAGGAAGCTATGCAATGGCAATGGGAGTGGAATCTTGATGTGTGATTTGGTTGAGAAATGGAAATTTCATGATATTCTGGAGGACTGGAGAGAGAGAGAGAGAGAGAGAGAGCGCTCAGAAACTGCTAATGGGTGTGCGGGGTTTGGACCTGGGAGAGATTGAGAGCTGCCATTGAGGAGCTGAAATGGAGAAACCAGGTGACAAACCCCAAGTTCTATTCTAAAGGCGAAAGCTTGGAACTTGAGAGCTTGGTGGGGATCTTTGAAAGGTTGGCCTGGGTTTTCTGGGGAAGTGGGGGGACGCAAAATGCAGTGAAAAACAGTAAAAAATTGACCACTTTAATAGTGTGTTGTTGACATGAACTTTATTGTTGCCCACTTGAAAGGTTTGATGGATTTGTTTTGATTTTGAAGGCTGTAGACTCTAGGGATATTGTGGAATAGTAGAAGCATGGTCTTTTGTAATGGGATGGGTGGGATTTGGGGTGGGTCCCTATGAGCTTAAGAAGATTTTGCTTTAGCTAAGAACCCACATCAATCAATCTGCTGCTCAAAAGCAAAAAAGGGTGAGAAAAATATAAAGACAAGGTCTTATATTACAAAATTAGTTTGGGAAAAGAAGAAAATACTGACCACCACAACCATAAAAATAACTGTAATAAACCTTTGTTTGGATTTGAAGGTGTGACAACAACCAATTTTTCTAGCATTGCGTTGATGCCGATCCGCCATAGATGAAGCAACTGAGCGATCTCAAATCTGAGAAGAGAAATAACTCATAAAAGAAATAATGTCAACAACTAAAAACTGAAACCTACAACTTAATAATTATGTCGTTACAATCACCTTCAACTTGAACGCTGTCAAAACTCTAATTGAAAAGTATTTCCAAGGCCAAGGCCGTTATTTTCAGATTCTTTAACTCCTATCCTTCCATAAGAGGGCGACCTCAAGAATCTTAACAAACAAAACCTATCAAGGTAAATTTTATGAGATAACCAAGTCACTAAAATTAAGCTTAACTAAACCTATGTTTGTAGGATGCCACCTAATGTTTGATGAATTGTATTTGACACATAAGGGAAAAAAAAAATACTATTATTGATCTGTCAATTCGTTTCAATGTTGCCAAATGCAACTGAAAAAAGAACTTAAGAACTTGTTAACCAGTACAACAGAAAAATAAATATTCTTTTACCCAAAAAAAACAAATCGGCAACTTGTTAATCTAATTTTTTTTTTAAATAGTTCTTGGCCTATAGACATTGTAGTCGTATTTATTATTATTTAATAATGGTAAAACCAAGAAATTGACTATTTGTGTCAAAACAAAAAAAAAAAAAAAAAAAAAAAAAAAAAAAAAATTCTTGGGTATTGTGGATTAAGAATTAAAATTTGTGGGTTTTGGGAGTGAAGATCTTCAATGCATAATATTTTTATATTCTTCCGAAAAGAGAAGACACGTGGGATGTTAGCTGTATTTTCAGGTAGATCTAAGGTTTAATATGAAGATGTAGGTTTTGTCGTTGACATACATGTCTGGTTCACCAGGGAAGGATTTTGTGGGGAGTTCGATGGGCATGAACATGACACTCAAAAAGTTCATAGGCTAGTATTTAATTTTTTGCTAATTTGAAGGTCGAATTTTTTAAATTATTTTTATTATTATTATTTTAATACAAGTGATAATCTAAATTAGAGAGATGATGGATTTCTCACACACACACAATTATAATGTCGTTGGGATTCGAACCTAAAACCTATGGTATGTAATTTAAGGCTCTTTTTCATTGGATTAGACTCGTTGACTGAATTTTCAATAACCTTTTAGAGGTATTTGATAACACAAATAATTATATAAATATTAATTTTTTTAGAGATCTATTATATATATAATATTTTATTTTAACCTAATCTAAACAAACAATGGGAAGGGGGATTCAAATTCAATTGTAGACTCTAGCCAACTTGGTCCTCCTCTTTTTTGTTTTTTTTTTTTTTTTTTTTTTTTTTTAATAGTTCACTTGTTTTATCCATCATTTGTGGACACCAAAGTCAAAATAAATGAATCCTACAGTTAATTCTACTCAATGGTCATCCATAATCATGGGTTGGACTCCATGATTCTCTTTGTTTCTTTTTTCTTTTTTTTCTTTTTTTCTTTTTTTTTTGCTACTCCTTGATTTTCTTTTGGCAACAATGAAATTTTATTTATTTATATACTTTCCTTAAGTATGAAATGATATTTTTCTTTTGATTCAAAAAAGAGAGAAGACGAGAGTTCAATGTTTGTGGTAGATGTGAAAATAAGTGCTTTTTATGATGTGAAACCATGATGAAATGATAAGTTTGAGGACATAATAATCGTAAACTAATGTAGAAGTAGAATATAAATGGGGGAAACACTATATATTTCATATGAAATCATAACTTTATTTTTCAAGCAAGTTGTGATTTATTAAGGGCCTATTTGATAATCATTTTTATTTTAGTTTTTATTTTTTATTTTTTATTTTTTATTTTTTGTGCTAGATTATAGAGGAAAAAGAGAGAGAATAGAAGTGAGAATGAGAGTGAAGATAAGATTGAGAGGGAAGATGAGAGGGAATGATGAGAGGGAAGAGTAACAAAAGTGAAAACAAAAATTAAAAACTGAAATCTATTTGAAATTGTTTTCACTTTTGTTACTCATCTCTCCCATCCTCCCCTCTCATCCTCTCTTTCAATCTCATTCTCACTCTCATTTCCCTCTATACTGTAGCACAAAAAATGAAAACTAAAAACTAAAATTGAAATAGTTATCAAACGGGCCCTAAAGAAGTGAACGATCAGTACGATAGTTTGTTCCGAATATTTGTTCATATTCTTTTTTTCTTTTTTTTTCATATATTCATTGGAACCAGATGGAGTATTTGAAAAAATAATTCAACAACAACGTTCGAGAATTGAACATTAATAATGAATAAAATATGATACTTACATGGGAATTTTAGAGATAAAACTTTGACCATTCTTAAATATACTATTTTCGAACAACACAATGAGACCATTTGACGAGCAGCATTATATCATTCGAACAACAATTTACTAACACATAATTGTCACCGTTGTCACTACACATTTACAGAGTAGTTATGCATTCCTGTGAAAGTTAAGTTTTTGCCTATTCTTTTAACTTTTATGATTGAACTCACGACCTCCTCCAACAAAATAAAGACTACATCTACATGACAGAAAGTATAATGGGGAAGATGACTTCGAAGATTAGAACTACCCAAGGTCCTTATTTAAAGACTAGAATTGACAATAAATTAACAAAATCGACCCCACTTTTGTCCATAGTTGTGAATATGAACATATTTTATATATGCATATATATATTTGGTGGCGTGGAGGAGGGAAAGGGACAGCCACCGAAGGTGACCGCGGGTCCAGCCTCCTTTGTGAAAGAGATGTGTGTCATTTGCAACAAAGTTGAATATTTTTCACACACCAGTTGGGGAGGGGATGGCACTTAACTTGATGGTGACTGGAAGCATGTTTTGCTCTAGCTTTAGGCCATTATTATAAAATACATCCACGTTTAGTGGGTAAGATTAAACTAGACTATTTCAATTAAAATGGATAAAAGTTTTGTTCGTTGTTTGGTATGTTAGAATTGAACTTATTAAATTAGACAACAGTCCAACATATTGTGTCTTATAAATGGAACTGATAAGAAATAACTTGGACTCAACTTCAATCTAATCTGAACCGAACCACCAAACGATACGTTAATGATCATAATATTTTCCCAAACAAGTTAAATCATAAAAAATGAGTGGTGGGGCCCAAAAGACAACACCAAAGAATCAACCGCTTGTCTTGAGTCAACTAAGGAATCTTTCAACCAAACTTTCCCCATTGTTGGTTAGCATTTTGAGAAGAAATGATTACTTGGGTTTTATATTGTTGATGGCTTTTTGGTATATTTTGATGGAATATAAATAAAGCCTGTCGTATGGAGTGGGTTAACTCAAGGGAATTTTTCAAGGTTGAGAAAGACATTAGCTTTAATTCTAGTTTTATAGGGTATCCACCATTCCTATAGAAAAATGACTTGTGAACTTAAATCCACAATATCTTAATGGCCCAATGAATTTTGATAGGTCGGTAGAGCTTGAATCAACTCTTTATTTTAAGTTGCAGCCATTGAACGGTAAAGGTGTAGATTTGCTCAATGTGCCTTCCATCGTGTATCTATATGGATAGTAAGAAAATTAAGAGATATGTAGATATATTAATTAATTTATAGCTAAGAAAAGGAACAACATACAGCCAGATACTTTCTTCTTTCCGTTTTCTTTTTAAGCAAAACTCGTTAAGGAAGAATTCCTAGTATTAGATATTGTCACGTGGTATTACTAATCTACTTATATTATAATACGTGTATTTATTTATTAATATCATATCATAAGTCCATGATATATCATTTTAGTCATACATCCATATGGATTAGTAACACTAAATAGTTGTGTGACTGTATTACTGAAAATAAAGACAACCATTAAGTACGAAAAAAAAATTATAAAGAAAATTGGATTATGTCTCTTTTTGCCATGTCTCTAAACTTTGACTATACAATCCCTACCACACATTATCTCTTATAACCTTTGAATCTCCTTCAATATCAAAGAGGTTTAAGTCCTATCTATCCACACAGCAAGTGGAATCGAAGAACCGATCAACTGAACTAAATCGGGCCGGAAAAAATAAAAAAAAACCCATATTGACCAAAAAGTCAAATTCAATTTAAAAAACCAAACCGAACTAGTTCTAACCGGTTTCCGTTACGGTTCTATACCCCAACAAACTGAATCGGGCCAAACCGAACCGGCCAAATTAAAAAATATATATATATAATTTTAATATTTATTTATATCCAATGCTATATTTTAAATGTCATAACTAATATTTGTTGGCGAGTCCTGACTTAATTAGAATTTTAGTTCCTTATTTAGTTAGAATTTTGGTTACTTACCAATTATTATTTAGTCTTATTGTAATAGAGATTTATTTCCTATTGTAATAGAGATTTATTTCCTATTGTAATTTAGATATATTTCCTATTTTATTTAAGGTTAACACATCTTTATACTTGTATAAATACCTCCATATTGGAGAAGAATAATAATATGAGCATATCTAAGCATATCTGAATATTTGTCATACTTTGTTTGGCTATATTTACCCAAGCTCAATTTCAAAACATCTCTTTTTCTAGCCCCAATATTTCTTTTTGTATGAAATTGGATAATTTGTTAATTTTCAAGCCAAAAAATAAAATTTTAGTTGAAATTTGTATAAATAAAAATCAAATAATAATAATAATAATAATAATCTGGTTCAAAACCGAACTGGACTAGAACCAGTTCAACCAAAATCGGACAATTTTATAAATTTTTTTTGTTAAAACCGAACCAAACCAAATCAGGTAAATAGTACCAGTTTTGGTTCCAATTTGAGGCGAAAACCTGCCCGAATCGGACCATGCCCACCCATACTTGGAAGCCTAGGTCATGCATATGAGATGGTTGGAACGTAAATTATTGTGTTGTTGTCATGCCACAAATCTGAGGACGAGACAACCGACAGTTTGCCTATTAAACTTGGTTTATATGCAAGGCATTTGATAACATATACAATTGTGTTAATAACCTTTAGTATTCTAGTGATCAACCTTTTCCCTTACCCAATACAGGATTCATTAATTTTTACCTTTAGAGTTTAAACAATATGGCGATTAAAGTAATATATTTACTAATTTTTATGAATTATTATTGAATGAACTTATTAATTATCTTAGTTAAATATAGTTATAGACTCAAAGATCAAAAGGGTTCTACTAGTTATAATTTGGGCCAAACTTCTTATGCTTTACAATTTGGGTTAGACTTATTATGCATTATTATATGGCCTAGAAAAGACCTACCACCAATTAGTGAAACGGTGAGTTTCACTACAAGGAGGCATTGGCTAGGGTAACATTCTTCTTCACGACTTCAAGGTAACGTTGGAATCATCAACAAGTCCATAGAGGCAAGTGAGTGTATGACAAGAGATCTCAACTTCCAGTAGGAGCAAGAGAATGTTCTAAGATATGATTCGGGAATCTCCGACCTAAGTCGGAGCGCAATTGAGAAAGAGTCTTCCAATTGTGCTCATATTGAATCATATAGCCAATAAAGATTACGTTAGGGATTTGACATGAATTATGTATCCTATTAACGAGATCAAGAACATTGTGAAATAGCAATTCCAACTAAATGAGTTCTCTTAATATATTCTATCTTATCTTGGATAATTGTAATATGTTGTTAGACGTCACTCATAGTTTGTGGAAGTCCTGAGGATATTCCGTAATTGGGTCTTCATAAAGGGAGAATTAAAAAGGGGAGTTTTTAATTCACAATCAATAAAAGAAAAAGTTCGTGATCGCTCACGACCTCGCTAATTAGAACCCAATGGATCGCACACCCATAAGCTTACGATTTGGATAATAATTGAAGATGACAAGATCAACACTTAAGTCAATTAATTAATTTGATTAATTGTTTAAGAGAGAATTAATTACTTTGAAATAGAATGGGCCTTAAGAATAGTTTGAGAAACTAAAGGCCTATGGAGCAATGGGGTTTTAAGAAGAGTCAAGTGGGACAAATTGTACCAAGAGGCCCATGAGAAGGCCCAAACCCCCCTTGTGCAGTCCAAATGGAGAGAGAGGGAGAACCTTAGGTTCTCCCATGTGTTCTATATATTGACCACTTAGCTCATCTTTCCCCCTAGGGTTTTAAGTCTTGCAAAGGTGAGGAGGAAGTAAGAGAAAGCATCAAATCTCTCTTCCTTAGGCAAGCTAAAATCGGTCCCAATAGAAGTGTTTCTAGCACCACATACTTCTCTTGTGTATTATCTTCATTCCAAAGAGAAAGCTTGGTGTGGAGACTTTGGAGGTCACTATTTTGTGGCTCGGAGGAGAAGTAGAAAGTGGATCTTACCACCATCACTTGGTGGAATACTTGGGTTGGACTCAAGTTTCACTCCAAGGGTGAGTTCCTATCTACCTTCATCTCTTTTAATTTCAAGTATGGTAGTTTGCAATGCACATCAAGTCTTTGAACCTTAAGATCCTTTGAAAGGTTTTGCTTTTAGGCCATAGGATTTTGTTTAAAGTCTTTCGTTCAAATGAATTTTTGATAATCTAGATGTCTAAATGAACCTTTTTTTTTAGAAAAACACCATATATCCTTCATATATGAGAGTAAGGCACAATATGTTGGACTATTGTCCAATTTAATAAGTCTAATGCTAACATTTATAAGTTCACTGAATAGCTACCGTGACACTTATTCAATTTAATTAAAATAGTGTGGTGCAATCCAAACCACCAAATGTGTGGCCTTCATGGGTTTAAAAAATTTATTAAAACAAAGGGAACCTTCAACTTGGGCCTAACTCTGACCTAGGGTATTTACCTCGGTAACAAGTGAATTTGTCTTTAATTTTGTTTAAAGGCTGTTTAATTTTTATGGTTTACAATTGTAAAATATATTTTTTAATTTAATCCACATGGTGTGATATTATTGAATATGTGAGTCCCACATGTGTGTTACGTCAGCAATTTAATAAACTTTTGGACAAAAACTGACGACATGAACTACTTGTGAGCACCCATATTAACCTTGAAGACCATAAATGACGTAAAAAAAAAAGAAAAAAAAAAGATGCAACTTGATGGTTTCATCAACCTCATAGAGGTATTGTAATAACAAATCTTTAAAATAATTGGAGGTCTAAAAACCACAATTGGGTGCAAAGAGATCACTCATGAAGTATTTACAAGGGTTGTTTCCCTCTCTACCCTCAAACATTCCATTGAATTTTCAAGCTTGTGTAAGGCCCTTGCCGAAGGCTCGATTATAGCTGAAAGCAGGAGCCCAATTCCCTTGCTCAGGCTCAAGCAGGCCTAAGAATGTCCCAATTGGTATTTGATTCCTATCTCCCACATCAAAAATCTGAAAAGAACATGCCAAGCGCAAAAAGAAACACACAAAAGTTTGTACGAATTTATATCTTGCAACAAAATTTTCTTGTTCTTCAGTCCTATTACAAAGTCTACCTTCAATTTTCCTCAAAATAATTGAAATTCAACATTAAAACCAATCAATTTACCATCTAATGCCATTTTCTCTGCTGCACATCTTTAATTTGCATTCAATTCGTTTTTTTATTATTAATATTTCTGATTGAATCATTGGCTAAAATATTTTTATTTTAAAAGAAATGAAGATTCACTATTATACTTAATATAGGGGCCTAAATTATTAAAAAAAAACCATATATAAAATGGACTTTAAAAACACATCCAAAACTCATTTGCAACATAACAAATAGGCTTTTAACTTCTTATAAATTACAAAACTGCCTTCAATTTCTTAAAATAAACTCAATCCGAAAACCTCATAAAAATACTAAAAACACTCAATAAGACGAGTTTTTATCAAAAATAGCCAAAATTTAACCCTCAAATTCATAAATGTCAGTTTTTTAAAAAACTTTCAAATATAGTAAAAAACTCACTTAAATTGACCCAAATGCCCTCTAAATTAAAACCTAACCAAAAAGCATGCTCTTCCAAGCCGTAAGCTACTAAGCACAAGCCTCACTCTCCACCAAGCCTACCCTCAAACACAAGGATACTGCCTCTCGCCAATCACCCTTAATGGAAAGCAAAGTTAATATAGGCAAGTTTATGTTGTGGGAAGATAGTCTATGAACAACGAGGGCCTTGCAATTTTTCTAGACCTCTTGTGTTGAGGGAAGGCAACAACACATATGATGGTTTGCAAGAAAGTTTAACCCCATATCATATGCAGACTACTAGTATTTATGATACAAATTTTGCAAGAAAGTTCAACTTTTTTTCTCAATTAAAAATTATCATGTCAAGAATTGACTTTAACTTTTTTTATTGTAAAAAACTCCCAAACCCACGAATCAAGCCATAGTCACAGAGATGATTTTTATTGCTTGGATTTATGAAAACATCAACTGTTACTTTTCTTCTTCTTTTTGGTAATTACATTGTCATTTTTATAATAGGATTCATAAGCATGATTAAGTTGACGAAGCCAATCTTGTTTTTGTGCTCCTGTTATTTTGGGCTTTAGCTTTTAGGTGTAATTGAGTTATAATTTAGAGGGTATTTGGGTCAATTTAAGTGAGTTTTTGGCTATATTTGAAAGTATTTTAAAAAACTGACATTTATGAATTTGAGGGTTAAATTTTGGCTATTTTTGATAAAAACTCCAATAAGACATCAAAGTAATTTAATAATCAAAATTAAATTAAATAAAGCCAGCTGTCATTTTTTGAATTTGTTTATAAAAATTAAATGGTGTAAAATTTATCTATATTGTTAATACTAAGAATGAATATATGACTAAGTATCTCTAAAAGAAAAACGAAACCATTAAATTATCATTAAATTAAATTTTTACAAGGACCGACCACGCAATAAACATAGACCCCGACCGAGAAATTTCCCAAACAACGGAAAGTAAAAAGACCATTATAACCCTGACAATTTTTGACAATTCTCAGATCTTCTGCAGCTTCTCGCCCTTGACGACCGGGTTGGCCTTGGCGATCTGCTCCTTCCCCATCGATCTGAAGTCGAACCCACACGCGTGCTGCTCCGGGTACCGGTGGGTCCCACAGAACGTCATGCCACACCTGCACTTGAACCCCGTCAACCCCACGCGCCGCCTGCACGTCATGCACTTGTTCGCCTGCCTCGCAGCCGGCGCCTCCTCCACGACCTTCTCCTCTTCCTCCTTCGTTTCCACTACGCGCTCCACCCGCGCGTCGTGCGACGGCGAGACGGAGATCAGCGGAGACAAGAACGAGTGGGAGGAAGAGGAGGCAGAGGCGGATGAGATTAAGGTTTGGTTGAGAGCGAGCGTCTGTTGTTCCTTGAGCTGCAAGTCACGGTAGCATTTGGAACACAAGTTCTGCGTCGTTGGGCTTCCAAAGAAGCCGCAGTTGTTGACGCATAGTTGTGGAGCCTGGCACCGATGTTCTTCAGCCATCTCGATTTCGATTTCGATTTCGATTTCTGCAACCACAGGAAAAAGAAAAACTATTTAATTTTCTAGGGAAAATATCCGATCCCGGTCAACTTTTCCGGTGAACCAAACAGATCCTTGCCTATTCAAACAGAAGAGAAACAAATCAATCAAACAATAACCTGTATGGAGGATTTGATTTCGTTAATGCTCTGCGAAAGAGAATTAAGAAGGCAAATTCAAAATCCGAATGTTCGTTGACGATCCTTGGGGGAGAACTAGAGAATCTGGAAGGGTGAATAAATATATTGAGGGGGAGAGAGGAAACCCAAACCAAACGAACCAGGAAAGAAGAGAAAAAGGAAATCAGGCGGTCCCTTCGGATTGGGATTCCTGGTCCTCAAAGGAAAGAAAATTCCAGAGAGCTTCTTCCTCTCTTCTCTCTTCCTTTTTTTTTTTTTTTTTTTTTTTTTTCTTTTTTTTTTCTTTTTTTCTTTTTCTTCAAACGCTGGTTTATCTGTTGAAATCTGCCTGGCGGTTTCTTATTAATGCGCGTAAAATAGACAACAAAGGGGTTTTACTAAAGGCCATTCAAAAAATTTCAAATAAGTAATTAAATATCTCGATTATCTTTCTGGAAGTCGTTGAAGCCACGCCACGGGGTTTTTAATTTTTAATCGCCTACGCCATTTTGGACCAGCCTCGGTCCAAAGGGCCAATATGGGCCGCTTATATCGTTTTCTTGTGGGGTCTGGTACTGGTTAATGTTAAAATGTCACGAGTAAAAGATGTCAAACGGACCAGGTCGATTTTATGGTGTGTTTATTAATCATGAATTGAAATTTTCATCATGAATTGAATTTCACTTATAGAGGATTTCTGTGTTTATTTCATATCAAGGAACTAAACAGTAAGTGGGACTCATACAAAATTAGAAATTGAATTTATGATCTTGGAGGAATTGAAGTTTTGGATGAGAGGTGGTATTCTAAGGCCCTGTTTGGGAATATTTTTTTTCTCCAAAAACTTGCTTATCTTTAAAGTTAAGCAGTTTAATGTGTTTAATAAAAATAAAATATTCCGATTATTCTAAAAGCAGTGGCCTTTTAACAACAACTTTTAGAAGCAGACTTTGAGTTGCATTTCAAAGCTGCTTTCAAAAGAAGTAGAGATGAGCCTTTAATGAATTTTTTTAATTCCCAAAATACCTCATTAATTTTTAAAAATAACACCACCTCCACCACCACCTAATTTACCAAATGATTTTGACACTATTTTTTGTACTAACGGCACTTTAAAAATATTGTTTACCAAACATGGAGCTAATTTACTTTACAACTAAGTATTTTTAAAGCACAGCATAATCAACTTTTTAAAAAAGTAACAACAATCCCAAACTGGCCCTAATTCATAGAGAATTAACTTATTAGGAATTCATCTTTTATACCCTTTATATCTTCACACAATTTTAACAATTCCAAATTTGCCATCTATTTTAACCCAACAATGAGGACATTTTAGTACCCTAATTCCTTATAGTTTAGTAAACAACTTCAATGAGAATCTGAAATCTAACTCTCCTCAATCCATATGATTTAGTAAACAATTTCAATAGGAATTCGGAATCTAATTCTACTCAATCCAACTCCTCCTCAATTTAATTCATCATCAATTCAATTCATCATTAATTCAATTCCTCCTAATGTAATTACGGATTAATAAATGTACCATTAATGCATCCGGCACACTGAATTATAGCATTACTCTAGAACCATAACCTACCTTCGAGAAAGATCCCAAATTGTTTTTCATGGCACAGAGAAATCACTTTACCAAACTCCAAAAACAATTTTTATGCAAAGCAATCAGAACTCAATTATAGCTGCATCAGTTAGCATTTGAAAACCAAGGTTGTGAATAGTCTTCCTCCTTATTTGTTCAAAAACATTTCCTCCAAATAAGATAAAATGACATCTCTCTAACAGGAAATTTCAGAACAAGGTGGCCCAAATGGAAAATTTCAGAACATTAACTGTGAGATTAAGTGAAACAGTAACAAGTACCAAAATTCACAGTGAAGACTGCAAGCTAACTTTTGAAGTACATAAACGTTCTTAGCTTTCGAAAGCAGCTCTTCAGCACCTACTTATTGGAAAACTAAGGTACTTTTGGTCAGAGCAATTGAATGCAACCTCAACTCAGAGATTACTTGATGCATGGAGCTATGCAACACCTACGATGTATGCATTCCAAGAGTCTTGTTGCTGAAAATGTTTAATCTCTTCATACTTTATGTCACGCCCGACACCAAAACCCTCTGTTTTTCTGATATCTCTGCTGTCTTGCATCTTCCGCAGCCAAAAATGAACAGACTGAAATCCTGCCTCTTCTAAGCAGTCTTTAATCTCAGGCAGTGACCACCTGGGCATATGAAACAATTGCCTCAAAACGATTCAGAATTCACCAGGAATACAAGATCTAATAAATATTCATCATGAAGCCTACACTTGATATTCCTTTACGATATCGATATAGAAGACCAGTAACTAGAAAAACAAAACAACTTACAGCCTCCAACTGTATGAAAATGCATGTCGAATTTTCTTCTGCTGCTTTTGGAGATGGAAATGAAGGCTAATCCTTGTCTTGCGCTCAATGATATCAAACTCAGCTTGCTCCCAAACATACTGCACAAGCCAATAGCAATTTACATAATTATGATAGACATCTTTGCAAGTAAAGAATATTTAGTCATAGGACTTGATCTGCTCTCCATCATAGAGGCGAGACCACATAAACTATTAGATAGTCCCTAAATGTTCTTTAGCAAACTGAATGGTAATATGCTAAAAATTTTACCCCAAAAATAGTAATCTGCTAAAAAGAAAACATAGACTTCCGCTTCTTATGAAATATTGTAGCTTATTGCTTCTTCAAGTAACAGATAATTCACCAGCCATGAAGGGGAGGAAGATTTAAAATAAATAAATAAATAAATAAATAAATAAAACTTGGGGCTCCACCGCAGGGTTGCTTGTGAAGCGAAAAGGAAATTGGCAGGAAGAGAAGTGACAGAAACGATCCCAGGGGTAGGGTTTGGAGGGCTAGTAGTGTAACTGTGTAACTCCTATTGAATATAACATCATGCCTATTTTTAATAATAATATGCATTTATCTAGATACTCAAGTGGAAACCTAAACAGTTTAAAATTTTCCGAACACTCGTATTATACATATATGTATATATATGTAAGCTTCCCTGTGTAAATTTTTGTCAGTTTTCTTTTTCCTTATCAATTGATCGGCACCCATTCATCTCTTATGGTTTACCTCTCTGGTTTTGGGACCCTAAAGTAATACACTCTCGAGAATGAGAAATACCAAAAAAAAAAAACACACACACAAAAGCACAAAAACCCCATACCAATCCATCTGGTTGACAAAACTTCACAACATTTTACTTTGCCTATCCATTGATATCTATTGGTCGATCAATTTGTGATGCATCCAGAACTTAAAAAAGTTCAGGCATCAGGAACAGAGGATCCCAATTTCTATATATGTATGCATGTATATATAGCTTATTTTCCATATGTTTCATATTGCTTTCCTTTTCTTTCCTCTTCCACACCCACACTAAGTTTTTAATGGAGTACAAACGATGCTACAAAAGTAAGGAATATTGAAAATAACTTTTGTACCGTAAAATTGGAAAATCTCCTCTGAAGCCTTAGCTTGCACTCTGAGGATGTACCACCATATAAATCCATTACAAATATTCCACCTTTCTTCGACAAGGCATCAAGAGCATGCTTGAAATACAGAACCAGTTCGGAACGTTGATGGAGACAACAACAGCTGTAGTTGAAAGCACACACAATATCTCTAGCAGGCAACAGATGGTTCCTCAAGTATTTCTCATCATTTGAGGAAGAAGAGCCCTCAGCAAGAGTAGATTCCACTTCATCACTCTCCAAATTATCTTTGTTCTCAGTGAGTGACACCTTTCTTATCAGTTCCTGGGGCTCGAATTTAACTAGTTTGGCCTCAAGAGGTTGCAAGACATTCCCATGAAAGAGGGACATTCTGGAATATCCATCAGCCCCAACTTTATTTATGTTGTTCTCCATGCACCAATTTAGTGCTTCAACATCCAAATCCAACCCTACAGCAGTCCTTCTTGTATCAGTCCGGAGCCATTCTGCACTGTCAAACATAGAGTTAGTGTTAGGTCTTTAGACTGTGTTTGGACTATGACTGAGAACTTAATGATTTTTAGCTTATGAAATGGGCAATTTGCAGCTCCACATAGCGGCAATGGATACCTCTATATCTCAAAAAGAAGTCTAGCAACAAACCACCACACTAGTTATTTATCATAGTTGAAAGAAATTAGAACAGGTACATGTATATGACCCCTGACAATGTAAAGAATGCCAACCAGGTTGTGCAACCACCATATCTTCTCATAACTAATCTGCATTACCTCATTAGCACTAAATCTCCATAACCCACAAGACAATTTCCAGAAACATAGGCTTAGACAGAGCTGGACTCTATATATTGGGAGGTTCAATAGCTGAAAAGGTTATGAACTTATACACAGATTTCAGGTTTTATATAAAACTTCAAAGGACTTTCTGGGATTTGGGGGCCATAGCCAAACCTACTTCATCTTCTTCTGATATGGCAACTAACCGCTTATAATATTACTGGCCGTGATGTTTAAATAAAGAAACAATCTTTATGAAAACCTACTTAATTCCTCAACAAATGGCACCAAAATGGCAACAATATAGCTTCTAGTTAGGCACAAATGTTCCCTAAATAGTTCTTCACCTCCGTTCAGATATGTCAATTAAAAGGATAGTGAGGTACCTAAGAAGGGCTGTGCCACAGAAATCTTCTTGGAGATGGAGAGGTAACCTCCCACCCACATACATCAAAAAGAACTTCTGCAGATAGCTTATGTCTCCCTTTGGTGACTGCATATGAAATAAATTACAAATTAATCACACCTGAAATCTCCTCTAGAAGAACCACATAAAATCATTCATTTGGGTGTTAAGGGAGGGGAAGAAACAAAAAGATAATCAACAATTCCAATAAATTATTTTAATTTTGACAACTTTTCACCAAAAACAAATAACTGCACTAAGTTCAGGTGACTCGTTTGTTTGTTTTTTTTTTTTTTTTTTTTTTTTTTTTTTTTTTTTCTCCTAGTTTCCTAACTGTTTGGCATTCTTTATACTGTTCCCATATCAGCAATCAAAAATGTCATCAATTAAAATGTAGTACGCGGGTCAAACCTGTACAGATTGTTGATAAAGAAGAAATTTTGAAGGCAAATCATTTGATGGGTACTCATCAGCTTCCTCTTTTCCATCAACCACCTCTTCTTCTTCTTGTTCTTCTTGTTCTTCTTCCTCTTCTCCAGAAAGTGTGTGCTTCGAAGCGGAGTGACCTTCATAATGACCATCACCAACACCTTCTTCGTCTTCTTCAGTGTAGTGAAAGGCAGCTCTTCTTGGCTGGTGTCTCTGTTTCTTGTCTCGCTTTCCCATCTCTTTCACTTTTCTACCACCGGCGCTCAACAACGCATCTATTATGAAGAGAACCTTAAGTACGATATCATTGATATGTAATATTATGACAATTATTATTGTTTCTCCTTGAAGTTATAACCTAACTTATCCTTAGTAAAACCCAAACTTAATTAGGGTATCAAGCTAAAAATAAATAAATAAATAAACTCAATGTGGGTTTTGAGTGTCACCATTTCGTTCTTATAAAATTTGTTATTAATTGTTGACAAGAGATAATTACAAGGATCTAATTGAAAAAAAAATAACTAAAACTATAAAGGATTCAATTGAAGAAGGCCTAAACTACATTAACTAATTTGATCACATTCCCAAAAAAAAACAAAAAAAAATTCTATCAATTTATTGGGTCATTATTTTGTTCTATGCATAGCAAAGGTGCAATATCACAAATTAAAATTATGGTATTAATATAAACCAATTATGATAGGTTAGAAATATAAATTAAGTCACAATATTTTGTAATTTTTAGAATTTAGGGTTACAAACAAGAGGATTTTACTTAAAAAAAACCTTTTTTAACATGACATAATATACAAAAGCATTTTTCATTGAGCTCGACCCTGTCGGCTAGACGGCTACTTAAATACTCATTTTTTGATAATCAAACATTAATTTGAAGAAGATTTCCCTTACCACCATTCATTTTTCGAAGTCATTTTTTTTTTTGGGAGATGAAAATTCCATCAAGAAAGAACGAACCTTCCCTCTTGCAAAACAGATGGACTAAATAGTATTCCATTTTCCAAACGCGTCCTCTTGACAAAAGTAAAATTACAAGCACAATCCTCTCCTCTCCCCTCCGTTCTTCTAACTCTTTTTCCCGATAAACAAACAAGTCTTAACAACGAAGAAGTACATATCTAGGGCATCTGCACCTGGAAACCAGCCTCCGATCCCCGATTTTCTCTTAATATCACCCATCGGATGAAATTATTCAAACCCTAGGGTTTTTTTTCCCTTTCCTAACCCTTTTCAATTTCGATTTCGATTCCGGAATTTCGAATTCTATATGTGTGATCGGTAAGGGAAGAGCCACAGAAATGTATAGCAATTTCAAGGAGCAAGCGATAGAGTACGTGAAGCAAGCCGTACAGGAAGATAATGCGGGAAATTACGCCAAGGCGTTCCCTTTGTACATGAACGCCTTGGAATATTTCAAGACCCACTTGAAGTACGAGAAGAACCCTAAGATCAAGGAAGCCATAACCCAGAAGTTTACCGAGTACTTGCGCCGCGCCGAGGAGATTCGTGCTGTGTTGGATGACGGCGGTCCCGGGCCTGCATCCAACGGGGATGCGGCTGTGGCCACCAGGCCCAAGACCAAACCCAAAGACGGGGAGGGCGGCGACGGTGAGGATCCGGAGCAGGCTAAGCTCCGGGCCGGGCTCAATTCGGCGATTATACGGGAAAAGCCCAATGTGAAATGGAACGATGTGGCTGGTTTGGAGAGTGCCAAGCAGGCCTTGCAAGAGGCAGTTATATTACCCGTCAAATTCCCGCAGTTCTTTACTGGTTAGTTTGGTTCGTTTGTTTGTAATAGTAGTTGGGTTTGGCATTTTGTCTTCCTTCTTCCTTTTTTGTGCTTTTGCTATGCCTTAACTCTTTGGTAATGTTGATGCTAGCTGGGAAATTCAGCTTTTTGATTTAGTTGTAATGGGTAGTCGTCAAAGTTGGGTAAATATTGAATGTTTAGGATTTCAAAGCAGTGTGAATTATACTGTTGTTGATTAACAGCTATTATGGTTGCAATTGGTTTTCTCTTCTAGTGTTTCTGATGCTGCATTGTTGCATTGAGTAATGTTGAGCTATTAGGCACTATATTTTCTAAATGGGGAAAGCTTTCATAGGTTTACTATAAGACAGTCACATAGATGGGGAGGGCCTTCTCACGTTCATGCTTGTTGATATCATATATTATCTCTATTTTCTAATTCCATGTCTGTGAAACTAAATTCGCCTTTTGGAATCATAAGGTTGCACACAGGCATATGGTTTGCATTCTTCTAGGGAAAAGCAGAGGGCCACCGATAGAAAGGTTTAAGTTGTTATAGACTTAAGATGGGTTTGTAGTAGTTATTCTCCTACTTGGAAATATTGTTCCCTTTGGAAGCAAGAGTTAATTTGTTTTCAGTATCTTACATTATATATGTTCCTTGCCCTACCTAATTATTCGTATATTTTTTTCTAATATAATTTTCATGGTTGCTTGAAGCACTGTGTTTGTTGCTTTCTTATTACTATCTTAACTGCTTATCCATCATTTTATGTGTGTTGCGGTAGACACCAAGAGTAGACACCAAGAAGCTAATATGAAAGTTGTGTTTACTGTTATATATATTAATCAGTTTCTACTGCCATTGGAAAATCGTGTGTGTTTACAGTTATATATATATTAATCAGTTTCTACTGCCATTGGAAAATCGTGTTAACAGTTACTAAGTTGAGTTTTCATTTTGATTCATCCTATAAAAGCTAATATGTATCCACTTACATTCTTTTAGGCAAGAGACGGCCATGGAGGGCTTTTCTATTGTATGGGCCTCCTGGAACTGGGAAGTCATACTTGGCCAAGGCTGTTGCAACTGAAGCAGACTCTACATTTTTCAGGTAATATAGTATCATTGCTGGTGCTATTACAAATATCATGTTTGAGCTCTTGTGTGTGTCATAGTTTGAAGAACGTGATACTGTTCATATGTGAATGTCTGCTATATTGCACTGTATGGATTGATTCTCTCTAATTGAAAGCAGAGGATCGTATAAAGTCAAGTTGCCCCAAGGGGTGTTTAGATGGTATCGAAGAGGACCCTAGATATCTTCTCTCTATCTTCTTTTTTTGGTCGTGTATCTCTCTGTCTTTCAGTGAGAACTTTAAGCCGAACTCGTAGAAAAAAGAGATTGTATTTTGATTGAAATGATAACATTATAATATATGACTGCCAAGCCACCAAGTGCTTGTATTGTCTGCATGAGCCCCCTTTCTTTGAGGTGTTCTCTGAGTGCCTTATTCTGAGACCTGTGCTTTGTCATTTTGTGTAACAAATCCACCAATTATCCTTGAATTGGGAATATTATGCTTATGCTTTCTTATTTTTGTTCCCATTTTATTTCCATATCGATGTCCTTTCTGGTTTTTAATCTGTAATTTTCTTCTGGTAGTATTTCTTCTTCAGACCTGGTTTCAAAGTGGATGGGTGAGAGTGAAAAGCTAGTTTCAAACCTTTTCCAAATGGCTCGTGATAGTGCCCCATCCATCATCTTCATCGATGAGATAGATTCATTATGTGGGACACGTGGAGAAGGCAATGAGAGTGAAGCTTCTAGACGAATTAAGACAGAACTTCTTGTGCAGATGCAGGTATATTTTTGTTTTGTGGGAAGTAGTGGAGTAAATTCTTAAGGTGCCTTGGCTATTCATATGAGGCCTTCGAATTTCTAATACTATACAATTCTTCCTACTAGTGTTTGCTTTTTTAGTTATCACTTCAAAGTGAACGTTGAAAGTATTTGGGTAAGGAAACAAACTTAATTTATAGTTTGTAAGTAACTGAAGGAAACTTGTAGACTAGCTGAGGCTAGATAAGGTTTTGTTTAGCTGGTTCGTTGAAATAATATTTGTCATGTCAACTATTTTCTGTTCATCATCAGCCAATTTTAGTCATAAAACTAGATTTTGTTGGATTAGAGGTACCGAAATTTCCTTGGCACTTTTCTAAATATGTACTTATCTCTGTATGTATATATTATATAGAAATTACAATCATTTTCTAATGCGAATCTCCGCCGTTAGATCTTATATGGATGACTGAGATATGTAGAAGGTGTGATGCATCTTAATCTTTCATTTATATATAATGTAATGGTTGAAAAACAAGTCCATTAAGGTGCTTATCGAAGTACCGGATTAGAGAATGATTACCTAATAATGCATATATAACTCTCCCCTTTTGTTAGAGAGAGAGAGAAAGGGTTAAAGTAATAAAAGATACACTCTTAATTTAATATCCCCAAAGAATGACACATTATTAAAAAGAATGACTTGCTTTTCCTTATTTTTTTCGTTTTCAACTCTTCCATTTGTTCTTACCATGTTTTCCTTGAATAGAGTACAAGCAGGGACATGTAGATTGATCTCTATTACTCTATTTATATTGTTAGTTGTTGCTAATGTATAAATGATCACATATGTAAGGAAGACTGAGTGAGTATCATTTTCAAGTTGATCTCCTTATACCACTTTTATTTGATTCTACCTGTTTCATAAACTTCCCTTGTTTTAGAGTTGCATTACATCTTGCTATCTATTGATACTCTGGAATATAGAATGGCATTTTTTCATAAAAAATTATTCCAATAATGTGATGAAATATAATTTAGGTCATTCTTTTTTCAAGATCTTTTTTTTTTGGATGAAAAGCCATTCATTTTTCACTGGATCTTATCTGTCGTGTATTTTAGGGTGTGGGAACGAATGACCAGAAAGTTCTTGTTCTCGCAGCAACAAATACTCCCTATGCACTTGACCAGGTAAGGAGAAACATATGAAGTTTGTATGCTTGGCTTCATCTTTAATCCAAGGACACATCATATGGCTGTGGTTAACTGGTATTAATTACAGGCCATTCGGCGACGTTTCGACAAGCGTATATACATTCCACTTCCAGATTTAAAGGCTCGACAGCATATGTTCAAAGTACTGTGACATTTTCCTTTATCCTTTTACCATTTTCTTTTCATTAAACAGAGTAGTAAAAACAAAATATTTTTACTAACCTTTTGTGCTATACATTTTTTTTTGGGCTATATTCTGAACAGGTGCATCTAGGAGATACTCCTAACAACTTATCAGAAAGTGATTTTGAAAGCTTAGCTCGCAAAACTGAGGGTTTTTCGGGTTCAGATGTTGCTGTTTGTGTAAGCACAATGCATTTATGTTTTGCATGTATCTCTGTGTTTCTACTACCTGTCTTTAGTGTTCCTTGCATTACAAGTTAATTAAGAATAACTCACAGCACACTCTGTTTTGTTTGGTTTGTTCTGTTTTAAAACTGGCAGGTTAAAGATGTTCTCTTTGAACCTGTTCGCAAAACCCAAGATGCCATGTTCTTTTTCAAAAGTGCTGATAATATGTGGATACCATGTGGACCGAAGCAACCCGGTGCTATCCAAATCACCATGCAGGAGCTGGCGGCAAAAGGACTTGCTTCACAGGTATGTGTACATGTTTTTGAATGCTGGATTTGATACTCACATGCCTATTTTGGTTCAATATTTTGGTTTCTGGTGACTTCTGGGCACACAGTTTGATGGATCATTTGTACACACCAGATTGTGAAGTGATGGGAAGTTTTTTCATTATCATTTGGAGAGGCACATTTCACTTGCGATGAAAATCCAAAATTTAATTTAATTTTAAAATACTGTTATTCTATGTATGATCCATGTAAATGAGAAAGGGAATTCTGTTAAATTGTCAGAGGAACAAGTTTCAATATTTATTTAATTTTTTATTTTTAATTTATAAAATGATGTTCAAGTTTAAACATCTCCAAAGTAATAGTATGTGCTCATTACTGCCTTGCAGATCCTTCCACCTCCAATCACAAAAACAGATTTTGATAAGGTGCTTGCTAGACAGAGGCCAACAGTGAGCAAAAGTGACCTTGATGTCCATGAGAGATTCACAAAAGAGTTTGGAGAGGAAGGGTGATGAATTTTCTGTATTTATATATCTCATTGATCCACACTTATCATCAGTGCTGTGGCCATGAATTGTATTTTATTTACTAGTGCTGGATGGATCTAATGAATTACATACTCTGAATTAGTTTCTTCAATGAGGAAGGTGACATGACCTCCCTTTTCTGTATTCAGATGAAAATACTGGTGTTTGAACATCTTGAATGGCTTGTTTTCAAATTGTGTAAAGGACAGTTGAAAAAATATTGCTTCAGAATGTTGATACATCAATAATGTTTGTCGTCCCCATTGGTAATTTCTACTTATTTTCGTGAAACTAATTGTGCGGTTGGCTTCTAAGTGTTTTGACTTTCAGATATCCTTACTATTCCTTGTGATTACTGTCAAAATTCATCTAGATAGGATTGGATGGTTGGAGGGGGTTACTTTTGAAGTGACCGTTGTCTATTTGTAGTAAAATTCATTTCTTTTGCTTTTAGTATCATCTTTTGTATGTTTACACATTGTTTCTTTAGTATTGTGATTTGGGAAGTTGAGAACTTGGGTACCGGTTTGTGTCCGAATTCCAGTTAGTTGCGTAACTGGCATTCTTCTGGTCCCCTAGCAAACCTGTTTCTCAGTTAATCTTGTGTACCTTTCATGGATATGCTTTCAGGAGTGGATGCGCCTTTCGGAGGACTTGGATCTTTAATCCGGCAGAGTTCTGTGACCTGGGATTCATGCCACCCTCCCTTTTTTCACTTCTCCTTTTTCCTCCTTTTCCCAGGCTGGACTTGGCATTAAATTTTTCACCTGCTGTGGTCACATAACTCACATGATCTTGGTTGTGCTAAACACCTCAGTACCATGTTTACTCTGTCATTATTTCATGTTTCAATGTGTAAAGAAATTAGTGATATACTATACTCTTGTGTATTATGTTTGGTTGGAATTGTCAGTCTAATGCGTGTATTGTGAGGAAACCACATTTGGAAATGTTTCATTAAAAGCATATATCCTTGTACGTTCTACATGAAACAACAGCTTACGTCCACTATAAGGACTAAATTTCGTCCACAAAATTCAATTGCCTATCACCACTATTGTCCAAAAAACAGACCATGGTACTTCTGGGCATGTTCGAAAATTTCTCCAGTAAGCCAACAAAAGCCGGCTCGAAGATGTTTATGAGCAAACTTTAATGAAAAATGCCGGCATTGCCCAACAAGCCTTACACAGTTTGGGGTATAAAATGAGCTTGTAACCTTCACAAAATCACTACAATTTCTTGGTTTCTATATTTTTATCGTTATGGTTTCTGCTTATATCTTGAAGCTCACTACAGTTCTTACTCTTCTCTTCTTCATTGCATTTTCTTTGGCCCATGGAGCCACTGCTAACAAAAAGGTACTGAGACACGATTCCACGAGGCCATCATTTAGTTTTCACACTACTAGAAATGAGATAACTGAAAAAATTTCATTAAAAACGAAGGAAGGCACTTGGTATGAAATGGTTTTGAATTGGCCTGCAAAAATTATAAGTTCTTTTCCAAGGATAATCTTGAAATATGATGAGCATAATTCGAAACCCCAAACCCGAAAATGAATATAGTTGCATCTATATATATGTGTGACCTGAATTTGAATTTCTTTTTCTTTTTCATGTTGCAGCATTATATAGTCTACATGGGGCACCACTCTCACCCCAACTCTGAATCTGTCATCAGAGCAAACCATGAGATTCTTGCTTCAGTCACTGGAAGGCAGGATACTAATCGGATTTATGCAGCTATATAGAAACAATTTCTGCTTCCATTTTCTTACTTTCATAAATGCCAATGCAGACTGCTATATGTTTTATTTATTCATGTTTTGGAATAATTCTCAGTATTGTTGGAGCACAAGATGCAGCACTTCACCATTACAGTAAAACTTTTCAAGGCTTCTCAGCCAGGCTTACACCAGAGCAAGCACAACAACTTGCAGGTACTGTGATTAGATTACTATGGTATTGTCTTCTAGAAACCCAATAGAGTAAGAATAGAAGAAAGAATAGTTTTTTACAAAATAAAAGTAAAAATCTCGACTATAAGTGAGAAGAACTTCATTACATTGATTTCCGTTCATGTACTACAGAAAGTGATTCAGTTGTTTCTGTGTTCGAGAGCAAAACAAATCGTTTGAGCACAACACATTCCTGGGATTTTCTAGGCCTAGACTCTATTCCCCAATACAATCAAATGCCAATGGATTCAAAATCCAATGTCATTGTTGGAGTGATTGACACTGGTATGGCTTCAATCTTTTTTCTTATCTGGTTCTTCTCCTTATACTCCTTTATGATTGTTTCGTTGGTTTTGTTTTGCAGGAGTTTGGCCAGAGTCAGAGAGCTTCAATGATAAAGGATTAAGGCCTGTGCCAGAGAAATTCAAAGGAGAGTGTGTTACTGGCGAGAATTTTACATTGGCCAACTGCAACAGGTACCCTTCATGTCTTAGACTGCTATAGAATTTTATTCTTATCATCCAACAAATACAAAGAAAAGAAAGAAAAAAAAACTGTTTAGGTCAATAGATATCTTCTACCTTAATATGACTGCACATTGCTGAATCATGCAGGGTTTCCATATCCAGAAGTCCAACTTTGTAAATTGGTTTTGTATTTGCAGGAAAATCATCGGCTCCCGCTTTTATGTTCAAGGATTTGAAGTAGAGAAGGGGCCTCTTGAGTCCTTTGCGCCTCTTCCTTTTTTCCGATCAGCTCGAGATAGTGATGGACATGGGAGTCACACTGGCTCAACAATAGCTGGATCTGTGGTACCTAATGCCAGCTTCTTCGGGATGGCCAGAGGCACTGCAAGAGGTGGTGCACCGAGCACCAGACTTGCTATCTACAAGGCATGCTGGTTTAACTTGTGTAGTGATGCAGACGTTCTTTCTGCTATGGATGATGCCATTTATGATGGTGTCGATATTCTCTCCCTTTCCCTTGGCCCTGACCCTCCACAGCCAACTTATTTTGAAAATGCAATCTCCATTGGGGCTTTCCATGCATTCCACAGAGGAATACTTGTTTCTGCATCAGCTGGGAACTCTGGTTTCCCAAGTACTGCATGCAATGTTGCTCCCTGGATCCTCACTGTTGCTGCCAGCACTTTGGATAGGGAATTCCATTCAAACGTATATCTCGGAAATTCAAGAATTCTAAAGGTGAGCTTGGCATCCAAATGCTTCTACCCTTTAAAGTTTTTTTTAACCACATAAAGGTTTGTGCATGTGTGCACACACAACACACTGAAAAAACAATTAAAGTTGACATTCAGATATAAATTCTGCGATGACAGGGTTCCTCTTTAAACCCACTGAAAATGGAAAGGTCTTACGGTTTGATAGCTGCAAGTGCTGCAGCTCTCCCAGAAGTCACAGCAAAGAATGCAAGGTAATCTTTCTTTTCAAATGTTTGATGTTAATATTACTGCTACACCAGCTGACGCATGATATAGTTTTCTACCATGCTATATGCTCAGCACATGCTTTTAGCACCCAAAAGACAAACACACCTGCTCAGTATTATGCCAATACTACTTCATGTCATTCTAAGAAAACTCATCAGGTAATGGTTTTCAATATTCAAACTTTTTAAAATCTCCACTGATGGTAAGGAATGAAACCATAGGTTTCTTTCGATATGTGACACCCAGTACTAACCTCCAAATTTGTAATCATGATCAAACGAAATCTGGTTTGCCTTGGCCAAGCTAATACTTGAGCCCATGAAAACCTGTGAACCTTCATTATTTGCTCACCGTTAGAGAAGTTCTGATTGTTTCTTTTATCAGCTTCTGCAAGAACAATACTCTAAATGCTAGCTTAATTAAGGGGAAAATCGTGGTATGCACCTTCGAGACCTTCACTGATAACCGAATGGACAAAAGCATAGTTGTAAGACAAGGTGGTGGTGTGGGAATGATTCTTGTCGATCCATTTCTCAAAGATGTTGGCTTCCAGTTTGTCATCCCAGGCACTCTAATTGGTCAAGAAGAAGCACAAGAGCTTCAAGAGTACATGACGACAGAAAAGTGAGTTTCTCAAGCTTTGCTTGCTCAAATTTCTATCAATGGAAGAAATTAAAAGTTACTTAAAAAATGTAAATTGAAAGCTACAGATATCCAACAAGTCAGTGATACTAGCTACTGAGAAGTCCTAAATTGATTGGAAATTTAAAAGTCTTGTTATTACAGGAACCCAGTTGCTATAATCTCCCCGACAATTACATTTCTGAAAACTAAACCTGCACCAGAAATGGCAGCGTTCTCATCCATGGGGCCAAATATCATAACCCCAGACATTATCAAAGTAAGTTCTATCAAATCTCTTAGTTTCTTCTTGAATATATCTAAAACATTTACAGATCAATATTAATGCCGGAATGTGGGTAAAAGAGCATCATCAGTGCTATATCCTGGGGTTATACTAAATGAACAATTAACTCCAAATAAATAATCAACTATGAAAATACCTATTGCAGCCAGATGTTACAGGACCAGGAGTGAATGTTTTAGCAGCATGGTCTCCGGTAGCGACTGCTGCCACGGCTGAAAGGTCTGTCAATTATAACATAATATCTGGCACCTCGATGTCTTGCCCACATGTATCTGCGGTTGCAGCAATTTTGAAATCCTACCAACCTTCCTGGAGTCCGGCAGCCATAATGTCTGCAATAATGACAACAGGTCACTGCATTTAAAAGTTTTTTCATTATACTTTCAAGTAGCTTAACAAAATTATATTGGGTCACTGAAGTTACAATTTTCTTTTGTTGTCACAGCAACTGTCCTTGATAACAGCAGAAGCACCATTGGAAGAGATCCAAGTGGAACCCCTACCACACCTTTTGACTATGGATCTGGACACATTAACCCAGCTGCAGCAATTGATCCTGGACTAGTATATGATTTTGATTCCCATGACATTATAAATTTTCTCTGCAGCACTGGGGCTAGCCCTTTGCAACTGAAAAACCTCACAGGAAGTCTAGTTTATTGCCAGAAGTCTCCTACCCCTTCCTACAATTTTAACTATCCTTCGATTGGTGTGTCAAAAATGAATGGAAGGGTATCTGTTCACCGAACCGTTACTTATTATGGTAAAGGCTCAACAGTATATGTTGCCAATGTAGATTATCCCGCAGGTGTGAATGTTACAGTTGCACCATCAAAACTCAAGTTTACAAAAACCGGGGAAAAGATGTCCTTTAGGGTAGATTTTGCTGCCTTCAAGAACAGTAATGGAAGCTTCGTGTTTGGAGCTTTGACATGGAGCAATGGTATTCAAAAGGTTAGGAGTCCTATTGGTCTCAATGTGATTTCAGCATAGGAGCAAGAGTTCTAGAGCTTCTTTTTTTTTTTTTTTTTTTTTTTTTACTATATACTATATGATGGTTTGAACTTGTCGATTGTCCCATCAAAAGCTACAAGGAGAAATGTACTTGTGTAGTATATCAAAAGTTCATAGTCACTTCCTTTCCTATGGACTTGTATATCTATGGTTTCAGATTAAATACAATCCGATATGTATGAGGCATTGAGAAATCATAGTTCCCACCCCCCTTTTCGTAAGTGGCATGCTGAATTTGTGGATTGCCAAAATATACAACACTGCAAGTGCAAGAAAGTTAAGCATCTCATTAGCTTCATGATAAATGCAAAAAAGTTATCATGTAATTGTTATTCTTTCCTCGTACTTACATCGGTTAGGTAGGGTGGGGGAAGGACTAAATCTTTATACTATCTCTCAAATTCTAGTAATTTTTGAAAATTAAGGTTTCATCCCCGAAACATCAATTTTAGGAAATCCTTATCTGATCACTTTTAACAGCAATAAGAATACAGTGAATGCAAGTCTGTGCTAAGCTTGGAACTGTAACTGTAAGAGGCAACTCTCAAGGCAAAAACAATGCAAGATCCAAGACCTAACAAAGTCCACTAAGTTTATCATAATAGATATCCACACTCATGAAGTTTCTGTCAAAATCGTTATGCAGGTGCGACTTAGAAAGCAACAAGCAAAAGCTGTTCAATATGTCTAAGGCTTTAATAATGGAATTGACGCAGGACTTTAACAAAAGAATATGAAGCTGCTAAAGAAGAGATTATGCAGTAGTACCATATTACTCCATGGATAACCAACAAAGTATTTCAACTTGCTAAGCAGTCGGAAAATGGATCACGACCAAATACATCAGAAAACAAAAGTCATGTAACGACTTTGTGGACTTGAATTGATTGTGAGAATGCTACCTAGGTTGAAGAAAGAAAGTTAAGAGAACAAAGTTGTGCTATCTAGCATTGTACAAAATTAATTGATGCTGTCACATACCTTCTACAACATGAGTGGTAGCAAAGAAAATTTCATGAGACTGTTGATCTGGTCTTCTTTTATTTATTTATTTATTTATTTATGAAAAGGCAACAATGACCAATTAGCTCATAAGCTAGTGGTGAAGAGGTTCCAAAATTGAATCTCCGTTTCTCTGATGATAAAAGAAGAATACAAATGAGTTCCCAAATTAACCCAAAAAAAGAGAAGAAAACGAACATTAACAACAACAACACACTACTGTTATCCTAACTGTAATTGTCGACAAAGAGCTGTTTCCCAATCCAAATATCCAGCAACCAAAGTCCGAACTGACGACCAAAATCTGATTCTCACCCAAATTTCCTCCACTTCCACACCTTCATACTGCTATCCTCCTATTTTGTTCCATCCGAATAACTTCGAAAAACAGCTAACAGCATATACCCCTAAAGAGCTTTTGCTTTCTTACCCCTACCTATGCTTCTCAGAGAGCAAAGCAACACAACTCCTTAGGAAGACCCAGCTTACATTGGCTTCCCTATACAATCTCTACCACATATTTAGAAACACATTATCCACATTCCCTCCACCCTCTTCTTTGCACAAAATGCATCAATGAGGTGAAAGACACATATAAGGCCTTCTTTTGATCACATAACAAGTATTAACCCTCCTGTGAGCTAGTCCATGCCAAGACTTTTACTTTAGGTGGAACCCTTGCTTTCCAGATCTGCCCAAAAGGTTGGAAAGATAGGGAATCCTGCCTGTGACACAAAAGCCAAACACAAGACTTACATAAGGACTCCCCTGAAGTTTCTAGCCTCCACTTTCTTGCATCAACCCCATTTGGCAATAGACACACATTTTCTAATAACAGTAACATTGCAGAAAGCTCCTCCATCTCAATTTCATTCAGATTTCTTCTTATCTTGAAATACCACTGATGTAGGATCATGTAGCAATCAACAGTTATCTTGGTATGTAAACCTTGGTATGTGGCGCTTCTTTATTTTATGAGAAAAACCGTTGGGTCACTCACCATAAAAATCTATTAAAAAAATACACCTGCTAGATGCATGGTGTGCCTAAATTCTCCATTTAAGTTAGGAGTTCAATTCTCACTGCCACCATGATGAAAATTTCGTAGCACAAGAAGCCATGCTGCTGCTTTGCTTAAAGGTATTTTGATGACTTAAGAAACCTTTCAAAACTTCATGTTAAACCCATTTCCCAAATGAGGAGTCACCAATAGTCTCCACAAGAGCATAAACCATCCTTAAAGTGGTGGAATCGATTTGAATCCCTGACAACAATATCTCTTGCTTCAATCACCGAAATTAACTTAATAACTGCGTGACAGTCTCCACATACTCTAAGATTTTTCAGAATCTGGATAGTAGACCCTGGAGGTTTGGCAATCAATCCAAAAGCAATTGCTAGCCTTTCACTGTGTTGAGAAAGAAAGGCTGCTTTGTGTTCCTCTTCAACATCATGAAGCACATAATTTGTGTCCGGCTGGTAACCCATATCACTCAATCGGTTATTTAACTCTTCAAGTTTTGAATATATAAGGTCTGACATGGGATGTGAAAGGTCACCAGCCAAAAATGAGTAGGTCTTGTTCTTCACCTCAATCCAGCTATACCCGGGTTGCTTTTTCACGTTTCTCTCATCCATCAGTTTCCTCACTTTAGCTCTCTCTTGCCAGTTTCCAGCTGCGGCATAGATATTGGACAGGAGAACATATGCGGCAGAGTCTTGTGGCTGAAGCGCAATGAGCTTTTCTGCCGCGAGTTTTCCCAGCTCTATGTTGCGGTGAATACGGCAAGCACCCAAGAGAGCTCGCCATGCATTTGCACCAGCTTCGAATGGCATTCCATTTATGATATCCATGGCCTTTTCAAGATTTCCTGCTCGGCTGTATAGATCAACCATACAAGAATAGTGCTCCATTGTTGGATCGATATGGTAATCTTGGACCATAATATTGAAGTATTTTTTACCTTCATCTACTAAGCCTGCATGAGTACAGGCAGAGATCATGATAATGAATGTTATACCGTCCATTTCCAAATTTTTTCTACGCATATCTTCAAATACTTCAAGAACCTTCTTCCCATTCCCATGTTGAGCATAACCAGAGATCATTGAGTTCCATGAAACTAAGTCTCTCTCTCCTTGCCTCTTGAAAACTTCATTTGCACTCTCAATATTCCCCCTTTTTGCATACATGGTGACAAGAGCACTACTTAGACATAAAGTATTATTCAACCTTAGTTTAATTGAGCATGCATGAAACTGTTTCCCCTGCTCTACTGCTGCAGTAGGTGCAGCACAAGCATTAATGATACTAGACAAGGTAAACTCATTAGGTATGACCCCCTCCCTTGCCAACTGGAGGTAAATTTTAACAGCACCCTCAGTATCTCCTATTTGAGCATATCCAGAAAGCATTGCTGACCATGCCACAATGTCCTTCTCATCAATTATATGAAAAACTTTTTCAGCTTCATGAACATTTTGCATCTTAACATAAGCATCTATGAGTGAGGTTCCTACTGAAGGTGACTTCTCGTAATTGGTTTTGATGACTTGTGCATGTACTTGGCCTATAGAAAAAGAAGGGCGGGCCATAAGGATGGCAGAATAAGTGAAATCATTTGGTTTAACACCTTCTCTACTCATTTGACAGAATAACTTCACTGCTTGTTCTGTTCCACCATTCTGCAAGTACCCACTGATCATGGCAGTCCAAGTTACCACACTTTGAAAACCTTGCATCATAGAAAACATTTTATAAGCGTCATCCATTTCACTGCATTTACTATAAGCCACCATAAGTGCTGTTTTAATATTGCAATCAAATGCCAACCCACTCTTCAGAACACGGCACTGAAGTTGTCTTGCAAAAACCAATTCTTTATAATTAGCACATAACTTAATGATAGTAACAAATATCGGTTGTGTGAACTTAACACCTGCAAGCCCCATCTGATTAAACATTTCAAAAGCTTCCAAATCGAGCCCATTTATCACATAACCCGCAATCAAACTATTCCAAGTAACTGCATCCCTATTCGGCATACAATCAAAAAGAACTTTAGCATCCTTAACTATCCCCGACTTTAGATACATATTAATCAAAGAATTGCACACAAACGTAATTGACTCAAAGCCATTCTTTATCACCATGGTATGAACCTGACTTCCCTTCTCAACCATACCTTTAGCTGCCAAAACTCCAAGAACATTCACAAATGTATGCGGGTTAGGCTTATTTCCTTCTAGTTGCATCTCTGAAAACAACTCCAATGCCTGGTCATTCAACCCATTTCTTGCATAACCTGCAATCAGGGAAGTCCATGACACTACAGTTCTGTCCCCCATCTCATCAAAGACTCTCCTTCCATCTCTAACACCTTCAGTCTTCATATACATATCAACAAGAGAGGTCCCAACACTAACATCCTCTGCACACCCAGATTTTACACATTGACAATGCAGTTGTCTACCCGCAACTTGATCAGACAAGCACCCACAACCCTTAAGAACAGAAGACAGGATCGACCCATTAACTCGTAAACCAGACCGCCAAAGACCCACAAAGAGGTTAATCGCTTCATTGTTGCAGTCATTGCGAAAATACTCGAAAAGCAAGTGATTGTATTCCAAGAGGTCTCTCTGGGGAGTTTTGTCGAGCAGGTGGTGTGCAATTACATAGTTTCTTGATTCGGACACGAAGCTCCCCGTTTTTGGAGAGAAGGCAATCGCGTGAAGGTGGCAGAGAGGCTTGGTATGATATGAAAGCTGGTATTGTTTGAGAGTTTGGTTTGTGTATGACTGTGCGAGGGTCCTCAAAGCGGGCTTTAGAGTCATGCTCTCTTCTTACTTGCATTTGCCGCGCGTGGAGACGAAAGAGAGAACGAAAGAGCGCGCGCCCGCAAACGATTTTAAGCTTCAAACAGCTGCTTATGCTATGGGCCTTTGGGCGTCCCTTGGGCATTTGGGAGAACATGAGAGCCCAAATACAAAGTTAGCCCCATTAGAAAACAACCCAAATTCAGAAAAATCCATCATTTGAATACCACATGATGTGGCAAGTAATGTATACAACCAACATCCAACGAAATTTGCATCGGGAAAAAAAAACATCTAATGAGATTGATTAATTAATTGACATGACATGTATACCTCACATGCCAAATAAGTGGTATTCAAATGTGGTGCAAAATAAGGAAACATGACTCACCTTGGGTAGGGTAGGGAGACTACATTTATAGACCAACTTACGTACCACATCTTTAATAGAGTATAGAGGTGAGAATTTATCTAGAGAGATAATACACAATATGTTTTATAAATGTGATCTCTCTAACATGAGCCGATTAATAATCAATAAGATTTGATGCCATGATTAAGTAAATAAATGTGGTTAGGATTGATTGACCATCTTTTTACACAAACACGAGATGACACGGCATGAAGACTTCGGAGCCAAAATATAAAAGAATGACTTTTCAGACAAAGTTGGGATACACAAAATTATTGCTCTACTGACCAATCGTCTTAATTCTGTGTATCCTTTTTGTTGGACAATCTATCGCATCTTTGCCAGCTTATATATCAAGAAAGAAACCAATAAACCACAAGAAGTGACATTTTCATTATATTCCTATTAAATAGTTATTATGTTAGGTCAGTTGGAGGCCCCAAATTAAAGTAGTGAACCATTTCTTTAATTCTTTGGTGTTCTGCTAACGGGGTTTAATTTAGTAAAAAAAGGGTATTGACTTGTAAATAAGAGGTTTCAGGTTCAAACCCTTATGACATCATTTGTGTGTGTGTGTGTGTGTGTGTGTGTGTGTGTGTGAAATCCCCCTCCTCCTCTTCCTTTAATTTAGGGGGGTGTATTCAATTAGGATTTTAATAGATTGTAATCACATGATTTTAGGAGTGTGTATTCAATTAGGATTTTAATATTTTTTTTAAAGCTTAAAAGTCTAGTGGTATTCAATTATGATTTTTAAGTAATCAATAAAAATCTGATGGTATTCAATTAGGATTTTAAAACCATCAATGCAAGTCTGGTGGTATTCAATTAGGACTTTCAAAATATTAGAAAAAGTACGGTGGTATTCAAAAACTTACCGATTTTGAGGTATTTCATTAATTGATGTATTCTGTGAGACTTTTCAGTGGGTGATATAACTACCAAACTCCACAAAAAATCACACCCTATTACATCTAATTCTCACGTTGGTTTGTTTTGGGAGAAGATGAACAGACTTGAGAAGTCAACAAGGTTCTCATCTTTTTGCTTTATCTCTTCACATGCTATCATATATATGCTGCCATACCTTTTTTTGTCTCTATTTGTATTATATGTGTTGCTTTGTTGTGGGTACCTACATACATCCGTGTATATCTATATTGCTTTGCTGTGGAATAGACAAAGAAAGAAACCAATCTGTAAAGATTGATAGTTGGTGTTTTTGGTTTGTTGTGCACTGCCTCATTCTTTAGGAATGATTTTTCTTATATATTTATTATTTTATAAAATAATATTTTATTACTTTTGTGTGAACTGGAGAATGACTATAGAGCTTACAAACCTGAAATAACTATAGAGCTTTGTGTTTCTTTTTATATAATACTAATAAATAGTGAATGGTGGAATGGCTAGAAGAAGTCCATCACTAGGAAATTTCCTCACGTTAGGATGCTTTATTTCTTGGTTTGAATGCATAGTGATTACAATCTATTAAAATCATGTGATTACAATCTATTAAAATCCTAATTGAATACACCCCCCTTAATGTAATGGATTTCAACAGGATTTGTAATTACAAGATTTTACTTATGATTTTAATAGATTGTAATTACATAATTCTCTTATGATTC